CGTGAGCCGACCGGACTCCTCATTCCTGCAGCTCTGCATGCTTGTTGTCTGAAAAGCTGCAAATGTGCTGAACTGTCTCTAAATGGAATGCGGCCGTTGTTAGCATTCAACCCGTTGGGCTCAAATACTAAAAAACTTAGAATCAGAGATAAACAGGATTTACTTAACCCTCCCATTGTCTTCATGGGTGACCCCGCGAGGAAAGTTGACCATTGAGCAGGATTGATGGTTTATCCTTTGAGGTCCACGTGTTCACTCCTCACCCCTGCCATGTGGACCTCAAGGGATAAACCATCAATCCTGCTCAATGTTCAACTTTCTTTGCAGGGTCACCCATGAAGACAGTGGGAGGGTTAAACTATAATTTGTTTAATTTTTAGAAAACTAATATTACAAAAATTTACGACTGATTATATATTTTTTACTTTTTAGTGAATCGGAAACAGGCGGCATGCCTCACAGAATGTGTATCCGTGCATCAGAATCACGCTGTGAGCAGAAACCACAGATCCAGTCGACTCCGCCTCCGTAACGATACGCATTCTGTCCAAGACTAAAATGCTTAGCCACCAACACTTACCTCTCCGTAGTGACATTCTTCAGACCAGAGAGAATAAGTAATCCATCCAGGGAGTCTTCCCAGTGCCTGGAAAAGGAGGCATCCTGGTCAGATGTCCGAACCACCACAGCTAAATCTTTCGATGATGAGGAGCAGCGACCCCTGACCTTCTCTAAAGCCTGATTTATACTCCTCTGTGAGCTCCGCAACGGGAGATGCACACGGAGTGTTGAAAAGGTTTTCACATGAGAACTTCTGTTCAGGCGGCGGAGAGTTGCAAAGCAATTCCCCCGTCAGGTCTAACGAGGGCGTATCGCTGTTCTGTGGTATCCTGCCACCACAACGCTCATGTATCCGGTCCATGATGATGTATTCACTAATTTTTTTATAAATCTCAGAGACTTTATAACAGGAACAACTTTGTCTTTCATTCTCCTCCACCTCTTTATGTTGCCGCCACCTCTAAACCCACGTTTCCCGTCGTTTCCGTCCATGTTTGCTCCATATTTTGTACTGGTTAAGGTTTGGGTTACCCTAACCCTTTCATGGGTGAATAAATGTTTATATTTTCGGACTTTTTCCGCGATGCATTCTTCAGTCCGTTGTGGGACTGTTGCTAAATATCTTTTTAGTTTTTGACGGGGCAATGGTGGGGCTGGTGACAAATTTACAGGAAGCAGTGTCCTGACCAATCACAAGCTTGCAGTCTCCGTCAATTTTTACGGACGTTTAAATTTTGGGCATGTCTCCGTGACCCTCTGTGAGCCCGTCGGAGAGCCCTTGCACCGACGCAGACGGAGAAGTATAAATCAGACTTTAACCCTCCCACTGTCCTAATGGGTGTGACCCCGCAAGGAAAGTTGGCCATTGAGCAGGGTTGATCGTTTATCCCTTGAGGTCCACGTGGCAGGAGTGAGGTGGTGCTCTCTCCTCACCCCTGCCACATGGACCCAAGGGATAAACCATCAACCCTGTTCAATGGTCAACTTTCCTCGCGGGGTCACACCCATTAGCACAGTGGGAGGGTTATGGCTGAGCTCGGACGGCCCTTTGAGGAATAGCCTCAGCTGCCACTTCACCATGACTGGATCTACGTTTGCATCACTGCAGAAGATGCCTTTTACCTGTCCCAAGGTCAGGCTAAAGGTCGTGACTTGCAAACGCCAAATTCGCAGAGATGAAACCCTGAGGTCTCTGCTCTTGTCGCCATGACTACGCCTTGAGATCAGAAGATGAGAGGGGTCCCGCCTGCAGCTCCAGGAAGCCCAACATCCCATAATGTTCCAGTATCATTCCTACATTTACAGCAGAATATCCTCCTTTTACCACCTCTGCAAGGTTTAGCTCTTTAAGGAGACTTTTTAAAGATGATGGATGATAACATTTAATAACCTTTTCTAACAGAATCAGCCACACGTGTCACATGATGGCGGGATATGGAGCGTGTAATGGAGCTGGGAGTTACGGCACGCCGCTGCTTTCCAGTGGAGTCCAAATCAGACGAAGCACCAAGCTGTAAATAATTTACCTGAATGCTCCGACTCATAATTACATTCACATCAAATTTTTACAGAATAAAACTGGAGCAGCCTTGACTTTTGTGTTCGTTAAAAACCCACCAAATCAGATCTTTAAGGTGGAACTGTGAGTTACAGCTCGCTTTAGTGACCTTAAGGAGGAAGTAAATCCTGAGCAGCAATTCAGTGTTTAAAGGGGCATTATGGAAGTTTGACAGCCAAAACATGTATAGAAATAATAAATTTCTTCTTTATACATTCTCCTGCAATGCCCTGGTCCTGTAGAATGAACCCTGGCATTTTTACTGTGATTGCCAGTTTTTCTGTAAAATCACAGAAAAAGAGAGATGCTCGGGTCGAGCAGGCTGCTTCATGCGCATTCACGCTCAGGCATAGCCCGTAGCATTTGCTATCAGTAGCTTTAGCAGCAGAGAGAGAGGCAGTGCCACTTTGTCGCTGTTCCTAACGCCTAGTGACAAAGCTAGCTACATTTCTGAGGACCCTTAGCTACTTTCTGTAGAACTTTCTTCTAGATATTTCCTGCAAATTAGCAACAAAATAGCCATTTTTGCTCCGAACCGTTCTTAGGTTTGATGTTGTTTCAGGTGTTATCAAGGATATAAAAGTTACAGATGCTATGAATGTTACTGGTGTGTAGCTCACCTTTCTGACTCCTGTGCAGAAGACCCGGGTTCGATTCTGGATGTGAACATAGTTTATTTAGAGTTTCTTTTTTACATTAATGGTATATTTTTTTACAGTAAGATGCCAAAATTTTTATTTGAGACTCGCCGAACGGCATTGAATTCACAGATAAAAAAGATGTGGGTTCAACTTTCATTTTGGAACAATTTTTCAAGCAAGGGAAGGGAATGATCTGAGCATGCAGGAGGACTGACCCATCTTAAACCTTTGTTGGCTGTGCTGAAGAGAAAGGTACAGAACCAAATTATTTAATTAATTAGCTGCGCGTTCTCCTGTCCTCCGGGCCACACACACACAAGGGACTGTCTCAGCTGTTATTTTCGTTAAGGAGTGTGCACTTACAGCATGCGCGCCTTGTGCACGAGCCTACTATTGAAGTTGCTGTGACGCTTTTGGCCTGAGGGGGCAATCGCGAGCATAAAAATTAAAAAGTCTGTAAGGCCCCTTTAAGAAGCCAAAATCTGTCGAATCAAATTTATCTCCCATCTATGACCTGAAGAAGAAGAAAATATCATTTCTATAGCGTCTCAAGATAAAAATCACGAGGCGCTTTACAAAAACAGAAAATATAAAAAAGAATTTAGAAAATGGTTAAAAATATATTTAAAATGAGCAAAAAATAGACAATTGTGGTTAAAAAATGTTAAGAAAGAGAGTGAATAGGAAAGAGGGAAATCAGTGGATCCTGAGTAAGGTGGAATAGGTGGGGAGAGCAGAATAAAGAGAGTGGTGAAGAAGGTCATACAAAAGCCAGCTTGAACAAGTGAGTCTTCAGCTGTTTTTTAAAGGAGACCACTGAGTCCACGGATCTCAGGCTCAGGGGGAGAGAGTTCCAGAGTCTGTGGGCCACAGTAGCAAATGATCTGTCACCTTTGGTCTTTAGCCTGGTGCTGCACAACCAGTAGACTTTGATCACTGGACCTCAGGGACCTGCTGGGTGTGTAGGGACTGAGAAGATCACCAATGTAAGATGGTGCTTGTCCATGTAAGGCCCTATAGACCAGAACCAGGATCTTGAAATGAACCCTGAAGTTGACTGGCAGCCAATGAAGCTGGAGGAGAATAGGGTGATGTGGGAGTGTTTGGAGGACTTGGTCAGAAGCCGAGCACAGGCATTCTGAACCACCTGTAGACGGTTCAGGGAGGTTCTGCTCAGACACGTGAAAAGAGAGTTACAGTAGTCTAAGCGTGAGGAGATGAAGGTGTGGAGAACAGTCTCAAGTTCAGAGCGGGACAGAATGGGACTCAGCTTAGCAATGTTCCTGAGATGGAAGAAGGAAGAGCGAACAAGAGAACTGACATGAGAATCCAGGGTGAGGGCTGGGTCAAAGGTCACGCCAAGATTCCTGACAGAAGGTTTGTTGTGAGAAGCAAGCTGATCAAGAGAGTCTCTGACTTTGGGAACCAGTTTGTCTGGGGTACAGATGAGGATCTCAGTCTTATCTTCATTCAGCTGTAGAAAGCTCCCAGCCATCCAGGTTTGGATAGAGTCTAAGCAGGTGTGTAACAGCTGCAGCTTAGACATCTCATGAGGCTTAAAGGAGAGGCACAGTTGGATGTCATCTGCATAAAGATGGTAGGGGATCCCTTTGAACAAGCTCAGGATGTGCTGAAGAGGAAGCAGATAGAGGAGGAAGAGCAGAGGCCCCAGCACAGAACCTTGTGGGACACCATGGGTAAGGGAGGTGGTGGAGGACCTAAACTTGGAGACGGCCACAGGGAAGGAGCACTCAGAAAGATAAGGACGTTTTGATAGAAAACACCTTTATAACTTCATATCCCATCATTGCTGATTTCATTCAGAAATCCTCACCTGTGGTCATGAGTTTTGGGTGAGAACCAGGTTAAGACCTGCAGGACAGACTCTGAGGTGGTTTGGGCTTTTTGTTCAGGAGGTCTCCTGGAGGCCTCTTGGACATGTCCTGATGGCAGGAGGTCCCCAGGTCAATCTGGGACAGATGGGAGGAGCGATGTCTCTGTGCTGACTGCTGGTGGAGAGAGCTGATGTCACCCGGACCCGGATAAGCAGATGACAACAGACAAATGAACATGTTTCATAGCACAAAACAAAAACTATCATGAATTTCCTCACAGATGTTTAAAAAATATCGTTTGAAAAGGTTCAGAACCTTCAGAAGAACCAATTCTTATAGATAAAAGTGTGGAAGAGTTTTGTGTCCATAAATCCGTAACCAGGTTTGTTTTTGTTTGTGTTCCAGGTTCTGACTGAGGACGGGTTTGGCCCGATTACAACAGAGATTACTGAAGCCAAACCCTTTTATTATGCTGAGGACTACCACCAACAGTACCTGAGCAAGAACCCAGATGGGTACTGTGGCCTGAGAGGGACCGGCATCTCCTGTCCAGTGGAACTCGGCAGGACGACCCAATAGGTCATAATTTACTCCAACCACAGATTAAACTTGAAAATGAGTTTTACTGCAGAGCAACAAGAGAAATGAATTCAGGTTAAAACATTTCCAAAACGCCATGATTTAAAGGGAGACTAGGCAGTTTTAGCTTGCTTTTAGCACCCCCTAATGTCTGCTAGTAAAACCAAAAGTGGCACTTATCTTTTCGCTGTGCGTTTGCCTTTTTATGACCTTAATCTTACAGCTGAGATGTCTCCCAGCCTTCATTAGTGTCTGCAGGAGTGGTTCATCACTAAATCACACAAACTAGCTGTGTTCATGGTCTCAATGTTTAGGAAGCAGGCTGCTGCACCAGGTTTGTCAGCCCCACTTCACTAAGTCCCACAGAGACAGGACCGGCACTCTGAAGTTGCAAGTGCGGTATTGGGCGGTAGGGGTCTGAGTGACTTCACTTTAATCCTGTAAAGGGTTGTTTTAGCACATACTGGCTCGAGAAAATGATTTAAAAATATGAAAAAGTTGCAAAGTGTGGCTTTAAAACCTTAAATCTGTTTTATTTTTTAGTTCAAACATTTTCGTGGATTATTTTAATGAAGAAACAGATGCAGTTTATGTGTGAATAAAACAGCTTTTAAAATGTGACGAGTCAGGTTCTTTTCTGTGCTGCTCTGAGCCGTCCGCTCCGTCAGAACCGTATCAGAAAACGTTTCATCTGTCTGTTTGATGCTTTTTAATGCTTCGGTTCTGCTGACGCTAAATTCATCGTTTCCATCAACCTGTTGACCCAAATCAGGATGGTTCTGCTTCGCTCACTTTTTTCCAGTTTCCTCCTAGAAGGCCTGAGCTGACCTCCATACTTTTTGTTTCTGTGGTTTTTCCTTGTTCTCCATCTATCCTATAGCTCCAGCAGCTCTTTTGTAAAAAAAAAAAAAAAAAAAAAAAACGCCTGATTTTTTTGAACATTTGTGAAAGTAGCAGACTAATTTTCTGTAGTAATTTCACTAAAGTCACCAAGAGAAACTCTTCAAATACAGGAAAAAACAGCTTTTCAACTTCAAAATGTGTTCTGTTTTAATTGACTGAATTAAACAGAGAAATAGATCAGTTAAGTGCATATTAAATTTTATTTCATAGCTGTTGGTCAAAATGCCTCAAACCATATGAAGATGGAGATAATTGCATAAAATGAAACAACGTTTGTTGGATGGAGTCATGAGGTCTGCTGGTGCCACCTTTAGGGTCACCTCTGGGTCCAGGTCCAGAGAAGGCCTGGTGAACAGAAGACTAGGAGGTCCGAGAGGAGCTGTTCATCAGGAGTTTTATTGATGAAATATTAAACTAAAAAAAAACTTTCATTTTAAAAGATGAGTAGCGGTGTTCAGGATGTGCTGTGTTACAGTAATCCAGCTGGGTTGGGATTAACCCTCAAACTGGCAGGTCAACTGGATTATTGTGTTTTAGCTTCTAATTCAAGGATTAACAGAAATTTTAACTAATAAAAAACTCCCAAACAAACATAAAATATTGTAGATGTTAAAAATCATTACCTTAAATTATCATTCCTTTAATTTTGCTTTTAGTGCTTCAACTGAATTTTAAAAGAAAGCAAAAAGATGATTTTTAAAATGTTTTTTTTCTTGGTGGGAGTTTAAGAGATCAGCCTTTAAGTATCCTTACACACACACACACACACAAGCATTGAGGCATTTTCTACACATTTCAGATCATTTTTTCCCAGCAGATCACCATCCAGGATTCTAAAACCAGCAAAACTGGAACCAAACACCCTTCCTTGTGGGAAGTTTGGGGAGTTTTTCAGCTGTAAAAACGGCAACAATGCTGAAAAGTTTTGCACAAAACCTCAAAGCTATGTTAAAAACATCAATAAAACATGGTAAAATAAATATTTCAAGAGACCTAAAGCTGAAACTAAAACTAAACCCATAACATCCAAGTGTGTTTGAAATCTGAATGAACAGAATTTAATATTAATTTGTGTGTGTGTGTGTGTGTTGATGTTGTGTTTCAGAGCAGTGTTGTGGATGACCTCGTTCCCCTGGTCTTTGCCTTAGGCGATGTTCCAGCCCAGGCCTCATCTGTCATCATTGTTAATCTCCAAGCATGTGTGTGTGTGTTTTTGCACAGTAGATGTATGTGTGTGTGTTTTGATGGTACTGCATGCAAACACGCACACAGCAGCAGCAGGCGAGCCTATTCAGTGCCAGGCCCTCCAAAGCTTGGCATCAGCATCACAAAGCAAAAGAAGGAAGAGATGAGTCTCTTTGGAAATGGCAAAGCGCTACTTTGGGGCTCTGCTGGTTTGGATCTGCTCCACCATGCAGGCTAAAGGACCACAGATCCATCCGCTTTTGGAAAACTGACCACTTTTTCTGGAGCTGAGCTGTCGATACCAGATACTTTTTTAAAACCGCAAATTAAATGTAAAGTACAAAAAATTCTCACAATCTGAATATCATTTTGATTAGAAGACCCCTAAATGCTGCATAAATGGATGCAAACACCTCATAATTTTTTATGCATGCATCTACTTTCTGGTTTAATTTTTGCATTTTAAAACAATCGAATAAAAGTTTTAAAATAAAATAAAATTCCTGCAAGTTTTGATAAAAAAAATTATGATGCACTCCTCTTAAAGCACCAACGTCCATTTTTGAGCTCCGCTCACCATCAAATTTCGGGTAAGTTATCTGGCTTAGACTCTATTGTCACCTGGAGGTGTTTTCACGCATTACATCTACTCTAAAACCTTTTTTTACCTAAATATTAATATATAAATATAATAATATAAATATTGTTAACCCAAAAAAATATAAATCAGGTTTAAAACTGAGCTAACACACACACCACATAGGTGGGAGCACGTGGGTGAATCTGTAACTGGCTCCGCCCACCTCAGGTTAGGAAAAGCTACACAGCCTGAAATTAAACACCAAACTTTTCCATTAAATATAAAAGAAGCAGAGAAAATGTTTCAACAAGGATTGAAAATGAGAATTACACAAAGGTCAAAGAGTGCAGGTAGGAGCATGCTTGTTTGTTTGGAGTTGAAGGTGGAACAGGTGTTTAGTCAAGTTGTCCTGACACCTGGGTGGAGTTAAGGTGGACCAGAAACTTTACGACGTGATAAACTGAGTGAAACTGACTTTTGCAGAACGATTGTTGTTTATCATTTGCTTGTCGGAGTGTTGGATTGAAATGAAATGTTCTCCTGAGTCCTGAGACTTGAGTTTTTTTACTTTTAAAACTTTGCAACACAGAAATAACCAAACAAGCTGATAATTAACACATCATTAATCCAATAACTGATTCAAAAACTGTTCGTATAGTATGTGTTTCTACTTATCCCCTAAAAAATTCATACTTTATTATAATTTTGTCCCTTTTGTCGTTGCTGTTTAGAATAATGTGATGCATCTGGCTGCCGCTAGATGGCAGCAGAGCAGCAGGCGACCCAAACCTTGGAGAGATGGAGCACTGCTCAGATGTTTGCTGATAACTTTTTGAAACTCGTCTATTTTGGAGGGTAAAGTCTAAACTAGTAGACACTGTAAAATAATTTTTTAAAAAGTGTTTAAATTAAGTTAAAGTAAAGAAGTGAATGTTAAAAAGTAAGAAAAACAAACAAGTAAACAAAAACTGAAGGTGATTTTACAAAAGAAAACTCGACTACTGTGTTATATCCATGCGCCATGCAGGTGGAAATCCTTCATGTTACTTCTTAATTTACGTCCACTAACTCCAGCTGTTTCTGTAGTTTCTGATTCCTCCACCTCACTCAGCATGGCTCTATTAAATACCCCCTCTGTTAACAATAAGTCCTTCCTGCTCAACAATTTAATTCTATCTAAAAACCTGGATTTTCTGTTTCTGACTGAAGTTTGGCAGCAAACATCTGATTATTCTGGTCTGATTGAACTCTGCCCGAGTGGTTATTCTTTTCTTAGCCAGCCCCGGGGTTCTGGTCGTGGTGGAGGCCTAGCTGTTGTCTTCAGAGACCATCTTCCATGTAGCTCTACAACCTCTGGTCACTTTGCTTCCTTTGAACTGCAGCTGATTAAAGTCGGGCGTAAGGACCGGTTCTACTGTGCTGTGGTCTATCGTCCACCTGGTCCAAACAGTTCTTTCCTTCAGGAGTTTAGTGACTTTCTGTCCTCCACTGTGAAGCTGTCCAGACTGGTGATTGTGGGTGATTTTAACATCCACGTTGATAATCCCTCTGATCACTTTGCCATGAATTTCTCCAGCCTTATGGACTCCTTCGGCTTTACCCAGCATGTTTCTGGCCGCACACACACCTGGGGACACACTCTGGACCTTGTTTTTACCCTGAGTCAAAATGCTGACAGTGTTTGTCCTGAGGACGTTTATATTTCAGATCACCATTGCATTTTCTTTAACTTGTCAGTTTCTGCGTCCCCACCTACTGCTCGCCGTATGGTTAGTTCTCGTTTTCTTAATGAGAGCACAGATAGCAATTTTTCTGCTACTTTTGATCCACCCTGTTCTTCTGATAACAACCCAGATTCCTTAACTACTCAGTTTAACGAGCATTGCCTCTCCATTCTGGACAACATCTGTCCTGTCAGAACCAGATCAGTTCCTGCAGTGAACCCTACTCCCTGGTTTAATGACAGCCTTCGCAGCCTAAAGCGCCAATGCAGAAAAATTGAGCGCTTGTGGAAGAAAACCCATCTCCACGTCCATCTGCTGCACCTAAAGGATCTTCTGACATCCTTTAACTCTGCAGTCAGAGACGCTAGGGTTTCCTATTTTTCTAACCTGGTGTCCCAGAGCAAAGGGAACCCCAAGGTGCTGTTTAACACCATCAGCAGCATTGTCTCTCCTGCCTCTCCTACAGCCTCCATCCGCTCTGTTACAGACTGTGAGAACTTTCTGTCTTTCTTTGTGGACAAAGTCAATAAGGTTAGATCTAGCATCTCTCCTTCAGCCTTTTCGCTGCCTCTCCCGACTCCAACCAGGCCCATCATCCTAGATAGCTTTTCTCCTGTTTCTTTGCCGGAGTTAACCAAACTAGTTAACTCTATGAAGACCTCTGCATGCCCCCTCGACATCTTACCCTCATCTTTGTTTAAAAGTGCTTTTCAGTCCACCGGTCCCAGCATGCTCTCTATAATTAATGCTTCTCTGTAGGGCTGAAACGATTCCTCGAGTACCTCGAATAATTCGAGTACAAAATATCCTCGAGTCAAATTCTTTGCCTCGAGGCTTCGTTTAATTCATGTTTAATTAAATAGCTGCAGCCCTACTTCTCTGGTTTCTGGTCAGGTCCCTGTTTACTTTAAGAACGCTGTAATCCACCCGCTTCTTAAAAAACCGAGTCTTGACGCCTCTCTCCATAGCAGCTTCAGACCCATCTCTAAACTTCCGTTCATCTCCAAGATCTTGGCAAAGGCTGTGGCTAAACAACTCCCAGCTGCTCTTGATGAACATAACATCTATGATAGCTTCCAGTCAGGTTTTCGTAGAGCTCATTCTACTGAAACAGCTCTTCTTAGGTTCTCTGATGACCTTCTGACTCACAGTGATGCAGGGGACTGTTCTGTTCTGGTCCTGTTGGACCTGACTGCAGCCTTTGACACTGTTGACCATCACCTGCTACTGGAGAGGCTGAGAGACTGGGTTGGCCTATCAGGAACTGCTCTGGAGTGGTTCTCCTCTTATCTCTCAGAGCGCTCCTTCTCTGTGGCCGTCTCCAACTTTAGGTCCTCCATCACCTCCCTTACCCATGGTGTCCCACAAGGTTCTGTGCTGGGGCCTCTGCTCTTCCTCCTCTATCTGCTTCCTCTTGAGCACATCCTGAGCTTGTTCGAAGGAATCTCCTACCATCTTTATGCAGATGACATCCAACTGTGCATCTCCTTTAAGCCCCATGAGATGTCTAAGCTGCAGCTGTTCCACACCTGCTTAGAATCTATTAAAACCTGGATGGCTGGGAGCTTTCTACAGCTGAATGAAGATAAGACTGAGATCCTCATCTGTGCCCCAGACAAGCTGGTTCCCAGAGTCAGAGACTCTCATGGTCAGCTTGCTTCTCACACCAAATCTTCCGTCAGGAATCTTGGTGTGACCTTTGACCCAGCTCTCACCCTGGATTCTCATGTCAGTTCTCTTGTTCGCTCTTCCTTCTTCCATCTCAGGAACATTGCTAAGCTGAGTCCCATTCTGTCCCGCTCTGAACTTGAGACTGTTCTCCACACCTTCATCTCCTCACGCTTAGACTACTGTAACTCTCTTTTCACGTGTCTGAGCAGAACCTCCCTGAACCGTCTACAGGTGGTTCAGAATGCCTGTGCTCGGCTTCTGACCAAGTCCTCCAAACACACCCACAGCACCCCGCTTCTGCTCCAGCTTCATTGGCTGCCAGTCAACTTCAGGGTTCATTTCAAGATCCTGGTTCTGGTCTATAGGGCCTTACATGGACAAGCACCATCTTACATTGGTGATCTTCTCAGTCCCTACACCTCCAGCAGGTCCCTGAGGTCCAGTGATCAAAGCCTACTGGTTGTGCAGCACCAGGCTAAAGACCAAAGGTGACAGATCATCTGCTGCTGTGGCCCCCAGACTCTGGAACTCTCTCCCCCTGAGCCTGAGATCTGTGGACTCAGTGGTCTCCTTCAAAAAAACAGCTGAAGACTCACATGTTCAAGCTGGCTTTTGTATGACCTTCTTCACCACTCTCTCTTTATTCTGCTCTCCCTACCTATTCCACCTTCCTCAGGATCCACTGATTTCCCTCTTTCCTGTTCACTCTCTCTCTTTCTTTACATTTTTTTATCACAATTGTCTATTTTTTGCTCATTTGAAATATATTTTTAGCCATTTTCTAAGTTCTTTTTTATATTTTTACGTTTTTTGTTTTTGTGAAGCGCCTCGTGATTTGTATCTCGAGAGGTGCTATAGAAATGATATTTTCTTCTTCTTCTTCACTCCGTGGATTTTCTCTTAATTGTTTTGCAAAAGTACTTCCTTTCATTTCTCCTTGCTTACGAGGACACTGTCCTTCCTTGGTCAAAGAAAACGGTTAAATGGAACAGACTTGCATCATGTGACCGCGGCTTCCACGGCGGTCGCGTAACATCACATGACACGGGAGATAATGTTATATTTTATACATATTAGTTTCAATGTAAATATATAACGAGCCTTTTACTTTTTAAATTGTGTATATGTTTATTAAATTAAATATATAAGTGAGTTAGTACCCGCTAGCCACCGAAGCTGCAACTACTAAGCAACTTACAGACATAAATAACTTCGTTGGATCCAAAAAAAAAATTTTTAAATTAGCTGACTTACTTTTAAACTTGAAAATTGTCCCCGGAATAGCAGCCGGATTTTGATCCGCCGTCCATTTGAATATACAGCGGTGTATTCTGGGTAATTTTTGACCAAGACTAGGCTACAAGACACCTCCCGTGTATCCTTGCTCAGCTAGCTAAACGGCTAACAAACGGAGAACACATGCCTCGGTAGAACATGAACATTGGAACACGTCTTGGTGGCTCCCGATGACGTATCTCCTAGGCAACCGGGGCGGGGCCAAGACATCATGGCAAGGTTCCTTGGCATTGAGAAACACCCAAGAACTAGCTAACATGTTCTAACTCCTCCTCCCTGTTACTTTTATTGACTTTTAGGACTTTTCAGTGCTTTTATGAGTCAGAGCTGATAAATGTCGTCATCTGCAAAAAAATCAGTGAGGTGAGGGATCGTGTTGATTGTCCATGTGAACCCTTGCTTCACGTTCCGCTAGCTAAGGGCTACTCGGTGTTTGTGTTCCATCCCAGAATGCAACACAAACCTGGAAACGGATGAGCATTTGGCTCAGACCAGCAGGTCATTGTATCAAATCACTTTCATACTGTAACAAGCCGCTCACGACACCTGTTTGGTCTCAGTTTGGTTCTTTTGTTCCACATACTGGTGAGATTAAAACAAAAAGTACCAAGATGGAAAAGGCAAGGTATGATTCAAACAGAGTAAAGACAGTAAATACAAAAACGCCTTGAGTTAAAGCTACGTTTGTGCCTAGAGAGCAGTTAGCCAGGGTGGCCATCTTGAATTGGCTTGGCTCCAACTGGTAACATTGACATTTCACATAAACTTGCTGCTCATCATGTAGACATCATAGTTTAGGATGTGAATGACTCTCAGCTGCTGCAACACAAAACGTTAGCTTCACATCTGTTTTTAACTACATTTGATTAATGGCCTGTATTTATGTAGCACTTTCTTGAGTCCTTAAACCCCCCAAGGCACTTTATTACAACAATATTTGCTGCCTTCTTTAGGGATGTGCTTCAACAGCTTGAATGTTTTTTCTCTCCACCTGTGCAGGTGGAGCAGTGGTGATTTGGTGATAGATTAACAGTTTAAGCTCACATGCATCAGTCACTTTTTTTCTAACATTGGTAAACAGGCTATTTTGGCTCCAGAGGTTACCGTTGTGGTCGTCGGTGTGTTCGGGACTTCACTGTTAGATTTTAAGAGCTTCTTCTGGAGAAACGAGGGACAGAAGGTGGAGATGTAAGCGTCTTTAAACCCTGAGTTGCAGAAGCAGTAAACGATCGGGTCCAGAAGACAGTCGGTGTAGGACAAAACCATGAGGCTATCATAGACCTGCACGGCAACAAGTTCAGTCTCCTCCCAGTTGTTCAGCCGGACGACCAGCAGAGCTGCTCTGGCTATGGTGCTGGGGAGGAAGCAGCTGGAGAAGACGATGACCACGGACATGACGGCAAACATGGCCCTCCTCAATTTGGCCTTCTCTCCAACTGTCTTCCTCTTCAGTCGCTTCACGATGCGACACGTGCAGTAGACAAGAATGAAGAAGGGGAAGATGATCTGTGAGAAGTAGATGATCTAAAAAAAAAACAAGCTTTTTTTTAGTGATGGATATCTCGTAATGAAGCTCTTGCTGCAGTTTGAGCTGCCTGACTGTCTGTGGGGGTTAAGCTCTACTTGAGCTGCTAGTTGGAATTTGAGATTAAAAGATGGATTCCCTAAAATACAAAGAGGAAAATGGTTAATGAAGAACCATTTTTTATAGATGTGGGACACGTGTTTAACCAATATGCTTGCAGTGAGTCGAACTCTGGGGAAATAAAGTTCTGGTGCACCAGTTACAGGAACTGGAACTTCAGACAACAGGATTTGGACTCTTATTTCCTGATATCTGGACATCTCTCCTCTGATTGGCTAACAGCAACACAACTCTTCCACTGATTCTGTTTGCTCTGCAACGCTGATGTTTTATCTCCACAAATAACTCAAGCCTGGAGGAGTTCTGCTGTGTGGTGGAGTAGCCAATTGTGGAGGTTCCTCCAGCCATTTCTCAGTGTTAGTATTACATATTTTTTCCACATGCTGGAAAAAATATGAGTTCACCAGATTTTGTTAGGAGGTATTAGTTTAACTTTTTGTGGTAGTTATACTTAGTTGACTTAGATTCCTAGGTTTATTTACTGTTTGTCTTAGTGTTTCCCCGGTCTCTCCCCTCCTCGTTGTCTGTAGGCTAGCCTTTGTGTATAAATTCCCCTGTGTGTCTCAGCTTTGGAACCAGTCTTGTTTGTTACTTTTAGTTAAGGTTATTTTCGTGGCCATTTTTTCCTTTGGACCCGTTTTGCCTTGATTTTTGTTAATTATGTATGGAAATAAATTGAGAATATATTCTTTTTATACCATTGTCCTGGAGTTTTACTGCTCGGTCCCTGACACTAATGATAACGGTTAGCTTCTACTAGCTGGGATGTTCTCTGCTGTTTCCAGCCTTTCCCATCGTGAGCCAAGTAAGTCCATGAATATTAAGTCACAGTGTGATGTAGATCTGTCAGGATTTTCTAATCCCAGAGTTTCACCGTCTGTTTTCTATCAGCCTACATGAAAAACTCAGAGTGACCGATTAAAAGTAATCATTAAAAATGTTCTTCAGTGAACCTTATCTTGAAAGCATTAACATTGGTTTAATGGATTATTTAGGAAGATAAAAGAATCTTGTAAAATTGGTTATTTTTGGTGTTTTGCACCCCCTGTGGTTTCAAGCCCCGCCCACAACGTGTAAACTAACTTGCCTAAATTAAAACTAAAACAGCAACGTGTATATATATTTATTTTTGCGTGTTGATCTTGTACACTTTTGAGTTTTACTCAAAAACATCAGTTCAGTCCCTGTGATCCACTCGCTGTGTACCTCCTCTCTCCCTCCTCTCCTGTGGGTTGGAATTCGCACCTTCGCGCAGCGGTGTTACGTCATCAAAATTCTGCCTGGTTCGGTAGCCGGACTCGGTTCCCTGTTTGAAATGTGTTTCTCCAACCGCTCCACACGGCAGCATCAAAATAATGTTTACCACTCATAAAGAGCGGATTCTCAGCGTTTTGCGCACACGAGCGAATTGTGAACTGGCGTTGTGTATGTGTGTGTATATATATATGTATATGTGTATATATATGTGTGTGTATGCATGGTGGCGCAGTGGTTAGCACTGTTGCCTCGCAACACGAAGGTCGCGGGTTCGAAACTCGGCTGCAGCCTTTCTGCGTGGAGTTGCGTGTTCTCCCCATGCATGCGTGGGTTTTCTCCGGGAACTCCGGTTTCCCCCACAGATCACAACATGCCCTATAGGTTAAAAAAAAAAATTGTAAGTCGCTTTGGGTAAAAGCGTCTGCTAAGCACATAAACATATATATATAAACATATATATGTGTGTGTATATATATATATATGTGTATATACATGTATATATATGTATATATATATATATATATATATATGTGTATATATGTATGTATATATATGTATGTATGTATGTATGTATGTATGTATGTATGTATGTATGTATGTATATATATACATATACATATATATATGTATATATATGTATATAAATGTATATATATATATATATATGTATATATATATATGTATATGTATGTATGTATATATGTATATGTATATATATATATGTATGTGTGTGTGTGTGTGTGTGTGTGTGTGTAACGGTGTAAATAGTAAATGTTATTTTGTTGTTAAATTCCTGTTAAATGTGGGACTGCAACTGTAAGTCCTGTTTTCTTTTGGAAGTTTTATTTTTAGGTGCTCTTATTGTGAAAATCCACAGCAGAAGTTGGGTTGTATTTAGTGCCATATGGTTTGGAGCAATCGGTCAGTAGCAACGGAGCTTTTGCTGTGTCTGGGTGGAGAACTGTTTGCTGGAAACTTATGGTTGTGTGTGTTCCATGTTGTTCCAGAATAAATCACACAAGAGGTCTACCTGAGTCCAGAGGTCATTAGTTCCGCAGCCACAGAGAGAAGAGCAGGGTAGGACACACACACACACACACACACACACACACACACACACACACACATATATATATATATATATATATATATATATATATATATATATATATATATATATATATATATATATGTATATATATATATATATATATATATATATATATATATATATATATATATATATATATGTATGTATGTATGTATGTATACTGTGTATCGATAAATTATTACTTCATCAAACATAACCAAAGACAGTCATTCTTTTGACTCAGACCTCAAGGACCAGACACACCTCCTCTATGGAGGACTTTTATTCTGTTCCCATACAGATAAAAAAAAATCTCTCCACATCAAAGGTAAAGGTGTTCTAGCATAGTTAAAAACCAGGAAGGTACCTCTCTGAAGGTGTCTGTCACATCATGATAAAACGTCTCCACTTTACGCCCGTGGCTGTTGCAGCACTCGAAGGTTTCCACCATGGTGGGGATGGTGAGGGGCAGCAAGAGGAGCCATATGAACAAGGAAATCTGCGGAGATTTCTTAAAAGTCTTGAAGCAGTTTTTCCTCCCGAGATGCACCACGCTGAAGTAGCGATCGAGGGACAGGGTGATGAGGAAGGCGATGCTGGCACCTCGGTTGAGAAACAGCATGAAGAGCATTGTCTTACAAACCACACGGTTGTCGCTATGCCTCAAGCTGTGTTGATAGTGGTAGATCTCGACTGGAAGGCAAACCACCAGCAGAAAATCAGCAACCACGATGTTGAACAGGAAGATGCTGTTGTTCTTCCAGAACTTGAATCTAAAGAAGTCGTTTACAGAAGAGGAGTGAAAAGGACAAAATGAGTGCAGACGTTTTATCATATCTGCTCACCCCCAAAGCATCACTTCATTTAAACTTACAGCATTTAAATGCTAGCCAATTTTCTTCTCATTTAGATCAGTTTTGGTAGTTTTTAATGCAAATTAGAAGTAGAAATGGATGGCGTCAGAGAAAATCTTTACCTCACTATAAATATGAGTTTGGCTTTGGCTCAGGTTTTAAATCCTGCCTTTTGACTTTTATTTTTGAGTTTTTAAAGATAAAAATTGTGTTTTCATTTGAACATTTTTGAGGAATTCTCAAATATAACTCAGTTAAAGACCATGGTTAATTTTTACTTTATTTAAACATGAAAATTTACTCTCATGGTTTATTGTAACAGTTCGAAAAAGCAGAAATGTTTAAATTAAAACCATCTCAGAAGCATTTCACATTACGCTTGACTCCTTCAGGAGTTTAAATAACAGGAAATTCCGACAAAATTCCCAACTCTTCACCTTAGTTTTTCATCTCTTGACACCTCACCTGATTTATCATTTAAATCTCAATTTTTGTGGAACCATAGTGTTCCTTAGTACCTGAAGATGAAGACGTAGAGGACCGATAAGTTGAGAGGTAGACCCAGTATGAACTCCCCAGCCATCAGCCAGGACAGGGCTTGGTACGTGATGTTATTGGGTGTTTTACAGTTGTCCACTGATGAGTTGACAGATGAAGACATGTCCTTTTTTGTCAAGCTGAACTCTTCGTCCCGTTGTTTTGCGTTTTGGCTCCTCAAGAAAAGCTTTCTGTCCTCGTTCTTATCCGACAAATTCAACGGTTCCCTTCAGAGATCCCTCAAGAGCTCCACTGAGCCGTTTGCACCCATGCCAAAAGATACACAGGAAATATGTAAATATTGCATTCAGAGACAGGAAAAACCAACAGAGTGGATGAGAAAGCACCCAAAGAGGAGCAAGTCTGCAAATGATCCATCAGAGAGGAAGAACTGGCTCTTATCTGGAGGTGTGGTCTAAACGAGCTCAGCTCACTGAGAAGCTTCTTTTCTGGTTAGCAGCTCCTAAATGAGACAAAAGGAACACATCTTGCTTGTAAAAATGAAAACATGACTAAGCTTTTTCCATATTATTCCAAATATAAACCACCCGTCTCTTTTACCACGAAGAAGTCCTGGCATCGATCACAATCACTACTATAAGGTGCAATTGTCCATTAATCCAAGTGGAAAAATGTGAAGCACCTGTGGGAGGATTGAGCTGACATCTGATTAAATGAATGAAGACTCTATGACTCAGTTGTGAGATAAAAACTTGCACCTGTACAGGAATGTTGCAGCTCTTTTGCAGTTTCAACCAAAAGTCTAAATTCAGTCTGATTCCATCTGAACCTTTTCTAGTTTTTTCATAATTTCGTCTCCACCTACTCACCAAAAACTGGTGCATGCTGAGCTGAAGTCTTTGTGAAACTAGGCTGTACTCCGTTTGTTCCGGCTGGTTTTTGATGTACTTCCACTAAAAAGCATTGATCAAAGTGATGAGGCTCCTCAACAACATCTGAAGAACTTTTCCTGAAACCTGTTCACTGTGCTGGTGCCAACACCGAGGACGAAGGTGGTGGTGAGTTCGATCAGATGGCAGGGGAAGATGCCGCGTAGACCTGACAGACCCAAACGCATAGTGAGGGCCTGCTGGGAACGCCTGGTAGAAGAACCTGTTAAGACGGTCTTCAACTCCCACCTCTGGCAGAGCTTTGACCGCATCCCGAGAGCAGTGAGGGACATAGACTCCGAGTTGGCCTTGTTCCACTCTGCGATTGTTGAGGCGGCTGTTGCTAGCTGTGGTCGTAAGGTGGCTGGTGCCAGTCGTGGTGGCAACCCCCGTACCCGCTGGTGGACACCAGAGGTTCGGGGAGCCGTCAGGCTGAAGAAGGAGGCCTACAGGGCGTGGCTAGTCTGTGGGTCTCCGGAGGCAGCAGACAGGTACCGGATAGCCAAGCGGGGTGCAGCAGTGGCAGTTGCCGAGGCAAAATCTCGGGCATGGGAGGAGTTTGGTGAAGCCATGGAGAAAGACTATCGATCGGCTCCAAAGAAGTTCTGGCAAACTGTCCGGCGCCTCAGGAGAGGAAGGCAGCAACTCGCTCACACTGTTTACAGTGGGGACGGGGAGCTGCTGACGTCAACTGAGGCTATAGTCGGACGGTGGAAGGAATACTTTGAGGAGCTCCTCAATCCAACCTACGCGCATTCCGAGGAGGAACCAGAGCCGGGAGACCTGGGTATGGACTGTCCAATCTTGGGGGCAGAAGTTGCTGAGGTAGTCAAACAACTACTCAGCGGCGGAGCCCCGGGGGTGGATGAGATTCGTCCTGGGTATCTCAAGGCTATGGATGTTGTGGGGCTGTCATGGTTGACACGTCTCTCCAACATTGCGTGGTCATCGGTGGCAGTTCCTGTGGCGTGGCAGACCGGGGTGGTGGTCTCCATCTTTAAGAAGGGTGACCTGAGGGAGAGTTCCAACTATAGGGGGATCACACTCCTCAGCCTCCCTGGAAAGGTCTACTCCAAGGTACTGGAGGGTCTGATCGATAGTTGAATCTCAGATTGAGGAGGAGCAATGTGGTTTTTGTCCTGGCCGTGGAACTATGGACCATCTCTATACCCTTGCAAGGGTGATGGAGGGGGCATGGGAGTTTGCCCAACCAATCCACATGTGTTTTGTGGATTTGGAGAAGACTTATTACCGTGTCCCCAGGGGCACCCTGTGGGGGACGCTCCAGGAGTATGGGGTGGGTGGCTTTCTGTTAAGGGCCATTCAGTCCCTTTACCAGAGGAGCGTGAGTTTGGTCCGCATAGCCGGTAGTAAGTTGGACCTGTTCCCGGTGAGGGTTGGACTCCACCAGGGCTGCCCTTTGTCACCGGTTCTGTTCATTACCTTTATGGACAGAATTTCTAGGCGCAGCCGTGGTGTGGAGTGTGTCGAGTTTGGTGGCAGGAGAATCTCGTCTCTGCTTTTTGCGGATGATGTGGTCCTCCTGACTTCATCCAGCTCTGACCTTCAGCTCTTGCTGGGTAGGTTCGCGGAGTGTGAAGCGGCTGGGATGAGGATCAGCACCTCCAAATCTGAGACCATGGTTCTCAACCGGAAAAGGGTGGCTTGCCAACTCCGGGTCGGGGGAGAGGTCCTACCTCAAGTGGAGGAGTTTTAAGTATCCCGGGGTCTTGTTCACGAGTGAGGGTAGGAGGGATCGGGAGATCGACAGGCGGATTGGTTCAGCATCGGCAGTGATGCGGACGCTGAGCTGATCTGTTGTGGTGAAGAGGGAGCTGAGCCAGAAAGCCAGGCTCTCGATTTACCGGTCGATCTACGTCCCAGTCCTCACCTATGGTCACGAGCTTTGGGTAATGACCGAAAGAACGAGACTGCGGATACAAGCGGCCGAAATGAGTTTCCTCCGTAGGGTGGCCGGGCTCAGACTTAGGGGTGAGGAGCTCGGACATTCGGGAGGGACTCGGAGTAGAACCGCTGCTCCTCCGGATCGAAAGGAGCCAGTTGAGGTGGTTTGGGCATCTGGTCAGGATGCCTCCTGGACGCCTCCCCGGGGAGGTGTTTCGGGCATGTCCTGCCGGCAGGAGGCCCCCGTGTCGGGTCGACCCAGGACACGTTGGAGAGGTTACATCTCCAATCTGGTCCGGGAACGCCTTGGGGTCCTGCCGGAGGAACTGGTGGAGAAGGCCGGGGAGAGGACGGTCTGGAGCTCCCTAGTTGGGATGCTGCCCCCGCGAACCTGACCCGGATAAGCGGAGGAAGAAAAAGGAAAGGCGACGATGACTCCGGACTCATGTTCTGCTGATATCTTTTGGCTGAACTAGTCTTTTTCTATCTGTTGTGTTTGGTTTTGTAGGTCTGCTTGTGTTGTGTTTTTTCATTGTTGCTATTATTTTTTCTGTTATGCCTTTGATGTATGGAAGAGTTATCACTGGTTTTTGTTGTTCTTTTCTTCCTGTTGTTGTTTTCCTTTGTTTATTGCCCATGCTGGGCATCCACAGGTTTTTAAAGCATTTTTATGTGTTGGTCCTCTTGTTTACAGTCTCGTTCTTCTGTTATTATGTTTGCTTGGTGCGTGTTGGTTTCCTGTTTGTGTTCATGTACAGGGTCCCATATTTTTGTCTGCTTACTTTCATGTTCATGAAAGTTATGCTGCCTTCTATTTCTTCCTCATAAGTGTTATGTTGCTTGTGTCGTTGATATTATTCAGGTGTTCTGTCAGTGTCTTTGTTTTTCCTGTTGGTATGATCTCTAGTATGTCATCTGCGTAGCGTAAAGGGTGGCTGATAAGGTGTTAACCATGGCGAAGCCTTCCAGCTTGTATATGGTTCTGCCATATGTTGGTGTACCAATGCTGTCTACTATTGGTCTAAGCGGAGCATTCTGTTTGTGTAATTTTGGAGTTCCTTAAATTCCATTACAAATGATTGCTGCAGGAATCAGGGGCCACTGGCTAAATGCGGGTAAATTGATGAAGTGGCGGGCTTATTGGCACAATGCACACGCCACAGTGGCGGGTCTCAAATATGAAGATAAAGCAGCGTTGTTTATACAACCGACCTGACGGGTGCAGCAACGCGCCCGTGATGCCATTAGTCTGCCATTCTCATCAAAAGAGGAACTGAACAGCCAACTGTCAATAAAAAGCACAAGAAGAAGAAATTTGTTTTTCTGTTTTCATCATGGCGGAGCCTGGAAGTAAAAGTAAGAGTAATGTCTTTGGAAGCGAATAAAAAGTAACATTTTTAGTGACAAAATGTTGAATTTATTGGTTTCCATCAATATGTAAAGAACATCTCAAGCAATGAGGCAAAAATTTTCCAGAAAAAAAATCTCCTACCCCTCCATTAAGTATGTTTTTGTGAGATGAGGCTTACGCTCCACTCGTGTTGGGATTTGAAATAAACATTGACAGGGTTCTAAGCCTTCTTTCAAAACCCTCATTCCAAAATCCAAACCACACCAGCATGGATGACTTATTGCAAAGCAGACTTCCTTTGGAGCTAATCACATTTTAAACAGATTGTACTTTTCAAGTCAAACATTAAATTAGCCTCACCGACAAATGACAGCAAATGATTTAAAGTTTCTGTTTCTGCAGGGTAACGACGAGGTTCCTCTCACTTCAGTCTGGACACACGATGAGGTTGCATGATGAGGTTGCACAAAAGCTTTGGCGCATTAATTCTGCAATGGTCTGCAAAGTCAGTCATGTCATGGACCTCCTGTTGTTGCATCACATCTTTACGCTCCTGCTGCAGACTCATCTCTATCAGATCGACAGGGTCAGAGCTGGGAACCAGCCTCCACCTCCACAGATATAAACGACTCTGTCAAGGACTTCACATTAGTAACGTGTAGACTCTTGTTTGGCAGCATGCGCTTTAGAATACCAGTGACAGCTGAGAGTTGTTGTAGGAACTAATGTGCAACATTTAGGCTAAATACACCAAGCACACGTTATGAGATAATTCGGTCATCATTCCAGTTTGGAGGTGCCGTGTTGTTTGTAGTTTGAAGTTTGTGCCACTAGGTGGTAGTAAAATCAAAACAGAAGCGTGACTTTAACCTGGAACAGAACTTTTCTACATTTCAGCAACATGTTGTCTTATTTCTTAACTTGAAGGACATGTTTTCTTGTGCTGTCTGACATAAATACTTAGACAAATCAGCGCTTTGAAAAATACACATAAAGGTGCATGAGGCCAAATAAAACATGCACATGTGTGTAAACATGTTCACACAATGTTACTCACTTTTTATTTGATGAGTTAATCAGAGTTCAATCTCTTTCTTAAATAAAATTATTTTATTACCTGAAGCCCAGAGATGTTTGGTAGTAATTGTCTGTGGAACATTTTAATATCTCACCTGTTGTAGAAAGCTCTTTGAATGACCTCAGTTTGGAGAAAGAGCCTCGTTCTAACCCGTGTTGGTAACCCATGACGATGCGATCATGGCTCATGCTAAAACCATGCTGTTATACTTTTTACACAGAACGGTGGAAATCCTCGTACTAGTGGCTGGTTCTGAGGACCATCATCCCCAGGCTGGTTAGCTCTTTCACACAGATCAGGATGCTTTGTGCTAAACACTGCAGCTTCTCAGGGGCCTGGTGGTAGAACGTCCAGGGGCGTAGCACCAAATTCTGGGCCCTAGGTACAAGTCTTCTAGGTGGGCCCCCATGCTCAATTACTTAATATCTCTCTGACACATTTTTTGTCATGCTATAAGACAAGATAATAAATATGATCTTAGTTTAACCTCTATATTGAGCAAATACAAATGCCAGCATAATAAAAGTGAAATGCCAAGACTTCACATATAATTATTTTTATTTGCCAACAATGTGTTCAAACAAAAATCCTGGAATTTATTTTCCTGTAAATGCCCACTGACAGGTCTTCATGTTAGCAAAATCACTTATGAGATCTTTAAAGTCCAATCCTTTGGCTAATTGGCTTTCAATAGAAAAAAGAACTAGGCTGTTCAGTCTATCCTGGGACATTGTTGATCTCAAATAATTTTTCACCAGTTTCAGTTTGCTAAAAGCCCATTCACCCCCAGCAACAGTCACAGGCAGTGTGCAAAAAATCCTCAGTCCAATACAAACTTCTCCAAAAATGCTCTGTAATTGCATCCTGTATGGCATTAAGCAGCTCAAGAGGAGACCGAATGTGTGGAAATGTGGCACCATATATTGTTCTCAGGTGTAGCATCTCATTCTCAAATTCAGCTGTGAGATCCTTGTAATATTTTCTCATCAGTGCCTGGCATGATGTCTTCATCTGCTCTTCAGTCATGTCTGTCATGGTTCATGATGTTAAGCTTTGCTGATATGTATTGATATATTAAATACATATGACATGAAATAAACCAGGTTCTCTCTGTGAATGTAATGCACTCTAAATTTTATAATCCCTGCATTATCAGCCAAATTATAAGATTGTCCGTTTTCAAGATCAAATATAAAGAAATTTAAAATAGGCTTAAAATATCTAACCAAGTCAATAACAATCCTCTAACACCAGTGTCGTCATGCTATACGAAAAACAGTGGCAGCTTCTCATTCCTGAGATTACCACGAATCCATCGATACCAAGTTTGTCCTGGTCCATGACTGGGAAGGAGCTGAAATATCCACACAGAGTGAACCTGTTTTTACTGCGAGGTCCGCGAATTAATTGGCGGCGGCCGCCCGCGATAATAATTCTGATTTTAATATATATATATATATATATATATATATATATATATATATATACATATATATATTAGGGATGAGCGAGTACACCACTATCTGTATCTGTACTCGGAATGGGCGTGGCATAACCCGGAAGTGGGCGTGGTTTAACCGGAAGTGGACATGGTTTACATCAATGTATTATTTTAAGTCTGAAATTTATATGGATTGATCAGAAGTTGCTATGTGTATTGTTTATTTGAAAACTATTTACAGAGCAGCCTCAGAAGTGAGATTAAATATTTTTGATCACAATAGTAAAGAAACTATTACAGAAAAAGTGTTTCAATAAAATCAGAACATTAATATTTGAGTGCATGGATTAATACATCTGAACCCATGCAGTAGGAACTAGGAAATATGAAATGCTAGAACCAGACACAACTTTATATATTTTTTTTATTTTAATTTGATTAAACTGATTTTTTTTTCTTAACGTTCTTGGCATTTTCCCACACAAAGTTTAACAAAGAAATGTTGATTAATGTGTGTGTGTGAGTGTGTGTGAGAGAGAGAGAGAGAGAGAGAGAGAGAGAGAGAGAGAGAGAGAGAGAGAGAGAGAGAGAGAGAGAGAGAGAGAGAGAGAGAGAGAGAGAGAGAGAGAGAGAGAGAGAGAGAGAGAGAGAGAGAGAGAGAGAGAGAGAAAAAATTAAAAACCCCACCGGAGCGGAGGTAGTGACAACAGCACGTCAGCTCTGTCTTGTCAAATGCACCATGTCAGTTACGAAAAAAGTAACTTTAAATATTCAACCGAAAAAGAGGCGAGCTGAAGAAAACCTAGGGAAAACTGAAGAAACGTGAGCAACAGTGAAGCCATCACAGCGCGATCCGTTACTGTCTGTGTGTGTGCGTGGATGAGCCGGCCGGACTGAGCTCCCGGTCGGCTAGAGAGTTTTGTAAGTAGGGAGGGGCGGGCGCTCTATGTGACTGGCCAATCACAGAGCGTGAAGACAGTCAGTTACCCAATGAAGATTTTCCTTCAGCACGATTACAGAGAATGACTCGTTTTACTAGTTTCATGCTCGTATTCATCAAAAATGCGTTATCCGTACCGGATACTCGTCTGAAATGAGTATCCGGCTTATCCCTAAAATTAGTGTTTTCACTGATAACACTAATTAATTTATATTTGATCTTGATGGTGAAACTAAAGGTGTTTAACACTGAACACCTAACATGAATGCAGCTTCTGAGAGCTAGCTAATATCAGCTAAAACTGTGTTCTGCTGCTGCTGCTCACCTTCCTTCTACTTGCTTCTGTTCAATTAACTTTTCCTCCTTCTCCTTCTTTTCTTTTCTTTTCTTTTCTGGAAGCCAGATTTCCCTTTCTTGGGAAAAGACATGACTGACTCTCCTGCCTCCAGCTCTGGCTGTCGGCATCTGCGATGTCTCATTAGCACATGCAGCCGGGCAGCCCCTGGCCGCTGGTGTGGACTAAACCACTTTGCACATTTTTAAGGGGTGATAGATGCCTCAGAGATTATTCAGTTATTATTTTTAAGGCGAAATTCTGTTTCTTAACCTCTTTATCCAGGTAAAGGGAAATTTATTAAGACATTAAGTAAGTTGGGGGAAAAAAACAACAACAATAAAACATTTTTATTCAAAGCTGTCTCAGGGCCCCTCCCTGCAGTGGGCCCTGGGTAAACGGTACCCTTTCCCCCCCCAGTCCGACGCCCCTGAGAACGTCTGCCCTGAGCCTGGAGAGAAGGGTTGAGGCAAGTTTATTTTTAATTTGCTGCAGCAGCTATTCTTGTAGAAAAAGCTGATAAACTTCATTATTTGCAGGAACTCGTCTGTCTCATGTCCTCTCGTAAACATCAACTACAAAACAAAGTAACACCTAATTGTGCAGAGAAATACTTGGTTATATTCACAAAAGTTAAACAACCCGAGAGCATTTTCAATCCTCCAGGCGCGTTCCCTTTGGTCAGCTGACCAGGGACCATTAACAGTGCTCAGGTACGTGTTGAAATCTTGTGGGAGCCGTGCTGGGACCAAGGCTCTGGAATGAGCCAACATCAACCAGGAATATCACTTGATGGCTTTAAGTGCTGACTAAAAACTCATCTGTTCTCGCTGGCGTTTGGACACTGAGGTCGGGATTAGGCGGGCGGTCTCGCTCAGATTATTTATCTTATCTGATTGCGGTAACAAGACTGGTCTGGATTGCTCAGTGTACTTGGGAATTTTTTATGGTGTTTTGATGGTTTTATGTATGTCTGTTTTTATTGGTGTACAGCGCTTTGTTTGTCCCTTTGGACATGTGAAAGCGCTTTATAAATAAAGTAGACTGGATTTGATTGGTTTGGATTCTGTGGCAATTTCTCTATTGAACTACTATTAATTCACTTTATAATTACACCTTTTTAGCTTAGTAAACATGGAACAAATGGAAATATGGAATTGGAAATCTGGCAAAGTGGAATCTAGGATAAAATTAAAAATGTTCCATTGGGTCCTGGTATGTCGTCAGATTTAATGGTACTGTCAGAGTACTCGCCCACCCTTAAAGTGACAGTGTGTATTTTTCCTGTCGATAGGGAACAGTAGATACATAAATCATTGCAATGAAGCAGTATTTTTGTGTTGGAGTAAGACCTTACCAACGGATGCCCATTAGGGTCAAAAAGCCTTGGGAAGTGAAAACTTTAACAAAATAACAAGCACATCAGACTCCCTTTTATCACTGGCAACAAATGATGAGGTAAATGTGTAAAACTACATTTAAAAATGACTACAAATTTGTAACTGTTTGTTACAAATCAGTAAATGCATTTTGTCCTCATGGGCTCCCGTAGAAGGAAACATGGCATCTAATATGGCATTGCCCAGAGACTTAGACCCACTCCCATGTACTTTAGACCTGGTTTTATGGCTATATGTTATGAAACCTCCACATTTTTTCAACAACTGGGCTTCATGTCATTCATTTTCAACAATATTTTGATGGATGTTTCAAGAAATTAATGGTAAAATCTACACATTGTCTCTTTAAATACTGATTTATAATATTTTCATTTTGCAGGGTGAAGCTAAACAGACGTTCAAACTTGAAACACGTGTCCTCAAGAAGCGCTTTCATTTCAACACAAAACAGTTCAAAGAGAAAATGTTTTCAGGTTTCAACTGATCTTTAATATCTGCATCCACCCCTCTGTAGTTGCATCTGTATAACGTTAAATGTTTATATTTTATTTGGTCTCCCTTCAGAGAGTCCCCTTTCTTCAGTCTGCACAGCAGCATTTCTAAACTTCACATCCTTTTTTCCACTTGTTTGCGTGTATTTAAAGCCACATTGTCTGAAGTTCTCTCTTTCTGTGTCTGGGTTCCTTTCATCAAACAGGGGAAGTAAGTGGAGATGTAAAGTTCCTTAAACTTGGTGCTGCCAAAGCAGTAGACCAGTGGATCCAGTAAGCAGTCCACATAGGAAAGGACCACGAGTCCGTCGAAGGCCTCGGCTGCTTTATCCAGAACGGATTCGTTTAGCTTCTGGTCGCTGACGACCAGCAGGACCATCCTGGCAATGGCGCAGGGCAGGAAGCAGAGGGAGAAGACCACCATTACAATGGTCACCAGCAAGACCGCTCTCCTGACTTTGGTCCTATTCCCAACTCCTTTCCGCCGGAGCCGGTTGACGATGCACACGGTGCAGTAGACCAGGATGACGAAGGGCACCACGATCTGGCTGAAAAACACTATCTCTCTCAAGATGTCCACCACATCCTAAAATCGGAAAGAAAGGGTCCCGTTATATGTCAGTTTAATCTTCACATCATGGCAGCTGTGGCAACATCATGACTCTAAAATGCATTTGCAGCAACATAATTTTCTTTTCAGGCTGTAATGGTTTTAAACTGAACTCCGGCTATGAGGACATGCATGCCCTAATAAGCCGCAAATTTTCTGTTGTACCAAAGTATGTTGTTAGAAACAGACAAAATATAGCAGTTTATAAGTTTATAATATTTAGTACATTTTTGGACATACGTAGGATGCCATGTTTTCTGCACGCAATGCACTCTGGGGGTGATGGCGTATATTGGTTGCACTTGGAGGAATAGCTATTGACGCTAATGTTTGTTTACACGCTCACCGTATTAATAATGAAGTAAAATGCCGCATTGTGCTGCTTTTGGATGTAATTTGCAGTCAGAGGGCAACAAGGGGAGTGATGTGAGTTTACAGCTTTCCCACTGGCAAGAAGAGGAGAAAGCAGTGGGAAGATGCCTGTGGACGGATACAACTTCCCAAAGATCCGTGGCTGTGTTCCCAACATTGAGGCCTATAGTCGACCACAACTACTTAAAGAGCTCACCAGAGCGGCTGGGTATAAGAGAAGGCGGAAACGAAATGCTTTAGCAACCATTTTCCCACACAAGGAGCCTAAACGCCCTCGGAGAGACGAGAGACGCTGGACGCTCTCCTGAGCCGACAACCCGCTCCCGCAGCTGCCGCTTCTGTCACGTTCAGCGAACCATCGGACACGACCCTCGTCACGGATGAAGCTGAACATCCACCTCTCTCATCAGTAAAACAAGCAGTAAGTGTAGCAACTCAGTGTTCTCCAGATATATAATATCTGCAGAAATGATTAAAGTTGTTTAAATGAATATCCTAATCATCTATGAAGCACACGGCAGCTCTGGATGCTAAAATTCTCCTAAATCATTCATAATTGAATAAGTTTGGTCACACAATAGCTTACTGTTAACTTCTGCTGACAAAAAGGTGAGCTCTTTCCCTCTCGGTTACCATGGAGACGCTTTTGGTCCTGCTCTCGCTTCATCGCTCCCTTCTTGGACATTTTTTCTCTAGTTTCTCAAGAAAAACTGTATTTTTTGGACATTTTACTTTTTGGTTTCTCGTGCTGTGAAGCTTGGAGGATTTTTACTGCTATTTTTTCACTTTTTTCACTTTTTGAGCATTTGTTGTGATGCGTAACCATGGCAACAAGCTGGTTTACAATCGGCAGCAGCTGATTAACGTTTGAAAGGCTGAAATAATCCCAAATGAGCTAAAACGCAAGAAACGTGGGTGCAGAGCGGGAGCAAAATGGAGACAGAGATAGAGGAAATTCAAACCATCTCTTCCATCGATCATAATGGGCCTTGTGAGATCACTGGCCAACAAGATGGAGGAACAACAAGCCCTTTCAAGGACTCAACCAGAGTTTCGGCAGTGTAGTGCTATGTGTTTCACTGAGACGTGGCTGCAGGACCATATCCCCGATTCCAGCGTCTCTCTGCCAGGATTCCTGACTGTACGAGCAGACAGAGATCTGAAGAGGAGCGGGAAAAGAAAAGGAGGTGGAGTGGCAGTGATTGTCATCAACAGATGGTGCCATCCAGCTCATGTTTCAGTGAAATGTTGTCTCTGCAGCCCATATGTTGAACTCTTGGCAGTAAGTTGTCGCCCATATTATTTGCCAAGAGACCGTTTATATTCCACCTTCATCCATTGCTGAAAATGCATGTGATGCCATCGGTTCCATTGTCGCTAAGCTACAAACCCAGCACCCCAATGCATGTGTGGCTATATCTGGTGATTTTAATCATGCCTCGCTCTCTGCTACACTTCCAACATTTCAACAGTTTGTCAGCTGCTCCATCAAAGAAAACAAGACATTGGATTTGTGTTATGCAAATGTAAAGAATGCATACATGTCCAAAACAAGACCTCCTCTGGGACAATCAGATCACAATCTTGTTTTTCTCTGCTCAGAATACAAACTACTTGTTCAGAGGCAACCTATGACAAGAAGAACTGTGAGAAAATGGTCACAGGATGCTGAAGAAACCCTGCAGGGTTGTTTTGAGACCACAGACTGGATGACTCTCTGCCAAGGATATGAAGAGGACATCAATGCCATGACTGGCTGTGTCACTGGCTATATAAACTTCTGTGTGGACAACATCATACCCACCAGAACAGTGAGATGCTTCGCTAATAATAAACCCTGGATCACCAGTGAACTAAAGAATCTGCTTAATGAGAAAAAAAGAGCCTTCAAGGAGGGAGACAGGGAATTATTGAAGAGTATACAGAAGCAACTGAAGATCAAGATCAGAGACAGCAATGAGAAATACAGGAAGAAGCTGGAGAACAAACTACAGAGGAACAATATCAGAGATGTCTGGTCAGGGATGAAGAAGATCACAGGCTTCAAGCAGAGGAAGGATTGCACAGATAGCAGCCTGGACACAGCCAATGAACAGAACAAGTTCTTCAATAGGTTCAATTCAGGAACAAACCCAGCATCCTCCTTGCCGGTCTCCAGCCAATCAGACATCCTATCCTCCTCCGATCCAACATTTTCCTGTCACACGCCAGCTCTTTTGTCCTCTAACACAGTCATGGACTCTTCTGGTTCTATAAATTTGTCTTCAACCAAGTCAGGAGATGCTGCTGCCCCATTTACCTCCCCCTCCCACCTATCTGTCTCTAGAAGTCAGGTGAAGAGGCAGCTGGAGAGACTGAACAGGAACAACGCTGCAGGTCCAGATGGTGTCAACCCCAGGGTACTGAAGGCCTGTGCAGAGCAGCTCTGTGGGATTCTGCAGCACCTCTTCAACCTCAGCCTGGCCCAGGAGAAGGTTCCAGTCCTGTGGAAGACATCCTGCCTTGTTCCAGTTCCAAAGAAAACTCACCCATCAGTCAATGACGACTACAGACCAGTTGCCATGACATCCCACATCATGAAGGTCCTGGAGAGACTGAATAAGCAAACTAGAACATATCAGGACCCGCTGCAGTTTGCTTATTGCCATGGAGTTGGAGTTGAAGATGCCATCATCCAACTGCTTCAACCAATCCACTGTCATCTGGACAAAGCAGGCAGCACTGTGAGGGTCATGTTCTTTGATTTCTCCAGTGCATTTAACCCAATCCAGCCTGATGTACTTTGCCAGGTGGGGGCCTCAACTATTGCCTGGATTAAAGACTACCTGACAAACAGACCACAGTTTGTGAGGCTGAAGAACTGCACATCAAACCAGGCGATCAGTAACATTGGAGCACCACAGGGGACTGTACTCTCACCATTCCGTTTAACCCTGTACACCTCAGACTTCCAGTACAAATCAGAGACCTGTCATCTACAGAAATACTCAGATGACTCTGCAGTTGTCGGGTGTATCAGAGATGGACAGGAAGCTGAGTACAGAGAGCTGGTGGAGCACTTTGTGGCATGGTGTGGAAACAATCATCTGACCTTAAACGTGAACAAAACAAAGGAGATGATTTTAGACTTCAGAAGAAACAGGGTGGAGTCAAACACAGTTTCCATCATGGGAGAAGAAGTGGAGGTGGTTGAGGAATACAAATGCCTTGAAGTTCACCTGAACAACAGATAGAACTGGAGAAAGAACAGTGAAGCCATTTACAAGAAGGGACACAGCAGACTGCACTTCTTGAGGACGCTTAGGTCCTTCAGTGTCTTTAGCAAGATGCTGCAGATCTTCTGCAAGTCTGTTGTTGAGAGTGTAATCTCTTCAGCCATCGTCTGTTGGGGTAGCAGCATCAGAAGCAGGGACCTGAAAAGGCTCAACAGCCTAATAAATAAGGCTGGTTCTGTTCTGGGGACAACTGTGGAACCACTGGAGGAGATAATGCAAAGAAGGATTCTCCAGAGAATCAAGAAAATTATGGACAACCCTGAGCATTCTCTTCACAAGACTGTCCGACAACGGAAGAGTGTCTTCAGTCAGAGGCTTCTTCAGTTTCGCTGCAACACTGACCGCTACTGGAGATCCTTCCTGCCAACAGCCATTGTAATATACAATAACTCTTTGATGACTTGATTATTATTATTATTCTGAGCTACTACAGCAATCAATTTCCCTCTGGGATTAATAAAGTATTTTTGAATTGAATTGATTTGAATTCTTGCTCTTCATGTTGATGCTCGTTTTGTGAAACATGGTCAGTGATGTCCTCATTAATGTTTCACTCTGGTTCAAACTGAAAAGGCTGAACAGATGACATGTTTGTGTCGCTGAACAGTCACTACAGGGTCCCAAAGCCGGCCGGTGCAACCGAGGTACAACCATTTGACGTCACTACCCAGAGTGCATTGCAACGCTAACAACAATGGCGACCTACAAGTTAAACTATTTTTACAAATTTTATATAAATGAAGACATCAAGAAGGATTTTTACACCACTTTAATATAACTGATACTAACATTTATCTTTTAAGAGCCACAATGTTTTGTAACCTGTTAAAGACTCTTACTGGTCCCACTGTGACTAGCTGTTGGCTCAAACCTTCCTTTTAACAGCTTCTGGTTTGGTACATTCCCTTTTTGAAAGAAGTTAACTGTTGCTTCATTCTGCCCACTAAATAAATATAATTTGTTTACCGTATGTATTTGTTACACATTGTTTTCATACAGAGGCTCAGTTTCAGCCCATCGGTGCTTTGGCTGTCTGTGTTTGTGTTGAAGCAACAAAAGCCTTTAAAACAGTCAGACTCGTCTGTTCCTCGTCTAAAATCAGGTTTTTTTTAAAGAAATAAATCTGTTTCCACATTCTGACATTAGCTCAGCCTCTGTTCTACTTCTCAGGATAGCATAGCTGAGAATGACTCCACTTCAGATGCCAGCATTGTCATCAGAACAGTTTTGGAATATTGTTCATGAAAAGAAAAGTGGATGTGATTCAAATAGATTTAGGGGTGATTGACTTGCCTCGAGTGTGACTCTGTGTTGCTGAAGGATTAGTTGCACCAGAGCATGAAATGAAACATCTCAGATTGAATTACCTCTACCAGAGTTCCCTCACTGAAGCTGCTGCAGCAGTCAAAGTCCTTGAGCATGGTCGGGGTGGTGAGCGGAAGCAGCAGCAGCCAGATGAAGATGGAGATGTAAGGAGACTTCTTGAGCATCTTCAGGAGGTTCTTTTGTCCGGCTTTGACCACGTTGTAGTACCGATCGATGGAGATGACGGTGAGGAAGGCGATGCTGGCAGCGCGGTTTAGAAACAGCACGAAGAGCACGGCTTTACAAGCAGCCTCGTTCCTGCTCCTCCGCTCTCCGTTGATGAAGGTAGAAGCCTTGAAGGGCAAACAGAAGAGCAGCAGGATGTCCGCCAGCAGCAGGTTGAAGAGGAAAACATTGCTGGGGTTGGTTTTCCAGAACTTCAACTTGAATATGAAGAGATGCAGGACCGATGCGTTCAGAGGCAAAGCCAAGATAAAAATCACAATCATTGCCGATGCATAGAACGTATAGAGTACTCCGATTGTGGCTTCACAGGCCTCAACTGTCTGATTTGCTGTTTCGTTCACCATTTTTTCAGTTTTTAATCTAAGACACCTCAGAACAAGTCCAGGATGTGCCCAAACTTCTGTTGAATGAGTTTTTTTTTCCTTTTGTTTGTCCCTCTGTGAGATCGCCTATGTTTTCAGATCCTTTGAGGATTTCTGTCCTGTTCTATCAGAGTCAGCAGCGGTCCTGGAAGTTCTCCTGTCAGTGTTCAGGTCGAGTAAAAGACGTCTCCTCCAGTCCCTGCTCAGCCTCAGATCAAGAGCTCCTCCTTTATGTCTGAGGAGGTGAGTCACCAGCTGCTCTTTCCCCATCGCTCCAGTGTGGTTCAGAAGCAGCAAACCTGTTGGAGAGGTCTGAAATGACATACTCTTAAACTGATTGTGTGTAAAGCTACTGTACAGGATGTTCAAATCTGGTTGGATCAGAGTTGAGCTCTAAGAGCAGGAGTCTGAAACAAGTCAGGACAAGAAGGCAGAAATGAGTGAGGCCAACTGTACGAGCGTGTGAGAGAATTCCTCCTACAGCCAAGCGGATCTGTGTTCCCTGCTGCAAATGGAGGAAACGGCTGCGTCTGTCTGAGAATCTCTGTGTGTAAATCTCTGCTTTAGAGATTTCAAACCCAAATGTGTCCCCTGTAGATGTGAGATATTTAAAGCAAGTCCACAGAGCACGCTGATGTGGATCCCTGGGAGTTAATTCAATTCAATTCAATTTTATTTATATGGCGCCAAATCACAACAAGAGTCGTCTCAAGGCACTTCACATAATAAACATTCCAATTCAGGTCAGTTCATTAAGCCAATCAGAAATAATGTTTCCTATATAAGGAACCCAGCAATAGTGTCAGTGACTTTACAGCAATCCTCATACTAAGCAAGCATAAAGTGACAGTGGAGAGGAAAACTCCCTTTTAACAGGAAGAAACCTCCAGAGAATCCTGGCTATAAGCAGCCATCCTCCACGGCTCACTGGGGAATGAGAAGACTGAGCAGGCACACACACACACACACAGACAAAGACAAAGTAATGTGTCTATGGTTACATTGTGATTTCTTAGTAAATATTCTATTTGGGTGAGAGATAAACTTTATTGAATTTATCCTAGTGGATCTATAATTAAACAGATAAACTAGTAGTAGCACATCCAACGTCAAGGAAAGCAAAAAGTTATCAGTTACTGGGAGAATGCTCTGGATTCTGCTATGGAAACGTAAATGAAGTTGTGGGGAACGCTGCATCCTGAGGGAGGAACTTTTCCTTTACGGGGGGGGGGGGGGGGGGGTAGTAGCTATTTGCTCCGAACGCCTGCGCTACTTTGACAGCGAGTCCAGACAGGAACGGGTTTCAGACGGGAACACTTTCCAGCTCGGCTTCATGACCCTAAAATTTAAGTTTAAATGTATCAAAAGCTCAGAAAGACTTTTCCTGTTTCTCGACCGGGAAAGGGTGGCTTGCCAACTTCGGGTCGGGAGAGAGGTCCTACCTCAAGTGGAGGAGTTTAAGTATCTCGGGGTCTTGTTCACGAGTGAGGGTAGGAGGGATCGGGAGATCAACAGGCGGATTGGTTCGGCGTCTGCAGTGATGCGGACGCTGAGCCGATCTGTCGTGGTGAAGAGGGAGAGCCAGGCTTTCGATTTACCGGTCGATCTACGTCCCAATCCTCACCTATGGTCTTGAGCTTTGGATAATGACCGAAAGAACGAGATCGCGGATACAAGCGGCCAAAATGAGTTTCCTCTGTAGGGTGGCCGGGCTCAGCCTAAGAGATAGGGTGAGGAGCTCTGACATTCGGGAGGGACTCGGAGTAGAACCGCTGCTCCTCCGGATCGAAAGGAGCCAGTTGAGGTGGTTTGGGCATCTAGTCAGGATGCCTCCTGGATGCCTCCCTGGGGAGGTGTTTCAGGCACTTCTTGCCGGCAGGAGGCCCCCGGGTCGACCCAGGACACGTTGGAGAGGTTACATCTCCAATCTGGTCCGGGAAAGCCTTGGGGTCCTGCCGGAGGAGCTGGTGGAGGTGGCTGGGGAGAGGACGGTCTGGAGCTCCCTAGTTGGGATGCTGCCCCCGTAACCCGGACCCGGATAAGCGGAGGAAGACGACGACAACGACAATTTTAATACTCGTCTATAGTTCACCCTCAAAAGGCTCCATCTAAAAGTTTATTTGGAACACCCAATAAACAGTAAACTCACAACCCACTCGGGTGACCCGTCCAGGACGGGATAAGTATGGTGGATGGTTTACCCCTTGGGGTTCACGTGGCAGAGGTGAGGTGGTGCTCACTTAAAAAGAAGAAAAAAAAAAAGAAAAAACACCTGGAGTCCATTTGACCCAGTGCAAGAGAGTAAAAAAAATAAGAGATGGAAACTAGTCTTCTTATCCCGTAAACTTCTCAGTGGCCTGGTGGTCTAGTGTCTACTCTGGGACTGGAAGATCAAGGTTCAAATCCTGGTTGGGTCATACCAAAGACTTTAACAATGGGACCCAACGCCTCCCTGCTTGACACTCAGCTTTGAGGGGTTGGACTGGGGGGTTAAACCACCAAAAAGTTCCCGAGCGCAGCCACCGCTGCAGCTCACCACTTCCCACGAGGATGGCTCTTCAACTTTAAAATCACTGGAACTGATTCATTTTTGTGGAATTTGATATTAAAACATGTTTTTTTCTTGTAAGAGAAACAAACATTTTCACCATCTGCACCTCTTCTACATTATTTAAAACCAATCCTTAACTTATCCAGCATGCTCAGATGCTTTACTGTACTCTGGCTTAAGCTTAGCTTGAACCCGGGCTTGTTTTTGGGTGAAGTAAAACTTCAGACATGCAAGTTCCCAAAAGAAACTAAAAATCTTAACTCACCTTGGTTAAATCTGGTATTTTTGTACATCTTTGAGTCTCATATTAGTTGAGTTACTGTAAAAAACAATGATTATTTAAATATTTTTGGTCATTTTGTGATTTATCGCAGCGTTTTGTTAGATCTTTACTGCCAGTCAGGCGAGCGCAGAAGCAGTTCAGAAAGTTTTGATTCACAAAACAGAAGGGGAGGGAGAAGTCCCCGTAACTCTTCATATCCCTAAGACCAGCACCAGTGTGTGATTGCTGAACCAAACTATTGGATCATCTAATAGTTTATTTATTGCAGAACCAGAGGACAGCACAAGTATGCAGCCTGCTGAGGAGATAAATAATCAAACTTCTGTTCCCAGGCTGTTAGCTCACCAACACTTACTGGTTCTGGCTGTGGGATCGCTCACGTCTGGACTCCAAACACTTTGAAGCTTTGACTTTCAAAGTCAAATTTATGATTTTAAAGTAAAATAATGACTTGAAGTCATATTTATCAATTTATAAGTCATAAAAAATCAGTTATGAGTTTCAAAAGCATTATGTTGACATTAAAACTTGTATTTATCACGTTGACAGCCATAAAAAAAATCTATTTTACACAAATGAGTTTTAATGTCATGATTATTAGAAAAGAAGTCTAATATTAAAATTATGACTACAACTCAGTTTTAATTTAGAACTTGAAAATTTTGATTTTGAAGCTATAATTAACTTTAAAGTCAGAAATATTATATTAAAACTTATAATTATCACCTTAAAAGTTACGTAACAGTCAAGTTATAACAATCCTATGATTCTGACTTTGAAACCCATAAATGGGATTTTTAAATGATATTGAATAAGTCATAATTATGATGTAGAATTTCATAATTATGACTTTCAAACTCAGAAATCTTTTTTGGACCTGTTATGAATCAAAAGGGTAAATTTTCACCATCGAACTGACACAGCATAACCTTTCATACACTCCAGAGCTGCAAAGTCAAGGTTGCACCATCTGGAGGATCCAGACGCACAGATCAACCCTTTGCTCACTTATTGTTCTTCAACGCAGACATAAATAAACTGTCAAGGTCTCCCGCAAAAGCCCTTCTCTCTCTGCTAAAAGACAGACTGCTGGATTCCTCACACTGAATAAAAAGTGAATCCACACGAGTCCTACAAGACTTTACAACTCTTAAGTTAAATAATCATATGTGATGAATGAACAAGATGTTTAAATGAAATGTTTGAATAATCTGTGCTTAAATCAATGAAGTTGAAAAGAATGTTGCTCTTACAATGATCCATTGCTGATCTTATGATCAGTAAGTGTTTGACTAACAAGTTAATCATTATCTACACTCATACACATCTTCATAAGATACAAATTAAGGTTAAGATTCACCTCACATAAGTGTTTTAAGCCATTCTCATTCACAGTGATAAAAACATCTTTGTATCTGAGGAGGGCGTGGCTTTCTGAGGGATGTTGGTAAATACTCAGAAACGTGTCAAATTCTGATTGGCCAAACTTGGCCAGAAATCAGAACAAAGTAGTTTGATAAAACAAGAATTACTTCCCCAGTAATTCAGTTTCTAGCGGAGTTCCGAACCGGCCAGTTCGGGACAAGCATCCTTGAGACATCTCTTTTGACATACAGTCAAAAACCTGTTTGCAAGCTGCAAGCTGACACAGCCAGACGGCTCCCTAAGAGCCACATCCACTTTGGATGCGAACAAGCATTCCAGCTACTGTTGTGACCTGGAGACATCTCAAGACTGGACGGGTCGTATCGGAGCTAATCTACCGGCTCCAGGTGCCGTGAGGTCCATCAGACTTCTGACAGTCCGGATCTGCAGGGGGTCTCCCCCAGGGTTTGTAGACACAGCAGATTGCGTCTGATGCTGTTTTATTAATAATCAACTCTGTAGTTTATAGCAGACAACAAATTCTTTTACACTCAGATTTCATAATTTCAAATACAAAGATTCTGATAAACATCTAGCTTACATCACGCCACCTACACATCACATTCCACCATCGCATATCCACTCCATCACATCTCATTATTCGTGTCTTGTCATTATAATCCTTAGTTTAGAAAAGAATAAAATTCTTTTTTGACTGTATACCTGACTCTGTCTGAATTAATACGAAGTGTGTTTATGGTCCCTGGACAGGTAAAAGAAACTATAATCTTCTGATTAAACTTCAAAGATCAATCAGGTTGATGTTTCATTTTTATATGGAATCATCACATTTTATTGGTCATAATTAATTTGCAGTCATCACGCTATAAAGTGTGACCGCTACAGACCTCCATAAAATAATTTATATCAAACCAAAACCGTGTTTTAAAAAGTTTTTGTCAGTCATCCAGTGAGATAAAACTCATGAGAATAAATAAATGTGATGCCTTCAGTAGACAGAATAATCTCTGCATCATATTTCCAAGAACTTAGAGTGGCGCTCCACCCAAACCAGCGCTTCCCAGTGGGTTTACACAAATCAGGAAGTTTTTGTTAGCTTTCTGACTGAACAACCTCATTCTCAACCTTCAACATGGAAACTCGATCCACAGCCTGTGAGGAAACAAAAACAGCCACAACACCAGGGAGAAAGTCAGGCCCAAAAAGGGTCAAAGGTCAGAATCAAGTGGGAAAACAACAGCATTTGGTCACAGAGAGCCAAACAACACAAGTCAGGCCTCGACACCTCTGCAGCGTTCCCAGGCATTCCGCTGTTGGGATCGCTGTTAGCTGCAGCAGCCAGTTTCCAAAGCTCCCAAACCTTCCTCTCCATCTCTGCCTCCAGAATTCCCATGTAAACCTGTCAGAGGGGATCGATGTCTGAGATGTTCTCAGTCCAACTTCAAAAGGAAGGATGATCCCAGATCTGGATGAATGATTCAGTAATGATGGCATTCAGAATATTCAGCAGGATCTCAGGGAGCTGGTATCTAAATTATATATTTCTGTGGTTAAAACACTCCGAGACAGAGCTGGAATGTTTTCATTTTTCTGAGTCAAGATTCTCTGAAACATTTGGCGGCTGGACGCCGTCGTGCTCTGTGTTTTCTGTTGTTTTAGACTGATGTTGGTGTTTTATTCCCAGAGACTTTCGGGGTTTTGTTGATCCGACTTCTATCTTTGTATCGTTCTGGCGTTGGATTTAGTTCGGTTCGTCTCAGTCTTACCCTACATCCTTTTATTTCAGGTGTACAAAGTGAAGATAGCCAGGTCTGAATGGAGGTTGTTACCATGGTAACTTGAGTTGAACTGCTCCGGAAAAACCTCCAAAGCTTCCATTTAAATGACCTCTAAAACAGCATCTCTGATGATGGGGAAGGTGTTGGGGCCCCAGCTTTACCAGACTTTCTGAAGCTGCTATGGAGAGAAAATTGCAGCGTTCTGGACCGGACCAGAAACCAGAGAAGCAGTAATGATCGATATCACGCTGGGAACGATGGACTGAAAAACATTTTTAAACCAGAAGAGGGTAAGATGTCGAGGAGTATGCAGAAGTCTTGGACTTAGCTAGAGTATGTGACATGTCTGAGTAGAGAATGATGTCTGCTTTATACAAATCTGCGAAGCAGCAGCATCTGATGCATTTACATATTCACTAAATCTCCTGAGTTTGGATTTATTTGATGCATGCACACATGTTTCTCTGTAAGTCCAGAGCCATGAGGCCTAACTCTGCAGGGTGGCTTGCCACTCCCAGCTTCATGCAGCCTCTGCCCCTGAGCCACGTTATTGCACACATCAAAAACCACAATGTTTTCTTCATATTTTGACTGGAACAGACTGGAACAAGTTCCTGCCTGGTTTTCATTCATTACACTGCTTGTCAAAGTAGAGATTAGCAGCTCGGTTTGAAACTTGTATAACAAAGCGAGTCTGCAGCTGACCGAAGGTTTAATGGGATATTTATTCCTAGAATAGACCAGTTTATTGCTTTTGTTGGCGTTAGCAGGGCACTAACAGCTGATCTGTTTGTCATTCAACACTAGTAATATCTGTTAAGTTCAGCTGATGAAGGGTGACATTTTGCTCTCGGATAAAAAGCCAGTTTCCATTTGTCTTCCAGTAAAGCCCACCTGTTTTGTACAGATCGTTGCTTTGATAGGAAGTGACACATCGTGATGCAATCGCAGAATCCAAAGCTGACACTGCCTGAAACAAAGGCTGATGAGGCCATGAACTAAAACACAAGCCTTAGACAAACTGCTGCTGTGTGAAAAATAAAAGTCATGTTGAAAATCTTCTTGAACCGGGAGAAGCAGGAGGCTCTGATGCTCACACGTGCACATTTCTATGTTTTTATAGCATTTTATGCTGGAGCTAAGTTCAGAAAGACCCTTCTCACTTCATTCACGAAGTTCCAGTGGAAGTCTTTGGAAATGAACTCTGTGCTCTGAGGGGATTCGAGAGAAAACCACGAGGCCTACAGCAATAAGAGACACGGCAGATGAAAGGTGTCGACCAGTGTGTAAAAGTAGGGAAAAGTTAGATGGGTTCCCTTTAGCAGAAGATCTGGACATTTTAGCCTAAATCGTGAAAAATAAAACAAACGTTGAACTAAAAACCACAAAGATGTCAAAATGCTGCTTCACATATCTAAAGTTCAACTTCCTGTGACCCATTTATTCTCTAAACGACACCTGAGCTGTGGCCATGTGGAGGGGCAGGGCTTTCCTACCTGCTTTCACCAAAATCCCAGTGAAATGTCTCTCGGCTGTTTTCCAGATGGAGTCAACCGTGTTGGACGTATCACAGGTTTGGTGTGTCATTTCCTTTCGGTCATGCAGAGTTTCACATGTGAAGATTGTGGCTTAAAAATGTTTCCTAACAGTAAATCACCAAACTGGTTACGTGGGAAGTGGTGTCCCAACAATTCTTTCATTATGACCAAAGCTTTGCTGGAAATCTTTTTCCAAGCAGGTATTTTGCATGATGGTGTACTCGTGTGAACATTTACAGACGAGTGGTGGTGTGTTAAGGCTTCTTCAAATCAGCCCACAACTGATCCTCGTTGTGAATCCTGACCAGTCCCCTGACCTGATGGGATAGTTCCCCTGCCAGGTGTGGTCTAACATGTCTCTGTTTCTGTTAACCTCAGAAGTCTTATAGGATAGTTTAATCTCAAATGTATCTGACTGACATGGACTAAAATTTGAATATTTCCTTTCAGGCCTGCAGGCATGTCTCGTGATGCTTTTATGGTTTTACTGGAAATGTTTGGACAAGTTCTTGCCTGTCTTCCGTTCATTACACTGCTGGTAAAAATGGAGCAGCTCTATTGAAAGAGGACACTAAATTAACTTGAATCTAGGAAAGTTTTACAAGAATAAAATACCATTCCTAATTAAATGATGTATTTGTAAAGCACCTTCTTAGGGTTTTACAACCCCCCCAAGGCGCTTCACAACACAATCAGTCATTCACCCATTTACACACACCCTGGTGGTGATGAGCTACAATGTAGCCACAGCTGCCCTGGGGCGCACTGACAGAGGCGAGACTGCCGAGCACTGATGCCACCGTTCCCTCCGACCACCACCAGCAGGCAGCAGGTTAAGTGTCTTGCCCAAGGACACAACAGCAGAATTTTCTGGTCAGATTCAAGATAGAACCTGCAACCTTCCCCCAGACAACCCGCTCTACCTCCTGAGCTGCTGCTGTCCCAATTAAGCAGTAACAAAAATGCTACGGACATGTGGAGAGATCTAAGATTGACAGAAATGTTAAAGCTGCTTCTTGTGGCTCATTAAGGTAACCATGGTAACTAGAAATGACTCGTTAAGGTCACCATGGTAACCCGAGTGGCTATACTTAACGAGGCAGACACGATACACAGATATAAATTTGAATGGCAAAAAAAGAAAAAAGAATTACATTTGAAAAAGGCTTCAATAATTTGTTATGATAGTTGTTAACATTTGAGATAAATAAAATAAATTATGTTTGGTAAAGAAAACCAAATAGAAACGTAGTCAGATTTCTGTATGTGTATTATAATCAGAAACCGTCATAGAAAAGTGTTTCCAGTGATCCTTACCTATAAAGCACAGAGGTGATTTTATTTGCTCCTTATCTTTAAATTGTTGTATTTTTTGTTTGTGGTGATTTTATGAAACTGGATTAACTGCAAAAGTTCATCCGTTGTAGATGTGCCTCCAATGCAGATTTTCTCCATTCACAAACATCTAGTAGTGTTTTTATTTTGCTAATGCAAACTTTCCTTCTGCCCTTCAGCCTGCAATTACTCTCATCTTCCACCTGAACCTGAACCTGCTCACTAAGGAACTTCCTACACGTTCCTTCATTAACAAAACCAGTACTGTCTGAGCAGAACCAGCAGAAACTGTCCAGAGTCTGAAATGAGCTGGACCTCCACGAGCAGGACGGATTAGTTTCAACAGCCTGTTAGCAAACCGCCGCTGTCTGAGCTCGGAGATCACTCGAGCGACAAATGTTCTGCCTTTTGTTTTCTGCTCTAATGGGATTAGCTGGTGGAAGCAAAGGCTAGCTGTCCTCCGCTGGCTCCAAATGTAATCTTTGACACAAACACCGATAAAGCTGCAAATTACATCCAAGAACAACTTCAGAGCTTCAACGTGAACTAATACTGGATATTTATCTCTGAAACAGGAAATGCATTAGCAACCCGCATTTCCTCTGATGGATTCTTGTCTTAATATTTAATTTAGCTTTTTATTTGGCAGAAAATTTCTTTGTGTGTGCAAAGAGGTCTTTAAGCACCCCGGTAATTATTGATGAAGACAAACAAAAGATGGTGTCGACGAACCGCTGAACTCATAAATGATTTATGACGTGTAATTTAATACCTCCCCTCGCTCGGTTCCACACTGCTCAGACTGGATCTAACAAATAAACTCATCTACAGAAAAATCAGTTCAAATGTTGAGTTTAGAGTAAAAAAAAACTGCACCTAATGTTTTTATAAATTGTTGTTTTTGCAGCTTTTATGGCTTCTGAAGAGTTCTTGTTTCATTTTTTGCCTCCGTCAGTGCGCTCCAGGGCAGCTGTGGCTACATTGTAGCTCATCACCACCAGGGTGTGTGTGTGTGTGTGTGTGAATGATTGTGTTCTAAAGTGCCTTGGGGGGGGGGTTCTAGATCCATAGAAGATGTTCTATCAAAAACAGGCCTTTTTTAAACTTTCAACAAAGTTTTAGACAAAAATGAATGAAGTTTCATTTAAAAAGACCCGTTCTTGTTCAGGACTACATATATATGTCGATGGGACTACAATGTAGTACCAGTTCTTCCCATATTTGAAATGTTTTTAGTAGGTTAGAGATACAGTTAGATCTGTTAGATCTAGATTTTTTCATAAAGCAAACAAAACCAAGAATATATAAATAAATCTACGTGGACGGGTGGATTGTCGGTCAGTCCTTAGATCTATGTTGGTTTGAAACTCCGACTGAGAAGCGGAGGATCCTTGGGTCCCCACAGCAGTGAATCAAACTGCTCTTCTCCATACATCTCATCCTGTTTTGTCCACCTTGTCTCGTCTGATGGACCTGAAGCCAGCTGACTCGTCAGCTTCTGAAGCTCCCGCGCGATGATCGGGACGTCCAGCTTGTGCTGCGAGGCCTTCAGAGTGGCTGTGTTGAATGGGAACGTCCGTATGAAGCCTCCAACTCTGATTGGAGGAACATCTAGACCATTCTGGGCTTTAGGTCTTCTGACACGAGGCAGTACACGCTGCTGACTCCCACTGGGAAATAAGACAAATGTCTGAATGTTTTAAATTCCCATTTTAGATTGTCTGTGTAAATAAATGATTAAAGGGTGAAATTACACTTGAGATTCATACACATGTCTTCGATGGGTGTAAACGATACCTGTGAATGTTTGGGAGCCATGTGGAATCACCTGATCCTTTGAACTTTGACCCGTCTGCCTCACCAGAGAGCACCGTCTCAGCTTCTGTTTCAGTGTCGTCTTGGTTTCTGACCTCAGTAACTCGTAGGCTTTTTCTCATCTGGCAGGAGTCGACATCAGAACCCATCTGTCTGTTCACAGCAGACACATCAGTGTCCGAAGGTGGGCCGAGGATCCGGTTTACAGTCGGATCGGTGCAGGTTTCTTTTGCTGAGGTGTTAATTGTTTTGTACCTGGCAGCAACAGGGAGGATCAGGCTTGGGTGATCAAATCCAAGAGCACGATGTCTGGACTGAGTCTGAGAGGCGTTCTTGTGCTTCTTCTTCCTCTGAACCACGAGCCCTTTCCACGTGGAGAGGGCAGGTAAAGAAACGTGTAAAGAGCGGCTGAAACATGGCTGCCTCCGTCTGTGGTTTTGGTTCTGGTAGGCTCTGTCCCTTAAGCTGTCAGTCCAGGTGTAGTTCATCAGGTCAATCAGATCGTGGATCAGCCCCTTCTTCACAGAGATGTCCGCCTGGCAGTCCAATCTCAGGGCAGGACTGTAGTTGACCTCCAGGAGCCAGGGTTTGAACTCACTGTCAATGAGGACGTCAAAGCCAAAGAGCTCCACACAGTTGGGACAGGACGGCACGGACGGAGCGACGGTCAGGAGGGTCAGCGTGACCATGCTGTTGATCCTCTGCCACAGTAGAAGCTCGTTGATGTGCTGGCTCTGAAGGAAATGTCTGAACTTGCTCATGGTCCACTTGCAGCCTTGACCCACCCTCCCCTTCTCAGATTTGTAGAACGGACCAGACTTGTTGATGCTGGTGTTGGTGAGGTGGGCGTACAGGTTGCTCAGAGACCTGAGGCTGTACTTCTCAGTGGCGAAACGCACCAGACCCTCCTGATGGATGTAAACGGTGAGCGGATGAAAGCTTTTCACACACACGTAGATCCTCAAGTCGAACTTGTAGCCCGAGATCATCCACGGGCTGCTGATATACCGCTGGACGATGACCGAACAGTCGTAGACCAAGTCCTTAATGTCCTCAAAGATGAAGATGCCCCGACCTCTGGACTGGTCCACTGGCTTACAGATCCAGTACACCGGTCGTCCTCGGGCCAGCTTGTTGTGTTCAGACAAGAAATGGGTGGAGTCTTTGGGAAGGAGGAAGGTGGTGGGACTGAAGTCATAAAGAGAGGAACCAAACGTTGCCCTCATTCTCCTTAAGTTACGAACCAACGAGTCCTGTCAGGGAACAGCAAGAACTTCAGTTCATCTACCTTTTGTGATTCATTCGTACCTGATTCTAACTGATGGAGGTCAAAGGTGACAACATTTGGCCTCCAGAGGTCTGAGACCTCAACAAGTCTACAAAGTTGGTTAGATTTTTTTCTCCTCAGTGTTTAAGTTTGTGATTTAATGAGGCTCTTTATTGTACCCGTCTCGATCAGATAGGAATGAATTTCTCACCTTCCTTGTGATGCCAGCAGTTTTGGGATGGTGGTTGAGGCGTTGCCATGGCAGCAGGTTGTGATATTTTGAGCTGGGAAATGTAGACCGTCTCCAGTAAAGGTTCCAGTCTTCTTCTCCGTGTCTCCGCCCATCGTATTCCCTCCATCCTCGCTCTAGAAGAACTTCCCTCAGCAGCTCCGGACCTCGATCATGAAGTCGGAACACCAGGGAGGTGGCCATGGAGCTGGGGAGCGAGGTTAGCGTGTCAGCCGGTGGAAAGGGTTATTTTTTTAATTCAAAGGCTCAGAAAGATTATGGAAAGCAAATAAAGTTCAATTTAAGGTAATTTATAATGTATTCAACTTTGATTAGATCAAATTCATTTGAAACCACTTCTGATCTTAAATCAGGATTAGCACCTTCTTCCAGTTGTAGGTATGACTACTGCCCCCTGGTGGAGGAACTGGTGGTTTAGTTGTATAGTTAGAATACAATGAAGCTGATTACTGTACACACTTCCCTCCTGAATTGTTTCATATCCATTAGAATAGTTCATATTAAGATTTTAAATTTTAGGGTTTCAAAGGTATAATTTATAATTAACCTGCCAACATTAACTATTGTGAAAAACTCATTTAAAATTAAAATTTGTGAACTTTATGTATTCAGTTAAAATGTGGTTTAACTGATGTTATGCAATTTGGTTTTACCAGATTTACAGAATAAAAAACCCAATTCAAACTTCAGATTTAAAGAAAATCTGAACTAAAACAGCTCCGCTGAGCCACATTTACAGAACTTCAAAACTTTCTCAGCTTGGAACTTCAAGTTTCACGTCTGAGGAACCCAAAGACACTAGATCCGTCTGCAGCTTCAGAACAATCCAAACATCTCAAATAATTCATTAGCCAGAAAGTTTCACGACAGCCGAGCTTGTCTGTAGGCGTTTTAGAGGTTATTCACTTTTTAAAAAGTCTTACCTGGATCTGGACTCTCCTTCAGCTCAGCATCCCTACAGGAAACTAAGCCCTGACACAAAACCAGGCATCGGTTGTCTGACGTCCTGATCTGGGTGGAGACTCAATGTTTTTTCTAGCTTATGTATTAAGAGCTTGAGGTTTTCTCAGATGTTGGTAAAGATACTCTGGATCATATTAGAAAAGTCCAGAAATTAGGAACCAGCATGGCTCAACATGTCCTCTCCTAAACACTGGGTTGAGATTAAAGTGCATTTGTCTTTATTCTGAAAGACCCTTTCCTCCCCCTCACCATTGTCCAATTTAGCTTAAATACATTCATAGAGTTTGTTGACAAGTTTAAAGCAAATAATTTGACAAGATTAAAAAAAAAATTTTTTATTATCAATTGCTTCATCTGCTCATCTTCACTCTGGAAAAGAAACCATGTAGAGTTAATATAAAGTCAGGTTGGAGCCAGATTAGTCCTGGTTTAGAGGCACATACAGCAGTGGTAGAGTGCATTCAGCTTCTGCACGTCCAGCTGACTCAGATGTGATCTTTGACCAATTTCGGCACTCCCTTTAGTCTCGATGGTCGGACTCCCATCAACGCTGAAGTAGTTTCTGCAACAACACTCACGTTCAGCCAGAAGACAGTTTAACACGTGAATGAGTGAGTCCCAACTTACCTTCCATAGTGCATTATGGACTCAAAGTCATACGGCAGGTTTAGAGTGTTTCCTACTTTGATGTCAAAGTTTGAACTCTTGCCTTGAAGACAGAAATAAGTAAATCCACACATCTTAGCATATGGGGCCCTTTCCCCCCTAGAAGGGTACCTGGTATGATGCTCTGCCATTGGACGATGATGTGGTCGTCTCGATCAGGGCGGGTGTGTTCGTGGTACATCCCCAGGGCGTGGATTAGCTCATGGCACAAGTTTCCGGAAGTACATGTGCTTTCGAAGTACACAGGCTGGGAGCCCCCACGGCAGCCCACGTAAGATGAACAACTGGGGATCACAAATACAGCTCAGACAGACCACAGCCAGCCATTAGATCTCTAAAGCGATCATAATGATCTAGGGTGAATTCAGATTTGTTTATAAAGTTTTGAATCTAATCCAGGGATTCCTTCCTCTAAAATTTAATGTTTAAGTTGCAGAGTTAAAGTGCCTGCACCCCCAGGGGTTCTGGACCACCACGGAGCAGACCAGCTCATTTTGTTTCCTCCCTTAATTCCTTAAGAGTTTTAACACCTTCCAACCAGCTCACCCTTGTCCATTCTTAATTTCGATGTAGTTCAGCTCATATGTGTGTGGCACGAAGCGAATGCACGTCAACGACATGATCATGTTGAAGGCTTTTAGAATATCTGCAGTACGAAAAGCTATGAGAGAGAGAGAGAGAGAGAGAGAGAGAGAGAGGGTGGGGTGAGTATTGAAAAGCACAAGACCAGATATGAAACTTGCAACAACCCACCAATTTCTGGATCAATGACATATGGAACAACTCCATCTGACCAGACGGTGTTAACAGCATTCCGGTCTTCCTGCAAATTCACACAAAAAAAATTTCTGTTATAATTGATAAAAAATATTTTTAATCATTTATACGAGAATTCTCACCTCCAATAAGATGTCTCCTTCCAGAGTTGGTTGATCACCTTGTAGCTCTAAAGCACAAGGTGGCAAATCAGATTTTTAATAAAAGTGCATTTAAGCAAGATTTCATATTAATATTTTACCTGTTAAGGTCTCTCCACTCGCATTGTGAGAGACTCCTAGCTGTGGTGTTGCTGCACCAAAAACAAATACATTTAGGAAAAGTAGCTAATACAAGCATTTGTAAACTGCCTGCAAATATTACTCCTTCAGATGTACTCAATAGCAGATGCACATTTTTGTTTACCAGTGATAACATTTAACTAAAATCAGCAAATGCAGTGATATTAAACCTGAGGCCAAAGCAGCTCCACTTGTTGAATTAACTGGAAAGCCTGCAAAAAGCATAATAGCAGATTAAATCAACTCTTAATGGACCATAAAAGCTTACATGTTTACATCTTTACCTGTTGACAAGCTGCAGCTCCCCAACAGCAGTGCCACCCAAATCATCATCATGATTCTGTTCAGATGGATAAACTCTTCCTCTACAGTTGGAGCTCTGGTTTAAATATAAAAACAAACAGCTGTCATCAATCATCTCAGCAGCTGGAACCACTTCCACTGAGTCTCCTCCTATGTTTCGCACCTGAACATCCATCACCTGTGGTGATTTGGGTTCCGTGCTGGTGGTGTTATCAGGGTGATCATATGTGTGTTTTATTGTTTGTTCTTAAATGATTGATTTGTGTTTGAAATCTCTCACAAGATCCAGGGGCTCCTTGTAACGTTTTACCTTCAAAGATGACAAAAGTCTAAAAAAATATATATAAACTCACAGATAAAACGTTGATTAAACAGTTTATTATTGGACAAATGCATATTTACCCACTGTGAAAATTTTAGTCTTATTCTATTCAGATCAGTTTGTGAAGCTGCAGATTGACCACCAGAGGGCAGCAGAGCACAAAAATAAAACGAATTACCATTCTGGATTCTTATTTTTTAACTAAATATCTGGCTTTTTACAGAACAATATTTTATTATATAGTTTTTACCCTGATGTTTAAAAATGTTTTGCCTGTGAGATCTTAGTGGTTAATCCCAGATATCTCACAGACTCCAAACCTGAACATAAGAGACCAAGGAATATCTTCGCTATTACTTTGATGGGCTACTTCCGTTTTGAGACAGCCTGATTTTCCACGTGACTGGTGTAAGACACATATCAGGGCTGTCTGTATACATGTCGATGGTCTGTACGCTTTCTCAAGCCAAACCTCAATGTACTCATGGTAAAGATAAAGTTAATGTATCTGAGCTACGCTAGTGTGGCGCACTAGTGTACACACTACCTTAACTACTACAAATTCTGAGTTTTTGATTTACTTTTGGGGATTGTACGTCCTCCAGTGGCGACAATGTGGAACTACAAGACGGTTCTGTTAAACTGGGTCAGAAAAGAACATGTTACCCTTCTTATCTCAGTCAAACTGGAGAAACGATTTCTAATCTTTGTTTTTGTCCCCTTGGAAATGTTCAAATGAAGTAGAATAAGGAGGAGCAGGTCAAGGAGAAGAGGACACTACATTTTTAGGTTACCATATTTTTTTATTTAAAATATTAATTTCAACTATAGAAATTGAAGTTAAATGGATTAAATATTGGTTTGTGCGTGTAACTTTAGAGTTTTTTGTTATCTGGGGTCGTAATCTTTAACTTATGTAGTAAAATATAACTCCAGTCACCTTTATTTGTGAGTTTAATAATAAAAAAATTACAAGAAATCCATCTGCAGTAGCTGTAAAGTACTGCAGTAAGTCATGCAGTCTTGGTAGAAAGTTGTCCCACAGACCCTGAATGCGTCATCAGTCAGTGCTCGGAGGGTCATGTGACGTCCTGTCATGTGATGCATTCACTTCCTACTGGTTCGGTTCAGAGTTGACTGGTGCTGCATCATGTCGACGTAGTTCGGCTCCACAGACACAATCCAGCGCGGTAGACATGTTATTTCAGGATAAATCGCCCCGTTGTGGGTCTCTGGGCCCAGTTCTGTGGTTCGGGGTTTGCCTGGGATGTTTGTTGGTGCTCACCGGAGCGGAGGGGGACAGCAGCAGCAGCCCGTGGTACCAGGACCTCTGCAGGTAAACACCTCTAGAGAGAGAACCGCTGCAGCTCTAGACGGGATTACACCGTCGTGTTTTTCCCAAACGGCTCGTTTAACTCGGTAAACTTGATTCGGTGGCGTGTGAGTTGCCGCTAAACGCAGCCTCGCTGCTCTCTGTGGGCATCACAGGGCATTTAGGTGTTTATCTCCCGCTAGCTTGGTTTATCAGCTCAATAACCCTGTTAGCTCATTGTTTCGGAACAAAATCAACTTTTAGTTTCGAGCTGCGGTTCAATAAAAGCTCCTAACGGCGTAAACCTAGCTAGCAGGCTGACAGATAACCACAGCTTCTACCTGGTGGGTTAACAAGCTAGCAGACACTAAGCTAGGCGAGTTCAGGATTCAGATCATGCTAACGGGAATAATAAATCATTAACAGTTTGTTTTCATAACAGTAGTGATAAAATGTACCGGAAACGGGAGTTTGAACACTCATCAGTATGTAAGGCAGCTTTATTTATATAGAGGATTTCAATTTCAGGTAATTCAACAATGCGCTTTCCATTAGCAAGAAAAGCAATAACATTACAATCAACGTGTAAAGGTCTTCTGCCGTCCATTTTTCAAAGTTGTCTTTAAATGAACTAAACTGGTTTTTCAGCCAAGTGGCTCAGCACTAACACTAAGTTATGTGCTCGCCCTGTAATCGCAAGGTGTCAGGTTCGAGCCCCGCTCACTCACTGCTGTTGTGTCCTTGGGCAAGACACCTAACCCACCGGGCCTGCTGGTGGTGTTCAGAGGGACCGGTGGTACCTGTGTACGGCAGACTCGCCTCTGTAAGTGTGCCCCAGGGCACCTGTGGCGACTATGTAGCTCATCACCGCCACGGTGTGAATGGCTGATTGTGTTGTAAAGCGCCTTGGGGGGTTCCAGTACTCTAGAAGGCGCTATATCAAATACAGGCTTTTTACCATTTTTTCAGGGCATTTTAATCACTCAGGCATAAAATGCTCAAACTCAAGGGATGAGCCAGCAGCAGTTGTAGGTTTGACAAGATTTAACTTTAAACAATGTGGTTCTTAAACTGTTTTTAGTGGAAAAACTTTCATATAAACAATGGCTAACCAAATCATGAAGCACCTTTCAGATTAAAATATGTTGTAGATGGTGTGCTGAACAGCTTTAGCTTGGAGAAATGGAGATTAGGTAAAATCAAGTAGACAAGCTACCAGCTACCCACAATGGGGCCAGTTAAAATCCTCTTAAAACAATTAGAAATGTGAAAAATCCCACAGCAGTCCATGCAGATGCTAATTCTAACCTTTATATTAGCATAAACTACACATTTCATGTTTAAGCCTGGTTTATGCTTCTCCGTCAGCTCCGCAAGGGACAGACACGCACGGATTGATGGAAGCGTTTTGCTCTTTTACTTCTCCGTCTCCTGGAGAGTGTTGCAAAGTAATTGCCCGGCAGGACAACAGAGGGTGTAGCGCTGTTCTGTGATATCCTGTCATGTATCGGTCCAAGGTCGTGTGTTTATATTGTGTTTATAAGAGACTTTTAACACAGACATATTTGTCTCTCATTCTCCCACCGCTTCATGCGCTCCCCACCTCTAAACCCACGTTTCCTGTCATTTCTGTCCACAAATAAAACGCTTGCTGCGCATCTTTTCACTCCTCCAGTCACGGGAGAATTAAACGTTCATATTTTTAGTTTTTTCGCGAGGTATTCTTCAAGCTTCTCCGTGTCTGCCGCTAGTTATCCTCGGCTCTCTTTGCAATGGCAGTGCTGTAAACAACAGCGGCATCCTGACCAATCACAAGCTTGCGTGATCCGTCTCATTCGACGGATGTTTAAAAAAGTGGGCTCGACTCCGTACGTACTTGCGTGCCCTACGCAAGGACGGATAATGGCGTTGCGTGTCTCCGCACTGACGCAGAAGGAGAAGCATAAATCAGGCTTTAGTCTGCAGAATTATAAAAATTCCTACCAGCAGTGATAGTGTAGCTAACTGCTGCTAATTCCCTGTTCCATTAGCCACAGGTTTTTATTTAAATAACCTTAAAATGTGTAACTTTGCAGGACCTGCTGTGGGTTTTGGGGAGGTATTTTAGATGGTAGAAAGACTCAAACTAGCCTTGAGCCTATCAGTCAGCACTAACTGTTGTTTATAGAGTCTGAGGTTATTCAGTGAGTTACTAATTGATAACATATTAAATGTTCATATGTGTTTTGCTAAATAGTTTGAATAAGTGTGCACTGGCAGGGTTGATAACTAATCTTTTGAATATCAGCAACCTATTTTGGATGGTTGCCATTTTTTTAATAAACATGAGTGACAAAGGAGCATGTTTCCTAGAAAACATGCAAAATTGATCAATAAAAAAAAGAAAAACAGCTAAAAGTAATCTAAACGTTTGGGAATATATCTATTTTATAAAATGTTTGTTTTCCTTGAATGGAACTCTGCAGCTGCCGTCTAAATATTGACTCGGCAATAAAAAAAGAGATAACCAGGCGAGTCATCTGACACTCAGTTTACTTCCTGGTTGCACACTTCATCACCAAAATAAGGATTCACACCAATAGAAATGGTTCCCAGTTTGGATGCACGAATGAATGTAAGGACAGGAAATGCTGGCCTGGTGTGTTTTAAGGTCAAGGTCAATTTTATTAATAGAGCACATTTACAGCAGCAAAGCTACACCCAAAGCACTGTACAAGGTAAAACAAATCAACAATAAAAACCTAAAATAAGATGAGCACACAACAGTCACAATCTATTAAAAAACTGTTAAAAGCTATTAAGATGCTCAGGTCAACCTGCATTAAAAACCAAATAAATAAAAAAAGCATCTTAAGAAGGGATTTATAATGCTCTGATTCTGTGTGGTTCTGATGTTGAGAGGTAGCTTGTTCCACAGTTTGGGACCAACCACAGAGAAAGCTCTGTCGCCGCGAGTCTTGTGGCGGGGTTTTTGAACTGTTAAAAGAGCTGGAGAGCTGGACCTCATGGTTCTGGCAGGGACGTAAGCGGACAGCAGCTCAGAGATGTAAACTGGGGCCAGGCCATGAAGGGATTTAAAAACAAAAAGTACAAAATTTGAGATGGATCCTATAAGTTTTTAGTGGGTGGCTGCTGGGTAAAAGTGTCTTTAGTGCACTGAAAGAGACTTTATCAAAGGTAAATTCCTAGTTTTGGTCAAAACGAATAAAATCTCTTTAATTTTTTGCCTTGCAGTTATAAATGGGAGGCTGTGGACCTGGATAATCAAGTGAAATACTCTCTGACGCTCTGCGGGTCTCCTCTGACCAGCTGCGGCTCCAATGTCGCCGTTTGTGCTCGAAACCTCACCAGCGGAGAGGAGCAGTCGGTCGGTGAGTTCGCTGGAGCTGCACGGCTCGGGTCGCATCAAAACCAGGCTCAAATGAGACAAACAACAATATTTATGCAGAGAAACACAAGTGACCTGGTAATCTGTCGACTTGGTGTTTTTATAGGACAGATGGGAGTCGGCTCCCATCGGAAACACAATCCATCTTTTATCCTTAAGGAACGAGACTGAGGGAGAGCTCAGACACTCATATAGAAATATGTTAAAGCTCTAAGCGTTCTTTAATTTCACTTTAAGTGTAAGTGAATCATTTTGGAGCTTAAGCTACATGAAAAGGTTCACCTGTTTGTTTCTTTACTCGTCTTTTTGGTTCTAGTTTGGGTTGATGATGACGACCTTTAGTCAAACAGCTTTATGGTTCATAAACCAGATGATTTTCACTGCATCAACCTGAACCAGCCTCTATCCACAACAGGAGGTTTTTATTGCTAAACTCGTGATGTAACCTCACCTCTCCACCGGATGTGTGAGCGGCGTAACGTAACAGACCCACGAGCTTCCTTCTCACTGAGAGAGTTTTGGTGTGAAACAGCAGTGGAAGCGTTCCGAGCAGCTGGTCACAAAATGACTAGAGAATTACAAAACCTCCCACGATGCCATCATTTCACACGACAACGAGCAAGAAGAAAGACATGCGTGTATCTAAAAATGTCTGTGGTTCATTTCCTGTTCTGTTTACCTCAGCAACGGAGGTTTCACAGGGAATGACATACTTTTTTTAACTAGTTATGCGACTGGAAATCTGCATGTGACTTTTATTTTGAAAGTTTCCGGTGGTGAAGAGCGAGAGCTGAGCTAGAAGATGAAGCTCTCGATTTACCGGTTATCTACGTTCCTACCCTCACCTATGGTCACGAGCTTTGGGTAGCGACCGAAAGAACGAGACACGAGCGGCTGGAATGAGTTTTCCCCACAGGGCGGCTGGGCTCTCCCTTAGAGGTAGGGTGAGAAGCTCGGTCATCCGGGAGGGGCTCGGAGTAGACCTGCTGCTCCTCCACATCGAGAGGAGCCAGTTGAGGTGGTTCACCCATCTGGTCAGAGTCCTGGACGTCTCCCTGGTGAGGTTTTCCGGGCACGTCCAACTGGGAGAAGACCTAAAGGAAGACCCAGGACACGCTGGAGGGACTATGTCTCTGAGCTGGACAGGGAACGTTGTAGGATTCCCCCAGAAGAGATGGCCCAAGTAGCTGGGGAGAGGGAAGTCTGGGCGTCTCTTCTTAGGCTGCTGACCCTGTGACCCAACTCTGGATAAGCGGCTGAAAAAGGATGGATGGATGGAAGTTTCCGGGTGTTTTACACAGCTTTTGTGTTTGACGTCCTGCCTGGCCCGATCTGAATAGCTAAACTTGACACATTTTTGAAGCGTAGCACATAAAGACTAGAAGTATCCCTATGCATCTGAGATGCTTCCAACAACACCACGCTTTGCAGCCGGCGGAAATGCTCCCAGCCACGATAATGGCGGCTAGTTACAGGGATTATTTCTTACCAGTGTATGATGGTACACCACTAAATCAATGTTCCTACAAAAACATTCACATTTTCTGACTATGTTGTGTCTTTCTGTCATTGATCACATCCCAGTGAGATACTGATGTCCGTTCTGGCTGATAAACAAAGTTTATTTTTGTCTCATGAAGCTCCGGTCCCTCCCCTCTGCCAGCCAGGACCACATTTCTGATTGTCTCAGAAAACAAACACTAGTTTTGCTAAGAGGCCACTTAACTTTAACTGTCCTGGCCGTCAGATCGAGGTCAGTAAAGGCAAAGAAATGGTCTACAAGAAGCCGAGTGTTGAGATGAATCACCAGCTGACTTTATCACATGAGCCTGAAACACTTGGTCACGCTCGGCAGCATGAAACCGTTCTGGTGGATTTGAAGAGCCACTTGCTCGTTTCTTCAGTAATATACGGTAATAAATCATCCTAAATAGTGAATATTGTAACTATTTCATGATGCTGATAAATGTTTTAATGTTAATGCATGAAAATGTTTACAGAAATGTTGCTCTTAAAAAGATTCCCTGTAGAAAAATGTTGGAACTCGTTCAGCTGTCCTGAATCTCAGACGAGTCTCAACTCTTTCTGTTGGACTCTGTTTATTGCAGACCTGCAGGATGCAGGTTAGTTATGATGGGTAGAACGTGAAGTCACAGGGCTGCAGAGTGCTGCGAAGGTACAAGCGGCTTTTGTCTGCCGGGGTTTTGGTGCTAGTAGGTCACGTTGTTGTTCAGTAACATTCCTTTATTGTCCTGTTGTGATAGCAGCCTTTCAGGGTTTGGCGGAGAAGGCGTGCAAAAACACCCTCAGAAGTCTGAAGAGTTGAATCCAAATGTTTGAGTAGTTCTGGTGAAGGAATCATTCATCCAGAACGTTTACTGTGTTTGTGTTGTTGGGAGAAACCAAACAACGCATTACTCGGTCTCGGCCGTCATCTTTTTGCGTGTAATGGATCAGGGTAAAGGTCAGAGATTACACATATCAGAGGAGGAGGTCTGAGCTTTCAGCTGATCCCTGGACAGTTTCACAGCCATCCACTCCTCCATCAACAAGGAAGACCCCAATGAGCACTAGTTGTACGATCACAGGTTTCATTCGCCTTAATGAAGCTCTCACTGCAGTCTAAAAGCTTGTTACTGATTTTTCAGTTTGAACCTGGAAAGATCAAAACGTCACCCTGGACATGTCTCCAGTCCCTCACGGGGACACACTTAAGGACGGTTTAGAATCACCGGGTGACCTGATCCATGATTTTGGTCTGTGGGAGGAAACACATTCATGTTTGAACATTTAAACAAACTAATATATCTGACTTTTGTTTTTCTCCTCTGTTGGTTGTCTCAGATTCTCGCATCCATCATCTAACCTCAGAGTCTCGCTCCCCGCTCTGAGATGATCTAACCTCTCAGGTGTAAAACCGAACGCTACCGTAGGTCATTCATCCCCTCTGCAGTCAGAGTGTATGACTCCTCAGTTGAACTGCTACTGGCATTATCCTGGTACACAGTAACACCAATGCAGTATTCAGTATGTGTTCAATACTTGTGCAATACTGGATTTACACGATATGTCCGTCTCCCTTACAGTATGCTGGGTAGTGTTGGAACCAAAGTTTTTAATTTGTGGTTTTTAGTGGTCGAAGGTAACAATACTAGCTTCTATACGTGTACCTTTGTTATTATTTTACTTCAGTTTATTCTTGTTAAGTGTTTTTGCTGCCGTAACAACAGACTTTCCCCACTGTGGGATCAGTACGGTCTATTCTACATCCTAAACATGCACAGTGTTTCCCACAGCCTCCTGCGAAACACACAAATGATGAATGAAGCTTCTGTTGTGACTCTGTGGGTCAGATAAACTCCCTCGGTCTCTGGAGGTTAGAAGGTCCAAACGTTCTCCTGTCAAACATCTCGGACGTGTCACAGAGATAACCCGAGGCTGTTTGCTGGGAAAAATGAAACATTTTAATGGCGTGCTGTTCTGTCTTCACTGTGCAGGTGACTTGTCGCTGCAGAGGCTCTCTGGCTCTGTGCTCGACTACAACAGCACAAAAAAATGTCCCGGAAGCAGCAACAATGTTCAGAGCAGCATCAGCTTCCAGTGTGGGAAGACCATGGTAAGACCGGGCAAAGATCAGGGGGCTGACTTGTGTGTGACCAAACATAAACTATGACTTATGTGTTTGTGACAGTGGGAATTTTTACTGGAAAGCACAGCAACATGTGCATCTAAATCCAATATTGGGTATTTATAATAATAAATATTGAAATGATAGGATTTATTATCGATCACATGATCCCTGCCAGATGAACTAATACATTCAAATCAGTCTTAATGTTTTTATTTTTCCAGGGCTTCACAAGATATCCAAAATCTACCGATATGATGACTTTAATTTTTGTTTTTAGTGTCAATTATGCAAAACCTAATGAAAAGCGTCAGACGGAACACTGGTGGAGTTTTGGGAGCCAGGCAGATCCACGTGGAGCTAGCTTTTAGCGTCACGATTCACTAGGATACATACAATAAAGTTTATCTCTCACCAAATAAAATATTTACTAAGAAATCACAATGTAACCATAGAAACACTATGTGTGTGTGTGTGTGCGTGCGTGCGTGTGTGCGTGTGTGTGTGTGTGTGCTCTGTCTTGTCTTCTCGGTCCCCAGTGAGTCGTGGTGGATGGCTGCTCATACTGAGCCAGGATTCTCTGGAGGTTTCTTCCTGTTAAAAGGGAGTTTTCCTCTCCACTGTCGCTGCATGCTTGCTTAGTATGAGGATTGCTGTAAAGACTATGACACTAGTCAGTGACTCGATGCAACCTGCTGGGTTCCTTATTTAGGAAACTTTTTACTGATTGGCTTAATGAACTGACCTATATTGGGATGTTTACTATGTGAAGTGCCTTGAGACAACTCTTGTTGTGATTTGGCGCTATATAAATAAACTTGAATTGAATTAGGAGACGTAGGTTTATTGCAACAAAAACATTGTAAAATTTAAAACTGGATGAGGTAGCGCACCGAGAGCCAGTGCAGCTGGGTCAGAACAGGAGTAATGTGCTCCCTCCTTCTGGTGTCCATCAAAAGGCGGGCTGCCGCATTCTGCACCAGCTGTAGGCGCTCAACCGAGGAAGATGTGGATCCATAAAAAAGGGAATTCACGTACAAATCTTTTGTTTGTAAATGGTGAAGTTATGGAAGACTGAAACTGGGATGACGGCTTGACGATCTGGATCATGGATGGTGTGACGGACGTCTTTTGTTCTAAAACCAGCAGCTAACTGGTCACACGTCTGTCTCAATGTACATCTCTCGATTAGGGAAGCTGGCTCACTTGTTCCTGTTACTGCCTTGCTTTGTGGCTCAAGGGCTTCAGCGGTCTCGTCATACTCACGGGTGTGTGTGTGTGTGTTTTGAGGGTCTGACTGATGGTTTGACATTAACGTGTCATTTCCTGTGGAGTCAAAGTGAACGCTCATTTTTCAGAACAAGAGTGAACTTTGCAGCTTCTCATGTTAATGGAGTCTAAAAAGAGAAAATGAAAGCAGCTTTGTAGATGAACTCCGCTTTATTACAGAATTTTAGGTATTTCACTTCAACTTTTACTCACTTATGAGAAAAATCAGATTTTTATGTTTTTTATATGATCTCTTATTTAAAAACTTTTTGACAAGTTATTTAAATTTCAGAATAGCTGATAAAAATTCAGTTTTAACCTTTTAAAATCCAAGAACAAGAAATTGTTATATATATAATTTTATTTTATTATATTTTTAGTATTTTACAGTTTGGTTGAGCTTGTGGGGGTTGTATGGACCAAATTGTGCTCAACCACATAAAAACCGACCACCTAATTTCTAAATCAATCTATTTGAATTAAATAAAAATCCATTAAGTTCTGCGTGTGCTGCTTTTAATAGGCAAAATCAAATAAATGCACCATTTTAAACGGCAACCCACAACCCCTTCATTTACAGAATGCTGATTGCGCGCGCACACACACACACACACACACACACACACACACACACACACACACACACACACACACACACACACACACACACAGAGTTGTGGTTTGTTTAATCATGACTACCTTCTCTACTCATGTTTCAGGGAACTCCGGAGTTTGTGGCTCTGTCTCAGTGTGTGCATTACTTCGAGTGGAAGACCTACGCCGCCTGCAAGAGCAAAAAGTTCAAGCCCCTTAAGGAGGTAGGTCTTCGAGGTTTTGTGTCAGAATGAAAGTGATGCATTTTACCGTCAGAAGCATTCAGCCAGCTGGCAGGAAGATGAGGGTTTTACGGGGGAAGAAGAGTCACATGTTGTCACAGTAATCTGGCTAATGTGGGGGATTGAAGGGATCTGTGAAATTAAATAAACTTTCTCTGAGTGAGTTTCAGTTTATCTGTATTTCAAATGCAGGTTTTAATGGGGACATATTATTTAAAGACGTGGAACACTAAAAACCTGTTTTTTATGATTGATTATGATTCTATCAGGTCACTCAGAGTGTTTCATGCAGGCTGAACATGAAAATAGTCTCCTACACCTATCTCCTGCAGTAGCTTCTGATAGAAAACAGACAGTGAAACTCTAGGATTAGAAAAGCCTGACAGATCTACGTCACACTGTCACTAACATTCATGGACTCACCCATCATGACTCACGACGGGGAAGGCTGCTGTTGGTTTAGCGTCCAGGAAACAGCGGAGAAACGAATAGAAGCTAACCATTAGCATTAGCAATTTCACCACACAGCAGAACTCCTCCAGGCTTGTGTTATTGTGGTAGAGTTGCATTTCTGTTATCCAGTTCGAGACGAGATGTCCAAATATTAGGAAATAAGACTCCAAATCCTGCCGTCTGAAGCTCAGCTGTGATGTAGTCACTGCTAACTCCTGGAAATGGTGCACCAGTATAATTTTTTTCCTCTAAGAAAGACTTACAAGGTATTCTTAACCTCCTTGAGATCACTGCAAATGTATTGGGTTTTGGATTAAATGAGTGTTCCACACCTTTAATTCTGACTTTTGCATCGATGACGAGGGTCCACGAGAGTCCCTACTGCCTCTACAAACTCTCCAAACATGAATAAAAACCATCCATTTATTGTCTAATAGATTTTAGTTTCAGGAATCATTTTGCTATGAGCCATTTGGAAAAAGTCCCTGATTGTGACATCACAACAAGGAACAATAACATAGATACCCTTCTCCCGTTGATGCTGAAGGAGCAGCAGCTCTACTCTATACCCCTCCCGGATATCTGAGCACCTCAACTCATAGCAGCCAACCAGGGGGTGGGTGGGCGTGGCCAACAATGGCTTGTTTTATTAAAGTGACAGAGCCCTGAAACGGCTCATTCTGGAAGATACTGAAAATGCCACTCGTAGAGCTGGTGAGATTTGCTTTATGTGAGAGAAATTCAGAGCAAAAACCTTCATGAACATGTTTTGTAACGACCATAGAACCATTAGGTATATGTCCTCTCTAAAGCTCCTCCTCTCTGTCCAGGTACCCTGTTATGTCTTTGACCCCGACAATAAGAAGCACGACCTGAACCCTCTGATCAGACCGAATGACGGCTACCTGGTGGACGATGGTAACGATGATGGCGTCGACTTCTACATCAACATCTGCAGAAGTCTCAGCAAGCCCCAGAGTGAAGGTGCAAGAAATGAAACTGCTAATCCTGAAAAAGCAGTAGATGTTCCTGTAGTCTGGGGGTGGGGCCTGGAAAAAGAAGGTTGGACCGTAGAAGTGTGTATTTCCTAAATGTAGCTTGCTCAAATGGCACAAAGCAAAGAAGATGGGCTTCCAGAAAGTACCAAGCGTGTAAACTATTAGTGAACACCAATCTAGTCAGAGCTGTTGACCATTTCTGTTGCTGTCCATCTTCATCCTGTCGCAGACAGCCCAGTGAAATCCTGTCCAGATGGCTCTGCAGCCTGCCTCGTCACCAAACAGGGCTCCTTCAGCATGGGCTCTCCTACCGGGCCGTTAGAGCTGGTGTCCAGCGACAGGTAGCTTCACCTACTTCCTTTTAGGATGAGTCTCTGTTAATTAATGTGCTTAATTATGATTTGAATGTTTCTTGTGTCTTTTCCTCTCCAGCTTGAGGTTACAGTACGAACTGAGCGCTGGCTCGTCTCCTCCTGACATGTGTGGGAAACACCAGCCGACCGTCAACATCACCTTCACCTGTCCTTCCAGCAGACACCCTGTAGGTCACGGAGCTTCTAGGCAACTCCACACCTGTTTGTGTTTTTATTTTTATCTTTTGTTTTTCCAGGGAAGCACACTAAAGATGACAGCTGGGTCAAACTGTCGTTACGAGGTGCAATGGGTGACTGAGTACGCCTGTCACAGAGATTACCTGGAGAGTCACACCTGCAAACTGACTAGTGAACAGCACGACATCTCTATAGACCTCACGCCGCTCACTCTGGGCTGTAAGCGCCTCTTTCAGATTCATACACACAAGTTGCGTTGGGGAGATCTGCCGGTGTTACAAAGTGATGTACGTCCTGTCGTACTACGAGCGTGGTGTCCTCGCTGCAGCTGGTTTAAAGCAAGAAAACGGAAGAACAACTGTAGAAAATGCAGCTCCGAGCATTCTTTCTCATTCCGACTAGTCACAGTTTCAAACAGACCCTGTAAGAGTCATCGGCTAGTAATGTTGCTGTTTTTAACTCCGGTTAGAGTTGGAGGAAATTCTGAATGAGAAGCAAGAAATAAATGTGTTCATTTTCTGACCAGATGATCAGGAGTTTAGCTGTCCTGCTGCAGTTATTTCCTGGTTTTTGCCTGAACGTCTGAATGCGGTGGTGCTTGTGTGCGTTTAGCTGCAGATCCTCCGTACTCGGCTCACTCCGGGCCCAGCACTGATCCTCAGAGCTACGTCTACTTCCTGAACGTTTGTGGAAAAGTGCAAACGGCGGAATGTGGTCCGGATCCCTTCATATCATCCTGCCAGGTGAAAAAGTCCCAGGATGTAAAGAAAGTGGCCGGACAATACCAGAACCAGACTCTTCGGTAAGATCACGTTCAGGCAACTATGCCACCTGCTGGTAGAGATGTGTCTAACAGGACAGCTGCACATTAATCATGACTTGTTGATTCTTTCAGGGCAGATATTTAAACATTTTCTTTAAAACTTCACACACCCCTTTTGGTGCTCCTGTTCTTGTGCAGGTATTCAGATGGAGATCTGACTCTGATTTATCCAGACGGCAGCAAATGCTCCTCTGGCTTCCAGAGAATGACCATCATCAACTTTCAGTGCAACAAGACGGCCTGTGAGACAGTTATTTATTCGGATTGTCATCCAGACGTTTTGAAAACGCGACGTTTAGGAGTTTAAGGGTTTGTTGCTCTTGTGGTTTGCAGCCAACGGGGGTCACGGGAGCCCGGCGTTCGCTGGTGAGACGGACTGCACCTATTACTTTAACTGGGACACCGCCTTCGCGTGTGTGAAGGAGAAGGAGGATCTGCTGTGTCGGGTCAGAGATGGCAACAAACACTATGACCTTTCACCCCTTACAAAATACCCAGGTGAGTTTATCAGTCTGCTCTGTTTAGCGTGAGACCTGATCTGATCAAAATCTGTTTGATGCATCGATGTCTGACCGTTTAGAAATCACCTTCTGGTGCTAAAATCCTTTCTTCTGTCTTCTCTTTGATTTATCTAAATAAACGTCTTTACAACTGTCTGCTGGTAAGTCTAAAGATCTAGTCTGTCTGGTTCAATCTGGTTTTGGAGCCTTTTAATGGGTCAGTTAACCCTTTTCAGGGCCAGGTAAAAACAGCTTATTTCAGTGTCTTAATCTGAATTAAATGTTACTGTTGTAAACTAACAAAAATCTACTAAACAAAAAATAAAATGTAATAGGAAGCGGGGATGTTTGAATAAAAGCCTTATTTATGTTAATATTAAGGTTATTATTAGGGTTGGGCATCGTTTGAACGTTTTGAACGATTCCGATTCCAATTCCTCGTTTCGATTCCGGTTCCTATCGATTCCCGATTCCGATTCTTTGAAGACATGACATGTTTTACATGAGCCAGCTAACCACAGGTCCTACTTGATGAAATAATCTTAACTTCAACATGAATTTTAATTCTATCAACAACAACTTCACCTTCATTTAGACAAAAACATGTTTTGGAGAAAAAAAGAAAAAGACTTGCAGCACAACCAGTGTGTTTGTTTCTGACCACAACCAAAGTGTGGAAGCAGCCTCTGGGATGAGAGGCTAAATGTCTCCAACATATCCAGAAACGTCCAGCTGTTTTCAGCTAAAACTCTCAGGATGATCATGTCCAGGATGACTGAGAACTACACCTCCATGCTGCAGCAGCATTCAGTCAGAACAGAAACTTAAACGTAGCTGCTGTCAGTAACAATCTAACAGATTTTAAACATTAAAACTCAACAGAAATAGTTCAGCAAGGAAATTAAAATGTTTACAGCTTTGTGTGTGATTTATTATTATTATTATTATTATTATAAATATTATAATTATAATTATAAATATTATTATTATTATTTATTGTAACAGAAGCTGGTGTGGTCCACCACAGAGAAGCTGCTCTTGCATGATGGCTTTAATTATTCTACAGGTTATTGTTCAGCCTTCTGACGCTCACACACACACACACACACACACACACACACACACACACACACACACGAGTGTTGGTGAGCGGCTGCGTCTGACTGCTGACGCTCCGTGTGTGTTTTTATTTCTGCAGTGAGGCAAACTCACCTCACACCGTCCAGAGTTTGTTCTTTAAGCTTCTATTAAATCCACCGTGTTGACGTATTTTAACACGTTTCCTCTACGCTGCAGGAGTTAAAGTTTACATCATGGAGTAAACGTTCGGCAGACTTGTTTGTTTATATCTGGGTGGGGGGAGGGGGGACTCAGTGCTGCACACAGACAGCTGTTGTGATCAGCTCTGAAAAGTGTTGACCACAATTTGCAGATCATGTTTATTTTTCACGGAGATCAGCCGCGGATTCCCCTTCCGGTCGGCATTCTAGGAATCGAAATAAAAACCTGAACGATTCCGGGAAAAATGAACAGTTGGTCCCAGTTCCAATCGATGCTCGATGCCCAACCCTAGTAATTATATTAAAACTTTATTGCTCCAAATTTTTTTAAAAGCTGCAAAAAATCATCTTATTTTCTGTTTTCTTGCTGTGGATATTAACTGTTTACATTGTTTATTTAATAAATAAAAGATTACCTGGTCAGATACAAGTACAGACAAATAGGTGAAGAAATGTGTCCAATAAAAGAAGCTGAAACCTCTTGAGAAATCCGTTAGAACCACTGATTACTAGAAGATTTGGCTGCCTGGAAGCATGAATCAACGACAGGATTAAGATTCATGCGTAGAATGCATTTTTAATCCCTGGGTTCTGCATTTGTTCCTCTCCAGAGGTAGATGACAGTGTGAACTGGGAAGTCGTGAATTCTAAATCTGAGAACTCCGACTCCCGTTTTTACCTGAACGTCTGCCACAAAGTAATCCAGACGGGAGGAGCTGCTGTCTGCCCAGAGGACGCCTCCATCTGCGCCGTGGGTAAGACCACACACGGAGATTTCATTATCGGTGTTGCAACACGGATTACTGATCGTGTCTCTCTGATCTAGATAAGAATAATAAATCTACCAACCTGGGCAGCTTCCTGTCTCCACCCCAGAAGACTAAAACAGGAAATGACATCAGACTGGTGTATACTGATGGGGGGTTCTGTCCTGACAAGAAATCCAGGATCCAGACGATCCTGACTCTCAAATGTAAACCAGGTAGGATGAACCGACTGATGCGGTCAGACTCTACAGCTGTTTGACTTTGTTGTCATGGCGACTGTGTTGTCCCTTTGTTTGCAGGAGATCTTGAGAGCCCTCCTGTCCTGCTTCGGGTGTCGCCTGATTCTTGTGTTTACGAGCTGGAGTGGTACACCGCTGCTGCCTGCGTCCTCTCAAAGACGCGAGGAGACAGCTGTAAGGTGGAGGACCCTCAGGCTGGTACGACACAAACACGCACAAAAAACGACCCCGGTGGAGTCGGTCATGTGACCCAGTGTGTACATAGTTTTTTATGCAGAGTTGGAGGATAATGTTGAACCTTTTTTGTGTTTTAATGTATTCTGGTTAAAAAGATCGTTAGCAGAAGTAGGTTGTATAAATAAATAAATACGTTTCCACAGGATTTTCCTTCGACCTGTCTCCTCTCACCAAACCGGACGGCTCCTTCTACAACATGACTAGTGGAAACTACAACTACTACATCAACGTCTGCGGTCCGGTCAAAGTGGAGACGTGTCCGGAAAAGGCCGGCGCGTGCCAAGTGGAAAAGAGGTGAATCACATCCCCGACAGCCACCGGGTTGGGCATCAAGCATCGATTGGAACCGGTTCCAACTGTTAGTTTTTCCCGGAATCGTTCAGGTTTTTTTTTTCGATTCGTAGTTTCGATTCCTAGAATGCCAACCAGAAGAGGAATCTGCGGCCGATCTCCGTGAGACATAAACGTGATCTGCAAATTGTGGTCAATGCTTTTCAGAGCTGATCACACCAGCTGTCTGTGTGCAGACATGTTTTTGTCTAAATGAAGGTGATGTTGTTGTTCATAGAATTAGAATTCATGTTGAAGTTGAGATTATTTCATCAAGTAGGACCTGTGGTTAGCTGGCTCATGTAAAACATGGAATGTCTTGAAAGAATTGGAATCGATAAGAATCGGAATCGTTCAAAATTAAACGATGCCCAACCCACCTTACACCTTCCTTTAACCCACCATCTGTCTTTTGTCTCCAGCGCCTGGAGTCTTGGAGAAGCAAACTCCATTTTGTCCTACTACGATGGCCTGATCCAGTTGACGTACAAAAACGGATCCCAGTACAACGATCCGAACCACACACAAAGGTCCACCCTCATCTCCTTCCTGTGTGACCCAGGAGCTGGAGTCGGAAACCCAGAGTTCCAGGTGAACCTCCTCCCTGCTGGTGTGTAAGCTCTGCCTCCGCACGTTGTTGACACACGTTTGATAAATGCAGGTAGAAGACAAGAACACGTATAACTTCCACTGGTACACGTCCTACGCGTGTCCTCAGAGACCACACGAGTGCCTGGTGACCGATCCCAACACCCTCGATCAGTACGACTTATCCAGGTAAATCCTTTTACTCTCTTTCCCATTAACATTTACATAATTTCAACACCAAAAACAAAAATACATTTCTTTTCCACTGCTTCCTCCAGGCTGTCGCGCTCCACCACCAACTGGCTGGCGATGGATTTATCCAACCAGAAGAAGTACTACATCAATGTGTGTCGGCCACTTGTCCCTGTATCAGGTTGTGACCGCGACACGTCCGTCTGCGAGATGAAATACGTAATCGAGCAGGTTTGTACTGAGTTTTTACCGTAATCAGAGATTCAGAATAACACCGACATGCCCTCTGTGATTGGCTGGTTCGCCTATAAACATCCATATGAGGCATTCAGTGTCACACTGGCAGTTGGATTAAATCAAATTACATGATATTTATAATGATTTAGGCTAAAATTAATCATTAATCATCAATTAATCAATGCAAAAAAATTTTAGTAAAATAATTAGAATCAGTCCTTTGTTTATGATTAGGATGATTGTTCCAGGCCTAAGGAAAGCGAGCTGCAGTAGTCCAAACAGCAGGAAACAATAAAATGGATGGCATGCTCGAAAACTTCAACAGGAAGATATGAAAGGATCCGTACAAGGGCCCTGTACATTTTAATTAACAGAATAATTCTGGTTAATAAAATAAATGTCATTTAACTCATTCGCTGCCAGCGTTTTTCAGCATTTTTACTGTTTTTTAAGAGTGACAGAACGTTACGCGCTAGGATGATGTCGACGCCAAAACAACCAAAACAGGAAGAATCCTCTTGTTTCGAGCGTTATCCGTTTTTTCATAATCTGTTGTTGAATTGTGATCGGCAGAAGCTTTTCCGGTTCGTGCCTCACTTTTTTTTACAGCAGCGGCCCAAAACGATCTCCTTACACACGGATTTTCCGCTTCCTGATCACGTGACGTACGCGGATGAAGATCGGTTTTAGAGCTGAGATGTTTGTTCTCGGTGCGGGGGCTCGTCCGACGCCCACACAGTAAAAAAATGCAAATGACGACTGAAGTCGTCAATGGCAGTGAATGAGTTAACAGCAGTAAGAACCACATCTGGGCCAAACTTTTATCAATCATGTTTGCTTCATTTATTCATGTTTTGTGAACGATGCTCACAAGTGTGTTTTTACAAAGTCTGTGAGGGTTCATGCCTCCATTTAGCAGGAAATGACCTTAAAAACATAAATATAAGTTGTTCTGTCACACTTCCCCATTTTCATTGTTGAAAATATTTGATTTGTTAGCGTTTTTTTGTCAGGATTCACATTAAATGAAACATCAATCTTTCAGTGATTAAAAGTTATATTTTTAAGTATTTGCGCGTTAAAGTCCAGCTGTGCTGTCCTCAGGGCTCTCCTACGGAGGTGGTGTCGGTCAGTAACATGGGTCTGTCCAAGCGAGGACCCATCATTGAGGGACGGGACCAGCTGCTGCTGGAGTTCACAGACGGTTCCGTCTGCATGTCAGAGGGTCAGAAGCTGTTGTACACGACCCGAATCCACCTGCGCTGCTCCAGAGGAACCGTTGTAAGTAAACACACTTCTGTTAAAATAAAATGAAGATATGACTGTGTCCTTTAACATCTGACTGTGCTGCTCAGGCTATGAACCCGCGTTTCGTGGTGAACCAGAACTGCACCGCTAACTTTATGTGGGATACTACAGCGGCCTGTGCCATCAGAACCACCAAGAACAACGTGAGTTCACTCACTTTAACCTTATTTGAACTCTAAATGATCATTTATATGCATCGGTAAAGGGATAAAGGAAATCTAACGATGTTTGGTGTTGCAGACGTGTGCGATTGTGGACCCAGATTCTGGTTATGAGTTCAACCTTCAGCCTCTGGCCTCTAAGACTGGATATGAAACCGAAGCTAACGGCAAAAAGTTTCTGGTGAGACGCAAACATAATGTCAGTTATCTAAAGGATGAGCTGTGGCTTTGATTAGTCACAGTTCAGCTGCTGCTTGGTTTTATTTCAGCGCCTCCTGTTACCTGTAAATGAATTTAGTTGATAAATCACAGCATTCATTTTAAGGAATTCTTGGTAAACTTTCAGAAAACTGCTAATGAACCCAAAATATTAGAAGATTTTTAGGTTAGTATAACTTTAAAGAGCAAGTCACCCCCTACCAGATTATTACTCCACTCCCACTTCCTGTTTGAAAAATGCAAGCAGACTGAGAGGGTGGAGCCGCTAACAAATACACACACACACACACACACACACACACACACATAGGCTCACAACGACACTGTGACATCATATGGTACCAGCTAACGTTCTAGGGTACCTCTTAGCCAATAGCGATGGCAGATTTAAATTCAAATGCAGTGCAGAGTTTTTACCTGACAACGGCACAACACTGACAGTTTTAGGCAGAAAATTAAAATTTTAACTAAAATGCACTAAAGTGCTAAACTATTGACTACACGTGTCTGCAGCACGATTAGACACACATTTATATAGTTTATCAGGAAAAAAAAGTTGATTTGGGGGTGACTTGCTCTTTAAAGAAGGAAATCCATCTAATTCTCCTTGTTTAAAAAGTTTAAGCCATTAACAAACAATTTCCTCACAATTTTCTAGTTGTTTATAATTATTCATTCATCAAATTGGCTGCAGATTATTTTGGTTTTAAAGTAAAATTTCTAAATAAAACTAGTGAATAAAAACTAGGTTAAATTTACAGAAATTTGTCTTTTTCCTTTTTTGCTTTTACAATAAATTATGTAACTAATCAATCATTTAGATATTTATTTGTTATATTTGGACATTTGAACTGTCAGTACTTTGATTCTGAAAGGATCTGAATCTCACAGGTTTTAACAGGAGACCCATAATCAATCAGAATATACACAGATGCTTCTGCTGAGTTCACATTGCTGGTTTAACTTTAGCTCTTTTGCTGCAGATGGCGACGTACAGCTCTGTTATTCTTTTGTGCTCATTAAAGATTAGGCTTTTATTTTGAAGTGTCTGACTCCTTGTCCTTGTGTTATTGATGTGAACGTGGGTTAAATCGCCTTCATTTATATTTCTGAACACTGTAATAATCAGAGTGTGACGCCTCCTTCCTGCAGTTGAACATCTGTGCCGACGCTCCAGGATGTGGGACCGGGATGGCCGGCTGTGAGATGGGGAACGAGACTCCCATCAGTCCGGTGGGCGTGGAGAAGAGCCTCCAGTACTCCACAAACAACGTCCTCCAGCTGACGTATAAGGGGCAGCTGGAGGACTCCACAGGTAGTTCAAATAGGAACAAAAACTGGAATTTAAATGTTTTAACAGGCCAGGAATTTAGATCCTTGAAGATGACTAAAAAATTTTCCAGTCTTTTAACATTTTAAAAAATCTGCTGTTCATCAAAGCTTGAGTGTAAATATATCTAAGTTTGTGTAAAAGAAGATGAATATTCAGTTATAATTATCCAGTTTTATTGCAAGTTGTATCTAATAATTTATCAGTCACTGCTAAGACAGTTTACAGCTTCAGGCATCAGTTTATCTGCTGTTTTATATGTTTAATTTTTTGTAATTAGCAGCTTTTCTTTGTTTAATTAAGCAATTCTCACAATATTTGAAGCAAAAACATCAAATATTCTGGGGAAAATTTTCAATAAACCTGCAGCAAATAAAAACCGTTCTGTATTTCCTGTGTATTTGTAATTGTTTTGTCTGTTTTGCACAGCCACCCGGGACACCTTCACTGTGAATTTTGTGTGTGATCCGAGCTCTTACCCAGGCTCATTAAAACTAGTCCAGGAGGATCTGAGCACCTCATCCAGCCACGTGACCCACGATGTTCTGTTTGAGTTCTCCACAGCTCTGGCTTGTCAGCCCGCTCCGGTTAACTGCAGAACCGCTGGTAGGAAGTGATTAAAATCACTTTCACTAGTGTTAAACCGTCAGACGACAGCTTAAAAAGTAAGGACCTTTCTTTACAGGAATGTGCTGACGACTCTTTTGCTGTTTTCCAGATTTCCATGGTAACGAGTATGATCTGAGCCACCTGATCCGAGATGCAGACGACAGTCCGTGGCTTCCCATTGACACAGATGTTAAGAACTCGCGCAAGTTTTTCATAAACATCTGCAAACCTCTGCCGACCATCAAGGGCTGTCCAGGTCAGGAAGTGACTCGTTTCAGCTGATCATGACATAACGAGATAATGATCTCCGGTGCAGCAGATTTTTTTTTCCTTCGTCTCCAAAAACTTCAGTTTTACTATTTTTCGTTTCTCACATTTAAATATACAAATGTTACTGAGGTAGAAATGTTAACGACCTCCGGCCGTTCAACTTTACAGCAATTGGAGCCAAAATTGTTGGAAAAGTATAAGTAAAACACATTAATTTATTTGTAAACAAACATAAAGATGTAGTAGATCTTAAAGAGCAAGTCAACCCCTACCAGAGTCTAACTCCACTCCCACTTCATGTTTGAAAAATGCAACAAATGCTGTTGCCTGGCAGACCGAGAAGGCTGTATTGCTAACAATACAGGCTCACGACAGCATTGTGACATCATAATGTACCAGTTTACATCATAGCATACCTTTTAGCCAATAGCGGTGGCAGATTTAAATTAAAATACAGTGCAGAGTTTTTACCTGACAACGGCACAACACTGCCAGTTTTAGGCAGAATATTTAAATTTTAACTAAGATGCACTGAAGTGCCAAATTATTGACTACACGTGTCTGCAGCACGAGTAGACACTCGTTTATTTAGTTTATCAGCAAAAAAAAGTTTATTTGGGGGTGACTTGCTCTTTAAATAAGCAGGTAATGTATTCCAGTCCATTGGAGCTTTATCAGAAAAAGACAACTTTCCTGACTCCTTTTTAAAACGAGGAATTTGGCTTAATATCAGATATTAATATCAGCCAAAGTTATCATATCAGAGCATCTCTAGGTAAAACTTGTAATAAACTTTAGAACTGAGCTGGAAAGTTAGCAGAATAATTATAATTTACTGGGTTAAACTCCTCGTGAGGATTGCTGTGGTCCTTTTGCCTGATGGGCAGAAATTTGGATCTAGGATTAGCATCGGTCCGACCGAACAGATTCCTGACTTGGAAGTTTTCAGAGTCACAATGCAGGCTAACTATCATTAGCGATGAAGCTAATAAAACATTTATCACCGAAGCGAGTGTAGCCATGTTAGATTTTGACTTAAATTTCCCAAATTTAGAATTTTAATTCTTTAAATGTCTAATATTAATTTTTTTTACTAATTTGAAGTATCCATCAGTTTCAGGTAATCGGATGCTTTTATTTTGTTGAATCGAAAGCATAAAATCAATTTGATGTTTCAGATCTTAAATTTGAAAAGAAGGAACTTAGTTTTTATGTATTTTGAGCTGGTCTTAGAAAAGTTGGACACACAACAAAAAGTGATTCTTAACAACATCAGAAGAATATTTGAAATAGTTTTATGATTTAGTTTGGCATCATTTAAAACATGCAGACAGACAACTACACAATAAAACAGCACGCCAGACAGAAATTTATATGAAACGTATCATCGTGTCATTTCTGGTTTGGGTTGTCCATCAAAAACAAGAGGTGGCAGAAATTAAAATGAAAATAGTCACATTTATGATAAAATGGATGGCTAAAACAACCAAAAATGCTATGATTGATATTAATCATGCAAATGCAGTAAATATTTTGTTTGTGTGTAGGTCTAATTGTGTTGTTTTGTCCTCAGTGGGTCCTCTGGGTGCTTGTGGAGTCATTAAAGGGACGTATTACAACCTGGGATACGTCCAGTCCAGCCCTCAGGTGGCGGACGACGGCTCCGTCAGCATCGTTTACCACAACGGAGACAAGTGTGGGTCTTCGTCACGTTACTCGACGCGCATCATCATTCAGTGTGATGACAACCCGGTGAGCTTTGATCCCAAAAACTAGTTTTTGCAGCTGTTTCACAACAAAACCCTGTTTTTTGAGGGTCTTATTGTCTAGTTCTGCAAACTGTCTGAATTACCAGAGTGTCTTTCAGCTATCACCAGCTGGCTAGAAGATAACTTCCTTCAGTTAAATGTCTGATCATTGCCCCTGAGAGTATGATTCCCCTGATTAGTCTAAAACTTGGTCGTTTATCCTCTGCCGTCAAGACAAACTTAAGAAATTTGGGTGTTATTTTTGACCAATCAATGTCTCTTGAAGGCCACTCAAAATCGTTGGTCTGAAACTGTTTTTATCATTTAAGAAATATCGCCAAACTTCGAAGGTTGGTGTTCAAACATGAACCTGAAATGGTTCTCCATGCCTTTATCTCCACCCGTCTAGATTACTGTAACACACTCTTCACATGTTTGAACAAAAAAGCCCTTGACCGCCTTCAGTTGGTCCAGAACTCTGCAGCGAGGCTCCTAACTGGAGCAAACAGAAGAGCTCACATCACTCCTATTCTGACGTCTCTGCACTGGTTACCCGTTAACTTTAGAGTTCATTTTAGAGTCCTGACTAGAACTTTCAGGGCTCTACGTGGTCAAGCTCCTCCCTATATTACTGACCTGTTAAAGCCTTATGCTCCAACCCGAGCCCTCAGGTCCACCCACCAGAACCTTCTAGAAGTTCCAAAGACCAGATACAAAGTGGAGGTGATCGCTCCTTCCAGACTGTTGCACCCCGACTCTGGAATGATCCTCCTTTATTCTTACCCAGCGTTGACAGTCTGGACACCTTTCAAAAACAGCTGAAGACCGTTTTATTTAAAGCTGCTTTTAACAAATTCTTTTATTTTCTTATTTTAAATAAAAAATTTTAATCTTTCATCTGTTTATGAATTTTTATGATTTTATGACTTTATTTTTTCTGATGTGAATCTGTTTCTGTTTTGAGATCAGTATGATTTTATAACTTTGATTTATTTTATTTTGATCTATGTGAAGCACTTTGTGATTCTATGTCTGTGATAAGTGCTATAGAAATAAAATTTACTTACTATTTGGGAACATTTTTAATCCCTATATTTGTGTAAAGTTGAAATTAGAGTTGTACATCAGTGGTAATCACTGTTTGTTTCTAGGGTTCCCCTATGTTTGAACGTCAAGATGGCTGTGAGTTTGTCTTCATCTGGAGGACGCCAGAGGCCTGTCCTATCAGGAAGTCTCAAGGTAACGACGTCCAGACAAAACAACCATGAATCGACTCTGACAATGATCAAAAGCAGCTTAAAGGCACAATATAGAGGCCATCTAAATCTAAATGTCTAACAGGTCAAGACTGCCGTGTTCGTGACCCTAAAAGTGGCTTCGAGTTTGACTTCAGCTCCCTGAAAGGCAAAGATCACGCCGTCAAAAGTGAGAAGTACACCTACCACCTGTCCGTCTGCGATGCGCTGCAGGGCGACGTCTGCACCCACAAGGACTCCAAATCAGTGGCGTCCTGCCAGACGGATGGGAACTCCCACAAGATCGCTGGTACGAGTAGATATAATAAAACCGTCTAAACATTCTGGTCTGTTTCTCTCTCTCTCTCTCTCCTTCTTCTTCTTCTTCTCTCTCTCTCTCTCTCTCTCTCTCTCTCTCTCTCTCTCTCTTTCTCTCTCTCTCCTTCTCCTTCTCTCTCTCTCTCTCTCTCTCTCCTTCTCTCTCTCGCTCTCTCTCTCTCTCTCTCCTTCTCCTTCTCCTTCTCTTTCTCTCTCTCTCTCTCTCTCTTCTCTCTCTCGCTCTCTCTCTCCTTCTCCTTCTCTTTCTCTCTCTCTCTCTCTCTCTCTTCTCTCTCTCTCCTTCTCCTTCTCTCTCTCTCTCTCTCCTTCTCTCTCTCTCTCTCTCTCTCTCTCTCTCTCTCTCTCCTCTCTCTTTCTCTCTCTCACTCACTCACTCACTCACTCTCACACACACGCGCACACGCTGATGTTGCTTGACTGTGTGCAGGACTAACAACCCAGATCCTGGACTTTGTGGGGGACCAGATCATCCTGAACTACACCGGTGGAGAAACTTGTCATAAAGTTTACAACAGATCTACTGTGATCTCCTTCTCCTGCAGCCCTGATGCACATCCTGTGAGTTTAATGTCTATGTCTTTACACCAGATTTTTAGTCTGTTTAAATACTGTATTGACCCGAATATTAAGACCCCCCCCCCAATCTTCAGGAAGACGGAAAAAAAGCACTTTTTAAATAAACAATTTTATTGGAAATTTGAGAGCCAATACTGAGCAAAAATACTATTTTAGTATAGAATAGAATAGAATAGACTTTACTGATCCCACAGTGGGGAAATTCACTTGTTACAGCAGCAGCAACACTTAGGAGAATCATTTGAAGAATAATAATGACAAAGGTACATGCATATACACATTTATTGCAAACTATCAGAACTTTGCTGATGTGTGAAATCAAAAGTCAAATCGGGCTTTTCTGCCTCGCTGTGCTCACTCACTCTCATTCTCACTCGTGCTGCTGCGGTCCCGGCGCACCATCAGATCGCTACACTTGCCGGCCCATCCCATTGAACGTCACCCTCACTGCCATCCGATGCATCCATGCATGCAATGTTTGACGCCTCTGCTGAGTTGACCATCGTCATCTTAAAATTCACATAACACCCAGAACACACCAGACGCGGAAGCGAAATGACGCGCCGCAACGCGCTCTAATCTGCGCCCTTGGTCACATCAGTTGCAAAGCACCGCGAAGGTTCGCGCCGTGCAGTGATCGTTTTCGCCTGAGCTCATTTTTTCGTGAGCAGGAAGTCAAACCAAAACAGAAAAGGCAGGCCGGTAAATTTAACAAAATAAAGCACTGCGATTGATAAATGTTATCATTTTTCTGTATCTAAACAGACTAGAGAGATGAAAATGAACAAAGACACACACACACACACACACACACACACACACACACACACACACACACACACACACACACACACACACACCTGCGGAGAAACACAGCATTTGCATTATTTTAAATGCAGTTTTTACAGCAAAAGATGGATTCAATAAATGTGAATACAAACAAAAGTGTTTAATTGAAATAGTATTGTACTCTAGCACAAACACTAGTTGTTTACTTACCCATTTAGAATGGAACTGGTCTACAGAACTACAGCAGGATCAGCGCAGTTTCTGATGTCAACAAGTGTGGCAAACTGGGTACACACACACACACACACACACACACACAGAGCAGGGCACGGGGGTGGGGGGTTTGGAAAACAGTAGGCGTGAGCAGAAGCGCTTGTCGGGCATTCTTGCCTGATGTGAACAGAGGAGCAACGGGCAGCGCACAGATTTCGTGAGCAATCCGCATCAGCTGGTGTGTTTCAGGCGTAATTCTGCCTTATAGCTTGTTGACTCACCCCACTTTTGGTCCACTGTGCTCCAGACCACTCGTCGTCTTTTTTTTCTCCTGTTGAGAACACACAGCCTGGCGCCCTCTGCTGTTACAGGCGTGTAATGACCCCAGACAACATCAGCATGTGTGAATGGTCAGACACGGATTATAAGACGACCCCACGTTAAAAAATTATTTACAATGAAACGAACCTCGTCTGATATTCGGGTCAATACGGTAGTTAATTCATACATAAATTCTGCAGAAAACCTTTATTACTAATTTAATAATTGGCTGGGACTTATTATATTATGTAGGATCCATTGAAACATCAGGTGACTTTTACAGAAACGTGTCATACCTGTGTTTACCAGCTCTTTGGTGACTTCCTGTTTGTTTCGTGTCTCCAGGGAAAACCGGTGTTTATTAAAGAGACTTCAGATTGCATCTACATGTTCGACTGGCCCACTGCGCTGGCCTGCATCCAGGTTAAAACCACCAGCTGCTCCATCCGGTAATCAGTCATAACTGTGCAAAAGTCTTCAGTCATCCTATAAATCTCTATATTTTGCTTTAGAGGAGCCAGATTTTTGTAATGAATGTGTTGCTAACTTTTTCTTTGCCCAAATTCTGTCCTGTTATACTCTAAATCCTGCAGCTTTGTTCTCATTTTATCTCATTTTGCAACTTAGTTATGTGATAGTAATAAAAAATGTAAATACTTGTAGAGGTTAAAGGGGAATTTTCACCATTTTAAAGTTTTATTTGGGAAATCTCTAAACCTCTTACCTTTTGTAAATCACTAGGGATGAGACGAGCATCCGGTACGGATAAAGCATTTTTGACGAATACGAGCATGAAACTAGTTAAACTCGTAAATATCTGTAATCGTGCAGAAGGAAAATCCTCATTGGGTAACTGACTGTTTTCACGCTCTGTGATTGGCCAGTCACATAGAGCGCCCGCCCCTCCCTACACACAAAACTCTGCAGCCGGGAGCTCAGTCCTCCGGCCCATCCACGCACACACACAGACAGTAACGGATCTCTCTGTGCTTGCTTCACTGTTGCTCACATTTCTTCAGTGCTCCCTAGGTTTTCTTCAGCTCGGCTTAATATTTAAAGTAACTTTTTTCGTAACGTATGTGGTGCATCTGACAAGACAGAGCTGAAAATGGCTCGGCAGAGACCAACGTTTAGCTTAACTATCACCTGCAGCAGCAGCTAAACGTAGCTTCACGCTGCTTCCAGAGGCCGACAATGCCATCACATTACCTGTCCTGTGATGTGAAATTAACGACCGTCTAAAGGCTTATAATTGTGGTGAAATGAGGAAGTTGATGGAGGTAGATGGTTTAATCATCTGCACAATTTTAAGTTTTAAACAAACATCAAGACACTTCTTTCAGGATTTTACACCCTTTTCTGTTTTTTCTCTCGTCAGCGACGATCAGGGACGCTCTTATGACCTTTCACCCCTGGCTCTGGGCTCTCAGAACTGGGAGGCGGAGCATTTCGGGAAACGGTTTTACATCAATGTCTGCAGGTCTCTGGTGCAGCAGGGAGGTTGGTGTGGTGGCTCACGTGTCTGTTAACTGCTTTTTAATGAGTCGGTGAAAACAAGTGCTGCGTCTCTGCTCGTCTTTCTGCAGGTAAATGGGCGTGTCCCTCTGGTGCTGCGTCCTGCATGAAGGACGGGAATGATTATGTAAGTTTGGGCCAAGCAGAGTCCGGTCCTACGTGGGACAGGGACGTCTTGGAGCTGCGGTACACCGGCGGACAGCCGTGTCCTGATAGAAGCCGCAACAGGACAAGCATCATCCGCTTCGTGTGTAACAGAGATAGAGTGGTGAGACAGGATTCAGCCGCTTGAACCCAGATAAAACCCGACTCTCCATTCTGATGTTTTTATTCATTTCCTTCCAGGATTCCCGGCCTAATCACATCTCTGACATCGAGGACTGCGTGTACACGTTTATGTGGCAAACGGCAGCTGCCTGCCCTCTAAACACCACTCAACACGGCGACTGCCGAGTCGCAAACCCGGCTACAGGTCAGACATGAACCGCATACGTACTGTCAGGAGTAAAATAAGCAAAACATGGTTCTGACAGCTTAAAATAAAATAATGTTTTGGCCGACAAATGAATATAAACAGAACGAGTGTAACTTTGTCCCTGTAGGTCATCTGTTTGACCTGAACTCCTTGAACAAAGCTGGCGGCTACACAGTTTTTCATCATGAAAACGACAGGAAGATGTTTCGTCTGAACATCTGTGGAGAAGTCGAGAATGCCGGATGTGATCCAGGAACCGGTACGTAACCCCACCGGTGATTCGGTCATAACCAGAATCTCACTGAGGAGAAACTGCCAGTGATGAGTTGGAGACAACACTGTAACTACGGCATTCTCGGGTTGGAATCACAGTCAACTGAAGTTTAATGTATTTCTGGGTCTGGTTGGGCGTGCAAAATAATCATGAGCAATTGGCATACCTCAAGCAAAGTTTGGGAACTTGTTGCATTTTAGTCTCAAGCCCCGGTTTCACACTTCAAGCATCAGCGGAACGAAACGGCAGCGAAGCGGCATCGCTTCAAATAGAATCCAGTTATAGTCTACGGAGTGTTTCAAACCAGCTGCGACGCAGCAATTTCCAGGCCCAGGGGCGGCATGCTGCACCGCTAAAAATAGGATCGAGTTCTATTTCTTCCACGAGCCGCTTCTGGGACACGTCAATTTCTGCAGTTCACATAATGTGAGACAGGAAACCACACATGGTTTCAGTGTAAAATCCCTGGTTATTTTCAAAATAATATGCAATGTTGCGATGTTATTTACAACTTACGTCAGCACGTGTGACCGAACGGCTTTGTTTACCACCAGTTTCTTTCGAGAAGTGCAACGGTGTGATTCCTCGCGGGGGTTGTGATCTCTCGATGAGGAAGATGTCGGAAGTCTCGAGGGATTTTAGAATCTCGCGAGGCGCAGCGAGGTGCCGTGCCGTGGCCGAGACTCTCCCGGTGTGAAAAGGACCGCTTTGAAGTTCGCGAGTAAGCCGCTCCGCTGCTGTTCCGTTCCGCTGATGCTTGCGGTGTGAAACCGGGGAAAATGTCTGAATAGTGTCTTAATTTGTTCTCAAGTGGATCATCGACTCATGCCAAAATGGTGTCCTGGTTTTCAGAAGAAACTTTATGTGCATGCAGGCTTGTTTATAATTGCTGCAGCATGAGAGTGAGGCTACACCTAGGTCGGGTCCTTCCTCAAGCGCAGTGAGGGAGTGAGTGGCTGTGAATTTGATCAGCCTTGTCGCTTCACTGCGACGTAATCTGCCTTAAATGCAGACTTACCCCTACTGCACAAAGGAAGCATCAGGGGCGCGGAACGGCGCTGCTTCAAATAGAATCTATTATAGTCTACGGAGTGTAACAAGCCAGCAGTGCAGCGTCTCAGAAGTGTCGCGGCGCGCCGCTACAGATAGGATCACGTTCTGTTTTTGCCCCGAACCGCTTCTGGGATGCGCCAATTTCCGCAGTTAACTTATGGCTCGACAGGAAATCACACCCGGTTTCAGTGTAAAATACCTGGTAATTTTTAAAATAAAAGTGTTGCAGCAGTGCAGTTCCACATATATGAAGCTTACGTGTGACCCAACGGCTTATTTACTCACAGCATCATTCCAGAAGTGCAGCGGTGTGTTTTTCATGGCTTTAATCCTGGCAGTGGAGAGGAGCACCATCATATATGATAACAAACAGCGATAACAACGTCACGTCCTTCCTTTTGGTTTGGCGGATTGCATAAACAGACCGTAACCTTTGAAGTCTCGCAAGGAGGTTGGTGGTAGTCTCGAGGGATTTTGTAATCTCGCGAGTCTAACAAGGAGCACGTCAGAGAAGCCGCGTCGCTGCTGAGACTCTCCCGGTGTGCACTCGAGTGCAATGATTGCTGCGAACCGTTCCGCGCCGCTGATCCTTTCAGGGTGCAGCCGGGGTTAGACAGATGCAGCTCCAGAATTTGGACACAGCTGTTTACAGTTTGTCTCCAGGAGACACAACCCAGTGAGAAACCAATGTAGCAGGTGAAACAAGTTTAAAACCTTCAAGACAACAAAGAAATTAGTGAGTCGGCTCCTTTTGTCCACTCAGAAAGGCTCCGAGGTCATAGAGTTGTTGCAAAACAGCTTTTTATCATCTTTTAGTGTGGTTTAACTTTATTTCTATGTGATCAGGTCCTTCCCACTAGTATTTCTCTGGTTCCCGTTAATTTTTGAGGGCTTGCGTCATCACTGAGTGGCTCAAAGAAAGTTTAGTGAGAAATGATTGACAGCTCGGATTGTAATTATAATCACAGGGACGTTTTCATGTGTTTAATCAGTTCTGAAGTGTGCAAATAAAGGCAACTCAGAGGCAGAATACGTTTAGAAACACAAGTGCCGTTTTTGATGAGCCATGATCAGAAAATCTAATTTTCTCCCTTCTGATCCCACATTTGGTGCAGCACAAGCTAACAGAGCGATTTAATTTATCTGCTTATAAAATCTGATCTCATGTTATGACCTTGGTGCTCCAGCCGTGTGCATAAAGGAAGGTAGCTCTGTGATCAACGGCGGTCAGGTGAGCAGGGAACTCTCCTACAAGGATCAGGTGGTGGAGCTGACGTATGAAGGAGGAAGTTCCTGCTCAGCGCATGGCGACCAGAAGCACAAAACCATCATCAGCTTCATCTGCAGGTATTCCTGCTTTTCTCTGAAATCTGAATTTATTGCTTTTGTTGTTTTTGTGTTTTCTGTTGCAGATTTTATTCTTAAAATGACGACATTCAGGCTCTGTGCGTTGTTGAAACGTGTGTAGATCTTAGCTTAAACATTTTACAGAACAAATGCACCAAGTTCAGACTTATTTATCTTGTTTTCAATCAGAAGAGAATAAATGAAGAAGCTTTTAGATTTTCTGAACAGGGTAAATTTATGGTAAAAAAAAACAAAAAATGCAAAAAAACAAATCAAAGATGAAACACTTGCATCATGTGTGTCAATGTAAAACAATAAAATATATTTTTATTTTTGTTGTATTTGCATGACATTTTAATGTTATAGTAGTAATAGTGTTACTATTAACCCATAAAAACATAAAAATATTCTAAATCAGTGACTAATAAAAAATCTGATGGCAAAAAATGACAAACTTACTTTTTTTTTCAATTCAAGTTTATTTATAAAGCGCCAAATCACGACAAGAGTCGTCTCAAGGCATTTCACATAACAAACTTTCCAATACAGGTCAGTGCATTACGCCAATCAGTGAAAAGTTTCCTATATAAGGAACCCAGCAGGTTGCATCGAGTCACTGACTAGTGTCAGAGTCTTTACAGCAATCCTCATACTAAGCAAGCATGCAGCGACAGTGGAGAGGAAAACTCCCTTTTAACAGGAAGAAACCTCCAGAGGATCCTGGCTCAGTATAAGCAGCCATCCTCCATGACTCACTGGGGATCGAGAAGACAGAGCGGGCACACACACACACACACACACACACACACACACACACACACACACACACACACACACACACACACACACACACACACACACACACACACACACACACACTGGCTGCATGGTGATGCAGTGGTTAGCACTGTTGCCTCGCAGCACGAAGGTTGCAGGTTCGAAACTCAGCTGCTGCCTTTCTGCGTGGAGTTGCGTGTTCTCCCCATGCATGCGTGGGTTTCCTCCGGGTACTCCGGTTTCCCCCACAGATCACAACATGCCCTATAGGATATGAATTGTAAGTCGCTTTGGATAAAAGCGTCTGCTAAATAAATAAACATAAACACACACACACACCAAGTAGTGTTTCTATGGTTACATTGTGATTTCTTAGTAAATATTCTATTTGGTGAGAGATAAACTTTATTGTATTTATCCTAGTGAATCTATAATTCAACAGGTGAATTAGTAGTAGCACATTCAATGTCAACGAGATTAAAATGTTATCAGGAGAGGGAGAATGATTTAATGGTTAGCAACAGTGTTCAAGCCGATGGCCCCCTCCATGAGGCCACCACACAACATCATTGTAGCTTCTTCTGGGGAGAAAAACAGAGAAAAAATAAAGTTAACAGCTGAAATAGCAGGAAATAATACAGTTAAAGAGCAGATTGTAGAAGAAGGTGGTGGTGTGTGGAAAGTGGTCAGTATTTCCTCCAGCAGTCTAAGCCTATAGCAGCATAACTACAGAGATAACTCTGGATAACCTAGCCTTTTAGATGGAGGCATGTTGGAGAGCCGTCTTTACCGACTGTACACTCCACCTCCTCTTTTCCTTTAATATTTAAATTAGAAAAAATTTTCTTCCAAATTAAACCTAAAATCCACATCAGAAAGAAACCAACAATCATTCATAGCCTCGTTATTTCATGTGATGTACAAAAAAATAAAAATAAAAATGGTATTTTGTCTTTTTTCTGATTTGTTTCTAAATAATATTTTAAAATAAACCCATTTTTTATTCTTTCAGATTTATTCCTTATTTGATGGATCACTGTTTTTAAAATACTTAGTTTTCTTCAGATAAAATCAAAATCTCAACTGTTTTCAGGGTGACGAGTTTATTTGTGTGTGTTCTGTTTTTGTTGAATCTGAATCTGCCCCTCAGACCCCCCAGCATGGCTTCGGCCCCAGAAGAACCCGTCCTCATCAACTCGGTCGCTGAAACCTGCACACACTACCTCTCCGTCCACACACCTCTGATGTGTGAGCGAATGGTGGGTCTTAGGAAGCCTGCAAATGCATTTAGATTAATTATGATTTTAGTTATAAATCAGTTAACGGTGAGCTGGTCAGAGATTAATGAGCAGGAGTCAAAGGCAGCAGAGGAATTAGATCATAGGGATGGAAAAGTTTCATTTGTTAATTGAAAATACTCAAACATCTCAGGTTGAATTAAGAAATATTTGCAGGAAGTTTTTATATTTGAAAGGATGGCTTCCTGTGTTCTCAGTTTGGTTCCGGACTCATTTTCTTGTTGTTTAATCATCAGGTGACGTGTTCGGTCCAGAACGGCTCTACTTTAATAGACCTGACTCCTCTGATTCATGTCAGCGGATACTACACAGCGTCAGGTCTGCGAGCCCCAGCTTCACACCCCGACACCGTCCTGCATCACCAGGGGATTCACTTAACGGCCATGTCTTTGTGTTTGTGTCAGATGATGAAGTGAATCAACCTGATGAATCTCCAGACTTTTACATCAACGTCTGCCAGCCTCTGAACCCCATCCCTGGGGTCACCTGTCCACCTGGAGCTGCGGTGTGTCTGGACCCGGATAACGGAACTGCTATGGTGATGAAACCAAACCAAACTCTTTCCTCTTCAGGTCTCGGACTTTACATTAACACAGAAACTGGCAACACGCTGGGTCTGTGTTGGGACGGTGATGCGTTTCATTTCTAGAGACGGTCAGGGATGAAATAATTTAACCAGAGAACACGTGTAAGCTTGATCTGCTCAGCTGTGAGGCAGAGCTGATTGTGTTATGCTGAGGTTTTACGAGAAAGAGTGCCAGAAATGTGAAGATAAGGAGCACCATGGAGGAAGTGAGGAGGAACTCTGTCATCTAAAGCTCTGATATAAAGGAGTCGGCTAAGGTGGTTTCTGGTCTTCTTTCTCTGGAGGGGTTTCTTAACCCTGGGGTCAACCAAGGTCTCGCTGGATAGAAGATAAATCCTCTGGTTTATCAAATGTCCAGAATGTATGTTCAGTGTAACGGGGTAATTATTGTATGTATTTGGGTGCTTTTAAAGCTTGATATACTACCCTACACTTTGACCAATATGATGTGAATTTCCATATAAATATGGAAATTCACATCATATTGGTCTTTGAATGTTTAACCAGAAGATTTAGAATTCTTTGTTTATTCAGGGATTGTCAGACTCTTTGTATTAATTCAAGAAGGGAGTCAAGTTTATAAAAAGCAAGAAATTAATTTTCTAAACAATTAAAACATGGCGACTAGGACACTTGATGTGATGAATGGATCTAAGTGGATGGAATGTGAGGGGTGATGATGTGAATGTGATCTTATCAGAACCCTTGTATCTGAAGAAACTGAGTTCTGAGTGGGAGTGAATTTGGTCTGCTATAAACTAACAAAGTTGGTTCTTATCAAAAACACATCAGACACAATCTGTCGAGTCTATGTACCCTCGAAGACCCTCGTGGTAGATCCGGAATGTTGAGGTCCGGGGACCCCAGAGGTACCGAAGTCCGTAGAAGCAACCGCAGTGCCGACTAGACCGGTCTCAAGTTGTCTTCAGGTCACGACCGTTGTTATTTGCGTTTTAGGAATAACTCTTACGGAATTGAAGTTGGTTCAGCTTTATTCTGAAGGAACCGTTTGTGGTCAGCTGTAGCGTGCAGCAGGTTTTTGACAGCTTGTCAAAAGATGCTCTGGGTTAAAGAGGTTTTGCTCCAGATGGCCGGTCCAAAACTTTCTCAAGAACTCACAAGAACTACAACTAGTACTTGAACTAGAACTGACTCACAGTAAAGTGAGTTCTGCTTTAATAATCGTCCTATTTTTATTTACTAACAAATCAGAATTTGACATGTAAAAAGGGTTTTACCAACAAACAAAACACGCCTTGCGTCAGATACAGGAGTTCTGGTTGGTGGAGCAGAAAGCAATGTGTCAGGATATTAGCTTAACCTCGTCATCGTTACGTGTCTGAGTGTGAGTTGTCAGAGATAGTGATTCACTTGTTAAATCTAAAATTACTGATCATAACATAATAATATTCATTTCAACCTCAGTAATTTAAACACAGATTAATCAAAACGTTATTATTCTTCAGCCATTATTGTTCATTCAACGATATGATTATTTACTCATCTTGCTCATTATATGATTTAATTTAGAAAGTTCATCCATCTTGTGCTGTGAATAAAAACCAGTCTTAGATAAGAGTGAGCTTGGAGGGACCTTGAAGCAACAGTATCTTCTTGCAGATTAAAGCACCAGTTAAGACTTATGTCTCCAAGTGACCCGATACTGAAGAGGTGACCTGTAGATTGAAAAAAAGACCATTTCCGGAGACTACATCAGCAAATAATCAATATGAGGGGTCCAAATCAGCCCTCCTGTGGGACGCCCCAGGGTTCCAAGATTGTTAGATCCAGTTGAGAGGGATCATCTAAAGCAAGATGTGAGTCTGTAAGCTCAGGATGTCCTTTTATAGGAACATGTATAGGGTTAATACCTGAAGTCGCATTTTCTGGGTCAGAATAAACATTCAGGTAGCACTATAACAGGCATATCAGAAATACTAGTTGGTTCAGTTCAGTTCTGTGGCATTTACAGGATTTTAAGACTAGAAATTTCATTTTTTATTTGACATTTTGGCTAATTTCTGCCTCTTCTGTCTTAAAGGATATCGGTAGGACCACCAGCGGCCCACAGGTGAACAGTGCAACAGGTAAAGTCTTCATCACCTACCAAAGCTCCACCAAGTGCAAAAGTGACCCATCACAAAACTACACGTCAACCATCATCTTCACCTGCCAGAGAGGCCTGGAGCTGGTGAGTCAGCCCTGGTTGTCCAGTCGCTCACGGATCGATCGCTCTGCTTCTAACCGAGCCGTTACCTTCGTGTCCAGGGTTCTCCTCAGATGCTGAGCCTCCAGGATTGTGTGTATCTCTTCGAGTGGGCGACCCCCATCGTCTGCTCAGACGCCACACAAACCAGCGGCTGCAGCCTCACAGACTCCCAGCTCCAGTTCACCTTTGACCTCAGTGCCCTTTCTGGTGAAGTCCAGGTGATCTTGGAGCTCTTTTTGCCAGCAAACACTTTTGGTTCTGCTCGTTTTTCCTCTTAGATCAGGTGACAAATGAAAACACAATGTGTTCAGGTTAAAGGGAGCTCGTATTCTATCAACGTCTGCGGCTCGGTGTCGGATCAGGGCTGTAAGCAGAGTGCAGTCTGTCAGCTGTCTGGTTCTGGTTCTGACAAGTCCGCTTCATCGTTCGGTCTCAGCAAAATTATGACCATGGACTACAAACATGAAGAGGAGGCAGTGCTGATGCAGTACGGAGGAGGAGATCCCTGCCCACCAGGTGAATTTTACTTTGAAGCCAAAATGAAGTCTTGTGATCTTTTTCAGCCTAGAAGAGATAAAAACAGATCTTTAGGTGTTCGGCGTAGGCCCAGGATGTGAAAACATGAGCAATAAAAACATGAATATGTGTCTGGAGGGTAATTTATCTTTACTTGACCTGGGGAGTTAAGAGGGTAAGTAGAAGCCCTTTGATCAGCTGATCATCGAGGGTGAGGGTCTCTAAAAAAAGCACAAGACTTCTGGAATAACATTCTTTAGATGTGACTAAAGTGGAGATGTTCGATAAGAAGCACATTTCCTTTGTTTGGCTCTTTTCTAAACACAGAGTATTGATTTGTTTTTCGTTTTGGCCAACACCTGATGGACAAGGGACACCCTTTTAAGATGACAAAGTACAAATTCTGGACCGAGAAGACAGATGGTTTGAGAGAGAAGTACAGGAAGCCGTCTATGTCGAATGTAAAAGACCTACTTTAAATAGGTGGGGGGGGGCTCAGATTTCACCTTTCCAGGACCTATAGCGCAGCTTTAGAATCTCTTTCCTAAAGCCTGCCGCACACGAGAGCAAACTGCTGAGCAAGTCTCGAATGACTGTTAGTTCAGCAGACACCTCTCTGTGTGCGCCTAATTTTCACTGAGTTTTCTGCCTCATGAGATGTTGAGGAGAAAATCAAACCAGTTTGATATTTTCTGCCTCACAGGGGGTAAAAACTCACCTTGTGCGTACAACGTGAGCTGCCGGCTGAGCTGAAATATTCTAGTGGCCAATGAAAAGATAAACAAAACTGTACCTTGTGGATCGATGGGCCCACTGTTTCCATTACCCTCTCAAAGTATCGAGGATCCAGACGGCGGTGCTGTCGGAAGCATTCTGGGTCTTCAAGGCGCATCTCTTGAAGTAGATTGGCATAAACTCCTTGCCTGGCCCTTCTTTGCAGCCTCCGTACCAATACTTTCCAACATTAAAATGATGGCGGCGGCACTTCAACAAAAAAAGTAGAAGCATTTCCTCCATTTTCAGCTCTGTCTTCATTTTGTTTATGTTCTGATATGCAGACAGGGGGCTGCCATCTTGGAATCATGTGAGCGGAGAACACTTTGATTGGCCACTAGAATATTTCAGCTCAGGTTTTCGCATACGGTGAGTTTTAATCCCCGTGAGGCGGAAAATATCAAACCAGTTTGATTTTCACCTCAGCGTCTCATGAGGCAGGAAACTCAGTAAAAATTAGGCGCACGCAGCGAGGTAACTACTGAGCTAAGTAATTTGAGACCGTTTGCTCTTGTGTGTGGCAGGCTCAAGCAGTTTCAGTCTAGATCACACCTTCCTGCATCCTGTCAACACAACTCTTTCTCAATAGAGGCTAACGACTCATCAGGACGGGTCTTCAGAGTAGTTTCTGCTCGTTAAATAACAATAGACAGCTTATAAGATTGACTCTCGCTTATTCCAGTCAGAATTGACAAAGCTCCTCGGATGAGAAGCGAAACGTCTTCAAGAAACCAAAGAAGTCCAGTTGCCTTCGTTTGAACCCTTTTGGATCACCATGACCTGGATGACTGAGAACCTTCACCAAAATGCAGTTATTGAGCCTGACCAGTTAAAGAAGTGGTTCCTGCATGTATGTGTTTTAGTGACGGAAAAGCAGGAGGTCTGTGTGTTCCCGTTCAAGTTCAGAAACAACGAGTATAACGAGTGCACCGCGGACGGAAGGACCGACGGGAAGAAGTGGTGCGCTACAACCTCCAGCTTCGACAAAGACCATAGGTGGGGATTCTGCAGCAAAGGTGAGTTTATCTGCAGGTTTCTGTGGATTTAGATGCTTTAAGCTACAGCTGCATTTTGGCTCTAAAGGAAAGGAAAACCATGATGGCGTTGTCTCTTTTGTAGTTTCTGCAAAGCGTCAGTCCTCCATATTGTTCATCTGCGACCCGTCTGCAGACCGGGGCTCCCCGCAGCTGCTGTCTGAGACGGCGGGTTGTTCCGCCACGTTCCAGTGGCGCACCAACGCCGTGTGTCTGCCGAGGAAGATGGAGTGTAAGCTGATTGTTCAGCACAAGACTTTCGATCTGCGATCCCTGTCCTCCCTCACCGAGCCCTGGAAGTTCAACAGCGCAGGATATTCGTACGTCTGCTCTGAGTCCTTGTTGTGTTTCTATTTAAATGTGCACATAGTTCTTTCTCCTGGCTCAAAATGGACAAATGGAGCTGAGAGGTTTTACAGCTTTGTGCAAACATACAGTAGATCAGTCCTGGATTTCTCAACTCACTGACCTGGATGGCTGAGATCATTTATAATGTCAGGTTGAGTCATTAACAGAAGTTTTGCAGAACTTTATGACCCGCTGAGGAGGTAAAATATTCCTGTGAGCCAGAAGCATTTAAACCTTTCAGGACTGTGATCAATGGTTCCTGTTCTAAATAAGAACTTAAATATGTTTGAATGTGGTCTCAGGTATTCCATCAACCTGTGTCAGGGGATCCACAGCAGGCTGTCAGCCTGTCCAGAGGGGGCGACGGTGTGCCGGCGCTCCAAAACCGGAGCCAGCCAGACTCTGGGCCGAGTTTACTCTCAGCAAATGAGCTTCACTGGTGGGCTGATGCTTGAAATTCTCATGTCATGAAAACAAAATTATGTTTAGATGTACTATGTGCTGTTATTCCTGCCCTGTCCTGCTCTACAGATGGAAAGATCTCCGTCGTCTACTCGGGAGGAGATGAAGTGTGTGGCAATGGTCTGAAGGCAAAGACGCTGATCCAGCTGAGCTGTGGCTCCACTGTTGGTCGACCTTCACTCATCAAGTAGCGTATAGCTAAATATTTCAATACATTCCTTCATCTCCATTAAAAAGTCTCATGCACCAAAACTAACGTAATTCCTAGTAACTATTATGGATTCTTGAAGTGATTTCACTCACTAGATATTCAGCCTTTGTTAATGTTTGTCTTTAGTTAAACGTTCCTCCTAAAGCACCGTTCTCATGTTATTCAGTCACAAGTTTGGTACAATGCCTGTTATAAAATTTATATTTTCTACGATTTTTTTTTAGTATTTAAAAAAATAAATTCTCAGTTTAATGAAAAAAAACCTGCTGAAATATTCACCTTTAAAAAATCTGAACTGGTGAAATTAAAACTCTTAAGTTGTGAATGTGCAGCCATTCTTAAGGGTTTCTACTGTGTGTGTGTGTGTGTGTGTGTGTGTGTGTGCGTGCGCGTGCGTGTGTGTTTGTGAGAATAGGATCGATAAAGCTTCCTGTGAGTTTGTGATTGGCTGGGAGACTCATGCTGCCTGCGAGGTGAAGCAACAGGCGGTGAAGATGGTGAACGGCACCATAAAGGTTCCTGACACTGGAGTCAGTCTGAGTCTGGGAGCGCTCTACTTCAGGTAACGCTTCAGCCGTTTTCCTGCTTATCTGCATCTGAACAATGCCGTGGCGTGGGAGAAATGTGGCTGTGAATAAAGAATAATAATAAACTTTAATGTATTAATGTTCTTTTTTTGACTCAATAATGACACGAGTGACAGGAAGGCTAGTCTGGAACAGTTACTTTAACTGCGACTATTCCAGTTCTCCCATTTAATACCGTCGTCGTCCATTTAATACCAAATCTCCCAAAACCACTGTTCCTCAGGGATTAATGACTAAATGATGTGTAGAGAACATTTTTAATTTCTTTGTAAATTATTCTCCTATTTTGGATCAAAAACTGAGAATTTTCAGTTTTTATATGAAAAATTTATTTTGGTACAGTTGAACTTTTTCTCTTTCATCATAATCGGGGATGTCTCGATGCAACTTTTTCACTTCCAATACGGTATTGCAGCCTTCAGTACTTTTCTTTAAACATCTTTGGTGTGTTCTTGCTGTGTTGAAATTCTAATTCCATCTTTTAGTTATTTTTAAAACACAAAAAGATTTTATTTACCTGTAACGTTTCGTTTGTGGCTGCAAACTTCATCAGCCTGACGAAGTTTGCAGCCGCAAACAAAACGTTGCAGGTAAATAAAACCTTTCTGTGTTTTAAAAAGTACTAAAAGATGGTATTAGCCTTCAGTACTGACCGATACCGATATCAGTCTGATACGATATCAGCACAAAACACATACTTTTACCTGTTTCTAAGTGTGGAATGTAAGAAAGGCTTGATCAGGCGATATTACTCAATTGGAAAACAAGAGCCAGTAACAATCATTATGAAAATAATGACAAATTTTTCTTAACCATTGGCTGCAAAAACGTCAACCTTAACAAACCATTTATATCAGAGATTTTTGATGCCGTTCGATATAATCCGATACTGTTTTTGAGCCGATATCAAATAACTTCTGATATCGATATCGGAATGGGACATCCCTAATCATAATAGTCACTGCCTTCGGATGTTTGCACTGACGCTCATCTGTTTGGCCTTTGAACTCACCAGTTAACCCGTTCATTTACTTAAACAAATTGTGTTTGATTCCATTCTTTCCTCTCAGTCCTCACCAAGCGTTTGGAGATAACCGTGCCAACGGAGACCACTACATCTACCACATCCAGCTGTCCGGCATCACCAACAGCTCCTTGCCAACTTGCCTCGGCGCCAACATCTGCCAGGTCAAACTGAACGACACCTTCAGGCGAAAGATTGGCTCCTCCAGCCAAACAGAGTACTACGTTAAAGGTAATTTCATACATAAAGATTGACACGAGCTCACGATCGCTGGAAGATGGTTCACGCTAATCAGTCCCAACATTGACATCGTCGGCTAATTTAAATGGCTGATTGGTTCTAAATCTAGCAGAACAGTAAAGGACTGAGTATATTTCCCTGAGGGACGCCTAAAGGCAAACAAATGTTCAAAGACATGATTTAAAAGGGAGCTCATTTATGATCGAGTAAAACAAAGAAGACGCAGAAGAAGAAGAGTACGGAGATGAAGACGAAGAAGAATAAGCGTTAATAATTTGTCTACATGCAGAATGAATTAAAACCTGCTTCCTCACCACCAGGAGGGAACCTGGAAGTGATTGTTCCTTCGGAGTCGACGTGCACCCGCATGGGAAAAATAGTCACATCCGTCATCATGTTCCAGTGTAAACAAACGGCGGGTGTCGGCAGCCCGGAGTTCCTGCTGGAGACGGATGATTGTCACTACATGTTTCTGTGGCAGACGGATGCCGTGTGCGGTCTGACGTGAGTAAACCTCTTCCTCTGATTTTCCCAAAACTTCTTTGTTCCTGGAGCCGAACACAGATGGATTCTTTCTGCAGGACTGTTGACGCTCAGACTTCGGATGGAGACGACATTGCCCTGGTTCCCGGGCGGAGCCAGGCGGCGGGGATCATGCTTAGCCTCCTATTGGTGACGCTAATCTTCTGTCTGCTGGGACTTTTGCTCCGTAAGCGAGAGAGGAGGTGAGATCACAAGCTTCTGGATTTTCTTTTGCACCGTTTGTTTTTATTGAATCTACGTTTTCATATTTCTGGTAACTTCACGCCTTCTTCCAGGGAGCTGGTGAGGCAGAAGGTTGCTGGCTGTTGCAGGAGAGGAAACCAGGTCTCCTATAAATATTCAAAGGTTGGTTTACGGACGTTTGTTCTGAGATGACCAAACTGAAACTAGAGAGCTGGATGCTGCTGCTCTTCTGTTTCTGTTTCTCTTCACATTCTTTAATCAACAGTTTATTGTAACAGATGTACGAGCGACAGGAGCGGTGGAAATGCAGGTAAAGACTATTTTCTTTTCACTCCTCAGGTCAACACAGATGAAGGAGGTGAAGAGGAGATGGAGTGGCTGATGGAGGAACTTGAAGCCCCTCCCGCTTCTTCCTCCTCCCACTGCAGCAGAAGTAACCATAGCAATGGCCACATCAGGACCAAGCCGGTGAACACAGACGGTCTGCGATCGTTCTCGCTGGACGAGCAGGAGGATGACAGCGAGGACGAGGTTTTGAGCGTCCCGGGTGTCCGAGTGGTCAAACCGTCCTCCAGGAAGTCACATCGCAGCCCCTTCCTGCAGGTGAGCATTGCTTCTCCGTGGGAACGTCTGAGTCTCAAGGCCTCATGTGAAGTTGTTGTTTTAGGAGGAGAGCGACGAGGACCTGGTGGGCCTCCTGGACGAGACGGACCGGGAGAGGAGGAGCAGCAGACCTTGTCCATCGGGTTACGGTAACGACACCCAGAAACGGGAGGAGGAGGACAGCGACGAGGACCTCCTCAGAGTGTGATGTCACTTCCTCCTTCCGGCTCCCTTCTATCCAATCAGAACTCCTCACTCAGTGAATGTCTAGCAGCAGCAACAGCGGCCACGCCCGAAGCGGAACTCTTTTTGAGTTGGGCTGCGCCTCCGCTCGGCCCGATGGGACTTTGCGTTGGCTTTTATTTATGGAGACGTTATCATTTAAACAGCTCTGCCCCCTGTTTCCCACAGAGCTCCTCCACGTTTATCTGGTACAGACTAGTTCCTGGAGATGGTGGTTTGAGATGAAGTTTTAGCACTTTGGTTCCAGCAAACCGCCGGTCTCGTCACAGACGGACAGAATGTTTGTTTTTGCCTTTTTTTTCCCTTCAGAGTTGAGATAGAAGCTGAAATGTGAGTCTTGAGTGGTTTGAGGTGAGAAACCAGGACAGTGAAGGTGTCGGCTGGTGGCTGTTGTTGTTTTAAAGGGAACGAAGACACTGTTTGTCTGTTGTTGCCGTTTACACTTGAGACGTTTATTTTTCTTTCCCAGAGAAAGTTTGATGCCTTCCTAAAGAATCGTGTCCTAAAGCAGACGGACCGAGTCTGATCCCAGACGTTGTACATAGACGATCATGTGCGGTTTTGTTTGTTTCTCGTCTCTGGTCAGCTGCTTTGTTGTTATGATTATTTAAACGGGATGATTTTCTGTTTGTGTAAAACTAGAGACGGCCTTAAGCGTGAATGAACGACTGACTGAAGGGATTATTGTTGAAGCCATATTTTCCTGCCATCGTGTTTCCTTCCCGCGGGACTCAGACGTCATTTGGCCAAAATCCAAGGATTCCTGCTGACATTTAAAATCAGTGTTTTCACATTTTGCCACAAATAACAGAAACAAACACACTCCAGTGTTCCCATAAGAACCAGTGTTTGGCAGGTAGAGGTTTGGTGAGTTTGCAGAATCACATCGATCAGTTTTTCCTTCTTAAAGTCTAGATTTAATATTTCCAATTATTCAAGTTTCAGCACAAAAATAAAGAAAAGCAGCAACTTCCTCAAAATGCAGCAGTGAAAATATTAATTAGATCCTAGAAACAACAAAACAAGCTCATCTGCTTTATTTTATTCATTTTCTTCCAACAATAAATGACATTTTCTCTGAAAAGAAGTAGTCGTTAATCTTAACGCTACAAATTAAAACTAAACTTTATGCGGTTAAAAGAAAATGTAACTTATTTTAATTGGATAGCCCCTTGAACAGCCTCAGTTTGGAGAAACAGTCAGACAGATGAGCTGAAAGCTAGTCACAATCTCAAAGGTGTCACAGAAGTTTTTGCTAAATCTGGTTTTAGTTTTTATTCCAACATAATTGGGATGAAATTCCAGCTTTGCAGCTAATTTCTGCTACAGATAAGTTGGCACGAACTTCTGTGAAACTCTGAGATTAGAGTCGATTAAGATGACGGGAACACTTTCGGTTCTTCTCAAGTTAGCTGTTAGCTCCTCAGATCTATTCTGTTTCTTCAAAATGAATCCACTGAAACTTGTTTTTTTTTAATAGTTTTTCACAAATAAATCCCCGTCTCAGAACCGATTTGACACTTAGAAGCAAATAAAAAAAAAAAAACGAAAATGGAGGCTTATTTGTTTTTTGCTTTTGAATCCAAAAAGCTCCACTTTTTTTATCATTTTAGCATCAAAACTCGCTGCTTTCGGCTGATCTGATGAGGAGCCGTTTTATTTCTGCTGCTCGAACTAAAACATTTAAGATGCTTCAGCTGAGCTGCTTGCATCCAAAGCAAATCAGGAAACATAAACTCCTCCACATATCAGCAAACATTTCCCTTAAATTCTCAAATTCACCAAAATACAACTGGAGTGACATCAGTGTGAGGATTAGTTCTCGTTGTTTAGGCTACATGATCTAATCTCCAGAGATAAAAATCTAACACCATCAGTGTTTTTATGGAGGAGTTTGAAATGTGCCAATGTAATGCAAACAGAAGAGCAAGAGGAAGATCTTTTTTAATAAGCTGAAGTTTGAAACCAGATTTAGTCTTTAGGAGGTGAGGGAGCAGACTGTATGAAGCGACATCGCATTTAAGTAGAAGACAAATCCAGATGTCACGTGAAACTGAACTTTGTTGAAACTGTTTGGTACTTTGAGCCGTGGGGATCTTTGTAACTACTGAGGATGAGGAGGAGACGTCGTACGTGAAGCTTTATCCAGTCAGTTGGTATTTTTTGGGGGTTTATGTAGCACCAAAGTCTGTGCATGGTTCTTCTCCTTCCTGAAGAGAAAACTGAACTTTCTTGTGCTTTTTTCTGTCTTCGCTGAATCTGAAAACTCTTCGGCGGTGAAGCCGATTCACAAAGAAGAAGAGCTGAGTTCAGAAGCAGACACTCGCACCGGGAGAAAACTGACTAACCTGAACCCATTTTGACAAAAGGAGAGAAAAAAAAAGCACAAGAAAAAGGATTCGGTACGACAGGAGCGCATTTACTGTTTCGGTTGGTCTAAATTATGTTGTCTGATCTGTTTGCAGCTCTTTGCCTGTTTTCCTATTTAAAAGAACGTTGATGTAAGAAAATAATGTATTATTTGAATAAATAAGAGATCTGCAGGTTGTTTGGTGGTTTAATCTGAAGTTCTGATTTATTACTGTAAGGAAACAGTATCTTAGAGATTCGTTCTTACTGGAAGTCACCCCACAGCCACACACGGGCCGGGCCGAGTCGTATTCACGAAGGTGTGATATTATTATAATAACATAATACATTTTCTGACACTCAGGGTCACCGTGCACTGAAGAATTCACAATAAAACCAACAAATTAAAACCAACCAGCAAAGCACAACTTCCACTGCGTAGACAGCTTTAAATGCATGTTTTCAGCCTAGATTTAAAAAGCTCTCTTATTCAGAGAAGCAAGAGGGCGACGGTGGCACAGGAGTTGAGTGTTTGCCCCGTAATCGGAAGGTTGCAGGTTCGAGCCCCACTCAGTCTGTCGCTGTCGTTGTGTCCTTGGGCAAGACACTTAACCCACGTTGCCTGCTGGTGGTGGTCGGAGGGACCAGTGGCGCCAGTGCTCGGCAGCCTCGCCTCTGTCCGTGCGCCCCAGGGCAGCTGTGGCTACATCGTAGCTCATCATCACCAGCGTGTGAATGGGTGAATGACTAATTGTGCTGTAAAGCGCCTTGGGGGGGTTCCAGGACTCTTAGCAGGCGCTATATTAAGTACAGGTCATTTAACCAGTGGCATCAGTTGGCTTCCATAGATAGGTGAGACATTAATTCATTCATCTCCATGTTTTAGTATTAATTTAGTCACATTCAGCTCGTGCTTTAAGAGAGAATGTTCTGTCGTTTAGAGGGTTGATGACTTTCGGTGGAGACTAACTTATAATTGATCTGTGATCACTTTAAATCTGATTATTTTCTTTCACCAAAAAAAAATCATCAAACTTTTTCTTTGCTTATTTTTTCTAATCTTTTAACCAACTTCTAAAGACGGCTCAAAACTTTAATGAGAAGCGGTTCGTCTGACGGATCAGAGTGAAATGAAACGTTTTCCAGATGAGGATTTTTTTTTTTATAATAAGCTGAATTTTAGACTTGGGACACGAGTCTTTCAGGAGGACTTGTCCTGATGAGGACTTGACACAAACCTGGAGGTGAACTTTGCTGCAGGAGGAACCTCCCGGACGGTAAAGGTTAACTGACTGACTGGGACAGGGACAGGCTGCACCCTCAGCTGCGCTCGTGTTAATGAACCTCTGAGAAATTAATGCAGGTGTTCTGCCAACTGCTCACTTTTTGTCTGATGTCTGTGAAAGTGGACTTTAGCTGGAGCTGGTTCTGTTAAAACCCGGAGTGCTTGAGTTGTAGTGCTCAGTGTGCAGAAGGAGGCTCAGAATACAAATCAGCTGTTGGAACTCCACCCTCCTACGCAGCAGCTCCACTCATGGCTACTTTCGACGACATCCTGGAGGAAGCCGGGAAGTTCGGCCGCTCTCAGAAGCGGATCTTTGCCCTGCTGTGTATGGTGTCCATGCCATGGGCCGGCGTGTACGTGGGCATCGTGTTCCAGGGCTTCACTCCGGACCACTGGTGCCGGAGCGCTGCAGCGGTGGAGCGGAGGGAGGCCTGCAGCTGGAGCCCGGCAGAAAGTCGAAGGCTGACGGCTCCTTTGATCAACAGCTCTGGAGTTCTGCAGCACAGCAGCTGTGAGCAATATGAGGTGGACTGGAACTCAACAGAACCCAGCTGTGACCTGCAGGAACTGGACCTGAGCAGAACTCCCACAAGTGGCTGCAGGGAGGGCTGGGAGTACGACTACAAGGGAAGACAGTCGTTTGTTACTGAGGTGAGAAAAGACAAACAAATCCACGTTTATCTGCTGCAGAAATCTGAGTTAAACCAAACATAAATAAAAACATGGAAGCACGTCCCTCAAGTCTGGGTATGGATGGAATTCCAGGTATTTGAATTTCTGAAACAAGGTTTCAACTTAAAAATACAATTTATTGCGAAAAAAAACAAAAACAAGCACCTTTTCCCAAAGATTTTCTTTATTTTTTTGCTTTCAGTAAATGTTTGTCCTTGTAAATCATAAATCATGAAAATGTAACATTGGTGTATAAAAAAGTCTGGTGCTGTGAAATGTGAACTCTAAAGGGCAGCAGTAGCTCAGGAGGTGGAGCGGGTTGTCCAGTGATCTGAAGGTTGCGGGTTCGATCCCGGCTCCGACCACAGGATGCTGCTGTTGTGTCCTTGGGAAAGACTCTTAACCCACCTTGCCTGCTGGTGGTGGTCGGAGGGACCGGTGGCGCCTGTGGTCGGCAGCCTCGCCTCTGTCAGTGCGCCCCAGGGCAGCTGTGGCTACATCGTAGCTCATCACCACCTGTGTGTGTGTATGTGTGTGTGAATGGATGAATGATACACTGCAGTGCAGAGCGCTTTGGAGTCCTCTGACTCTGAAAGGCGCTACACAAGTGCGGGTCATTTATCGTTATTATAAATCTGTGGCTGCAGTTTGACCTGGTTTGTTCCGACGGCTGGTTGGTCGACTTGTATCAGTCCACTCTGAACGTGGGCTTCCTGGTGGGCAGCATCGCCATTGGCTACCTGGCCGACAGGTGAGTTTGTCGTAGCATCTCAGTCCAGGTTTGTCTTTGTTTGAGAGCTTATTTTTGTCCCCGTGTCCCTTCAGGTTTGGGAGGAAGCTGAGCTTCCTGATTTCCTGCGTGCTGAACGGCATCGCGGGGATTCTGGTTGCCGTGGCTCCGAACTATGTGTCCTTGTTGGTTTTCAGGACTCTTTATGGTTTTGGAGTTAAAGGAGGCTGGGTGGCAGGCTACGTGCTGAGTAAGAGCGACTCATTCATCACTCATGGCCAGAAGTTCTGAGAATAACACGAGTAAATGTGATGCTTTTATTTTAGTCTCATGTTTCTATGCTAACTAAGGTGGAGCTCCAAAGCTTTTAGTGACAAATCTGTCTTAAGTTTATGCAGAATCAACACTTCCAGAGCTGGACCTCTGTAGTTCTGCCACTTCGGGTCCAGATCCTGAATGACGGAGCTCATTTTACATCATTCATGCTTGAAGTTTGTCAGAATGTAGTTATTGTGTCTTTGTCCTCCTGCTTCTTGAGGATTGATGACAAGTTTTCAATAGAATTAAGGTCCTGGACCAGCACTCAACATGCTGATCCTCTTAGATCTGATTTTAGCCTTCTGACCCGATGCTTCACCTTTGTTCATCACCAAACTGCTGTTGGATGGCTGGAGAAGTTCCTCAGGGAGGGTGTTTAGGTACCAGTTATTCAGAGTCTAAACTGTGAGTCCAATCCCTCGACTCATCTGAGACTTTTTTTCTGCAGTCCAGCCTCTGGACATTTAGCAGAACATCTGCCTGACATTGATGGTTTTCCTGGAGGAAAAGGGCTTCTTTGCTGCCCTTCCTGGTTCAGCATTCCTGTAAAGCTCTAGGATCTAATCCTGGTGCTGATGGACTGAAGTTTCTTCACAACTGTTTTATAAAGGAGTTTTGTCTTCAGAGCATTCAGGGGTTTATGTAATCTGCCATCATAAAAACCCTTAATATCCTCAAAGCCACATCTATCAACTCAAACCGTAGATGTTGCACCTCAGCGGCGAGACAAGAGTGTTTTTGTGTCGCCGTGAGAAACATCAACGTGATTATTTTGTCTCAGTCACTGAGATTGTCGGGGTGGAGTTCAGGCGGACGGTCGGAGTCGTTTACCAGATGTTCTTCAGCGTCGGCATCCTCCTCCTCCCTCTGCTCGCCTACTTCATCACCGACTGGCGCTGGCTGCAGGTCGCCATCACCGTTCCCTACATCGTCTTCCTCTCCTACTACTGGTAACATCCTCACAACGTTCCAGCAGATTCTCTCCAATGCTTAAAAAGCAGGAGGCACGGACGCGCAGTTTCCTTTAAACGCTTTCTTGCTGTTTTGGTTCGACGTTGTTTCGGTTTTCAGGTTCATCCCAGAATCTCCACGCTGGCTTCTGTCCCAGAACAAGAGGTCCAAAGCTGTAAAAATCACCAGAGACATGGCCAAAGAGAACCAAAGGAGTCTGTCCAAGAAGATCGAGGTGGGAGCTCAGATGACTCGAAAACTGTTGGTGCCAGTTTTCCAGCAGAAAGTTTTTCATCCTAAAACGGTGAATCTGAGGAGAAGCGGTAACTGAAACCCGGTTGAATCTGTTTGGTCTGGCAGACTTTATCGGACGATAACGCCGACTCCACCACCGCCTCCTTCATGGACCTGCTCAGAACTCCCAAAATGAGAAAGCATACTTTTATTCTCAGCTTCAACTGGTGAGTTTTACGGTTAATCCACAGCCTAAGTACTGACATCACGTCATTTAGACTAACACCAGAGGTTCCAGGCAGCTCCAGTAGCTCTGGTTAACATCATCAGATCTGATAAGTGGAGACGGAGCAGAAAAGTCTTTAAATGTTCTTCTTGCACACGCCTGTCTGCAGAAAATGATCCATCTTGACTAAAGTTCCAACATTAATGTTGCGATGATAAAATGTACAATCTGTGTCAGGTGGAAAAGAACCAAAGTCAGAAGAAATGTTTAAGCTGGTGCCATTGACTCATTAGGATCACCATGGTAACACCCGATTTAGTCAAATATAAGTTTAACATCTTAACTCGTTCACTGCCATTGACGACTAAAGTCATCATTTGCATTTTTTTACTGGGTGGGCGTCGGACAAGCCCCCGCACCGTGAGAACAAACATCCCAGCTCTGAAGCCGATCTTCATCCGCGTACGTCACACGTCACATGTCACGTGATCAGGAAGCAGAACACCCATGTGTTAGGAGATCGTTTTGGGCCGCTGCTGTAAAAAAAGTGAGGCGCAAACTGGAAAAGCTTCTGCCGATCACAATTCAACAACGGATTATGAAAGAACAGATAACGCTCGAAACGCGCGGATTCTTCCTGATGTGAGAGGTGAGTCTCCGCTTTGTTTTGGTTGTTTTGGCGTCGACGTCATCCTAGCGTGCAACGTTCTGTGACTCTTTAAAAAACAGTAAAAACGGTGAGAAACGGCTGGCAGCGAATGAGTTAAATGTGTAATCTGTGTCAAAGGTGGAAAAGAACCAAGATCAGAAGAAATGTTTAAGCTGGTGCCAGTGACTCATTAGGATCACCATGGCAACACCCAATTTAGTCAAATATAAGTTTAACATCTTAATGATGCTAAATGCCCTGTGTAGATCTAGCCCCGCCCACCTACAGCTAATTAAACTGAAGGGAGCTGTCAGTCTGGAGAGACGTCCAATCAGTGTCCAGGTTTTGGTTTGTCTGCAGCCAGTCTCTCCACTTAAAAAAACTCTTTTTTTATTATTTAACCGAGATTCCAAGGTGACCTCGGAATCCAATCCTCCTGTCACACGTTGGTTTTATTTCCACCTTAAACGTCTTCCTGCCCGGTCCAGGTTCACCAGCGCTGTCGTCTACCAGGGTCTCATCATGCGCCTCGGCATTCTGGGAGGAAACGTCTACATCGACTTCCTCATCTCTGGTCTGGTGGAGTTTCCTGCCGCCTTCCTCATCCTCTTCACCATCGAGCGCATCGGCCGACGCCTCCCTTTCGCCACCGCCAACATCGTTGCCGGGGTCTCCTGCTTCGTCACGGCGTTGATTCCTGACGGTGGATCCTCTAAAGACGCAACAGATGTTTAAAAAAGCAGATCTGGTTGTTTTCATGAAAACAAAACTTCTTCTGGGTCTTTGCAGACTTGTTCTGGTTCAAGACGGTGGTGGCCTGCGTCGGGCGGCTCGGGATCACCATGACCTTTGAGATGGTTGTGTTTGTCAACACGGAACTCTACCCCACGTTTGTCAGGTGAAACCTCGGTCTGCGACCGTCTTCACATCTGCAGGGCCTCATTTAGAGTGTTTTCTCGCTTCTGCAGGAACTTCGGCGTGTCGGTGTGTTCCACGCTGTGTGACGTCGGTGGCATCGTGGCTCCCTTCCTGCTCTACAGACTCGCCGTCATCTGGCTCGAGCTGCCTCTCATCATCTTTGGTAGGATTTCTGTTGTTGTTTGGTTAATAATCTGTTCAGTTTATCTCCTGGGAACTCGTCCCGCTGATCAGCTAGGTACAGATGATTACAACGTCTTCCACACATGCAGATGTTTTAATGTTTATGTCGGGTGTGTTCTGTTGTGTTGTGTAGGCATTTTGGCTTTCCTAGCAGGCGGTTTAGTTCTCCTGCTTCCAGAGACCAAAGGTGTGCCGCTTCCTGACACCATCGATGATATAGAGTTCCCAGAAAGGTCAGAGTTCACCTTAAAATGAGTCATAAATAAAAACCTGGCTGTCGATGTTTTACTTTTCATCTCTGATTAAATTTAGAGGGAAAAACAGGAGGAAAGGTGATTCTAGAGACTAGAGCTGCATTCTGTGTGTTTGCCACCAGGGGGCGACAGACCTACCTCCTAACACTAATCTGATAGATTAGATTAGACATTTTACCCATTTACTGAATTATTTCAAGTTTATCTAATCTTTATGATAACAAACAGTCTTTTAAAATAAAACTTTGCTTTTAATTACAATAGAAAAAAGTTGTTTATACCACTTCTACTTTAGTTGCATTTTAGTGTTTTGCTTCTTTCTGGTTTCATCTGCTGGCTGATGGGATTTAACACACATGTAGTTTGAATCTTTCTGTTTTAATTTTTGTGTTCAGAGCAAAGCAGAAGATGGAGCTGAGGAGTCGGCAGCTGGACAACCTCTTGCCCAACCACGTCTCGTCCAACAAAGATCCTGCTAATGTCTGAACTCCTGCAGTCGCAGAAGTATTTATTTCTGACTGTGAAGAGATTTATATGAGACACTTTTCCCACATGGGCTGGATTAAAGCTTCCTGTTTAAAATGAGGAGTTTCAAAAAAGTTGAATCTGTTTGCTAAAATTCAGCTACATTGTTTTTATTATTATTTTATTAAAAACGTATTTCAACTAAATTGGAGATTAATTCTGTTCTTTGACATTTCTCTTTGCTACCAGCAGGAGGCGATGTTCAGAGTTTAACCCTCAGGCTTCATTAGGGACATTTTTGTCCCTTTGGGCAGTTTTTTGTTTTTCTTTTTGACGCCATTTCACCACCGTTTATGCATATGGTACAAAATTTTGTTGCAAAACCTCTCTGGACGAATTTTGAAATTCAATTTGGAATTTTTAAAATAGACCAAGGGAACACTATGAAAAAAAAACCCTATACACTCGAGTCATTAGAGGACAAAAACGTCCGCTTGTAAAAGTGGCCAAAAAAATGTATACATTAATCATAAATTGGACTACTTTTGTCCAAAAGGAAACCGTAACATTACAGAAAGTATGATTATTTGCTGCAGATGATACAGGATCAAAAACTGTGGTTTGCATTGAAGTCAGTGGGATGTTTTTGTCCTCTAACGGCTCGAGTGTGTAGTAAATATTAAATCTGTTGCTATGTAAAAAAAATATAAATGCAAAAAATTCAAAATTTTAGATATTTCATAACATAATCAAGACTGATTTGTACTAAACAAGCCAAGCAAAAAAACGTATTTTTTTTAGAAAATAACTCAGTTTTTGTATTTTTTTTATTTTCGTAAATCACAGCAATGACTTTGAGTATTCAAACTGGCATTTCAAGGGTTAAAAGCCTCAGAATGATTGAATTGTTTTATGTTTGAGCAGGGCTGAAGTTGTTCAACAGATCTTTGAAAAAAAAAAGCAACAAAAAAATGAACGTACTCATTTTTTATAGCCACTTTTACAAGCGGACATTTTTGTCCTCTAATGACTCTTTTGTATGAAAATCAAAGTGAAGCCAGAGGGTTAAGAAATAGAAACTTGGTAACTTAACACCAAATGGTTCCTGAGCGCGGCCACGTCTGCAGCTGCCCCGCTCCCCCAGGGGATGGGCCAAATGTGGAGAAGAAATGTCGCACTCACATCAGTGTGTGAGACAACTGATGGGACTTGTTTGTTTCTGCTGTTTTTATTTTAATAACCTGAAAGTTAATTCTTTAAACTACAGAAAGACTTACAGAAGTTTAGAAGCAAACCATGAAGCAAACTTGTTTTTCATAAAGCTAAAATAAATGCTTCTTGAGCCACAGCTGTGCAGCACAAACTTCAGTCTAAGTCCGTCCCGCTGAGGTCCCGCCTGTTTTTACAGATGGGACCACAGCGAGGCTCCGCGGTCACCGACTGGACAAACACAGGAACATACCCACAATGCATCTGATTATATAATATTACCTTTAAAATTCACCTTTTATTTATAATTATCATTACTGACAACAGCTTAGGTCACGCTGCAAGACTCTTAAAATGAACAATCCTGTAAAGTGGTAAAAGTTTCATTTAAAAAACGAACAATCGTGGTGGTTTGTGTGCACTTTCATGCAACCTCCTGTTGGCCTTCTGTGCTCAGATTTACTAACACATACAAATGACCTATATTTGAATGCAGTTTCAGTAAAAAGGTGCATAAACAGCATCTTAATGACATCTGCAGCATGTGATGTTCATCATGGTGGCCTTTTGCTCCAGTTTAAAAAAAATCACTGGAAATTCTGCAGAGACGTTTAGATTGTTTTTAAGTTTAATACTTGGACAGTTTTCACAGTCTATCACATGACAGATAGTCCTTTATTTTACCAGGAAGATCACATCCGTGTCTCTCCATAGGGAGTCCTGGTCAACAGGGAGGCAGTTACAAAGGAAAGTCACGGAAAAGTTTGTTTTTATTGATGTCCAGCGGGTTTTAGACATTTATAGCTTCCAGTTTAACATTTGCAGTCCAGTAGAAACGGGTAGAGACCTGTTCCGGGTTCTGGATTTTATTCCAAATATGAGGATGAGGAACGGGCTTTTTTCCCAGGAGTTGCGAGCTCAGCTGAGGAACAGGTTTGGTGTTGCAGCTGCTGCTATAACATAAAACACCAACAGATCTAAGATTTTTTTGGGGGAAAATTCACCTTAAAAATGTTCAAAAGGCATCCTGAACACTTTCTGGCAGCTTCACGCCAACGTTCCACCTTTTTATTTACTACACCTGTACATACTACAAGATTTAGTGACTTTTTTAAACCTAAAACTAATTCATTTATATATATATATCAAACCAAGAGAACAACCTTTATGACACCTCAACAATGACAGCAGAGTTGTCCGTACCTTTCAAGAAGAGAGCCAAAATGGTCGAGTAACTAGTCCTTGTGGGTTTTGATCACTTTAATTTTCTTCTAGAAAGATTTTTTAGTAATAATCTGAACATTAAGTGCTACAAAGCATCTTTATGCATCACCTACTGGAAAGACTAAAGTCATCAATGTTGAAAGTGCTCCCTGGGGCCACAAACGCCCCCCGGGGGCACTTTCGACATTCGGAAACTCGCCTGAAAAATTGAAACTTCAACCCCAATTTTCTGTATTATAAAAGTTTTCCATTTTAACTTTTGAGAAGGAAATCAAGTCCTGACACGTGGCCTCAGATGGCTCCTTTTGTGGTGTGTAGTCAGTCTGAATAAAAGTGTTTAAATACAGGAACAACACCAATTAAAAACATTTTCTCCTAAAGCTCCATAACGGTGAGTGCTGCAGTGACGTCACTTTGAAAGGATCAAAGCAGCAGAAATAAATACTAAATACTGGAATAGTCTACCACTCAGCATAAGAGACTCACAATCATACAGTTCCTTCAAATTCAAACTTAAACAATGGTTGAAGGAAAACCAAACCTGTATCCATCACTAATTTGTCCTCACAGTGGTGTTTTGTGTGTTTTCTTTCTGTTTTTCCTAGTTTTAAAAATAATACTTTACTTTCTTTTATTGCTTTTATTACCTGCCTAGGGACTGCAGATGTAAATTAGCACTGGTGCTACAGTCTGGCATATTTACTGATGCCATTTATTATTGAAGTTCATTAATATGCACTGTCCCTATTAAATAAAGAAATTAAATGAAATAAAAAATGAGAACATTTAATTTCTGCAATAACTCTCTAACTGCAGAACATCTGCTGCTGGGTGAACCAAAAATCCTTTAGCGACGAGCCTTGGCTGTTTAGTTTCTACCTTTCTGCTGTTTTTGCAGCCAGACATGATGTATGCACCTTTGAACCCCAGCGGGGCCTCGACCCTGCCTTTGGGAACCACTGATCTGTATGACGGTATTTTATGTTTCATGAGTGTAAAACCGTGTCCTGCTTCTAGAAGACCTTTATGTGGTGAATCAGTGATTGTGTAATATTTGTGTTATGAAGCAATCGTTACACACTAACTCTCACACGCTGGAGATCGGGTTCAGAGGCAGAATAAATATTCGCAGCCTTAATTCTTCTGTTCACATCCCTTAAACAGTAACAAACTGTGCAGTTATTATTTTTTTACCCAACGCTTTTGGACTTTAGCTCCACACCCTGATCTGGTTAGTGAGGCAGATTAAACTCTGATCGTCCCTGAGAACATTTCAGTCCACAGCGCAGCCTGCTGAACAGAACCTCAGAGCCCATTCGGCGGAGCGATGGCGACCTTTGATGACCTGCTGGAGGAGGCCGGGGCTTTTGGTCGCTCTCAGAAACGGATCTTCAGCTTGCTTTGCTTCTTGTCCTTGTTCTTTGCAGGTTCATACGTGGGCATCGTGTTCCAGGGCTTCACTCCGGATCACTGGTGCCGGGACGCTGCGGCAGTGGAGAGGAGAAGGGCCTGCGGCTGGAGCCTGGGAGAAAGTCGACGGCTGACGGCTCCTTTGGTCAACATCTCTGGAGTTCTGCAGCACAGCAGCTGTGAGCAGTACGAGCTGGACTGGAACTCAACAGAACCCAGCTGTGATCTGCAGAACCTGCACGTGAGCAGACTGACGTCTACAGCATGCAAGGTCAGACCCCGATTCTCTTCTTACTTTGCTTTGTGTGTAAAAACAAACTTAGAAAAAAAATCATCATTTTTATCCGTTTTCTTTAGAGTTGATGTGAGTTAAATCATGTTTGGCTGCCGGAATCAGACTTTAGTAGCTGAATCAGTAAATCTTGTTTTATAACAAAATCATTGCCACAAATCTGTCATCAGACACAAATGACTCCAAATGATTTTTAACAAAACCGTTTCCTTTTCAGATTCATTTGTTTTTCGGAGCTTGGCGCACTTGAGACCTTTAGAGAAGGTCCAGGAGCTCAAAACGTCTGAAAAACTTTAATGCTAAAGAAGAGGTTTTTTTTTTATTTATTGCAGTAAATCTACCAACCAATCTAACTAGTTGGGATAAAAGTTCAGATTCCAGCTCCTAGAGCTTCACGGTGAGCTGCAGACTCAACTGGTTATGTGGAGTTTTTGGTTCCATAGCAGTGCTGTCTAAACCATGTCCTAAAGATCCCCCACCCAGCATGTTTTAGTTGTTTCCTGCTCTAACACACCTGTTCAGCAGGTTATCAAGCTGTGCAGAAGCCTGTTAATTATCTCTGATTAAGATCAAGTGGGCTGCAGCAGGGACATGATGAGGGGTCTCGAGGAGCAGGGTTGGAGAGTTCTGCTCTAGAAGGTCCACCAAAAAGTGGAAGGTTTGATTTAGCGGTATAATCGTCATCCCAACCCTCACCTGAGCTTCAGACAATGACAGAAGGAGCAAGATGAAGCCTTACAGTCAGCTAAAAAGGTTCAAGCATCTGATCAGGGTGCCTCCTGGTCAAGGACTTGGGACCTGAGGACATCTCTGGAGACGTGCTGCAATAGTTCTTTAGCTGTTCATTAATTTCAGCATGTTTTTGTCTCCAAGGATGGATGGGAGTATCATTACGAAGGCAGGAACTCGATTGTCACAGAGGTAAGATTATGAATTTGATCTTCAGCCCTAAAACTTTCCTCTCATCGACTGTGTTGAAATCGTTCTCGTGTCAGTTCGATCTGGTGTGTTCAGATGGGTGGTTGGTGGACATGTACCAGTCTACTCTCAACGTTGGCTTCCTCGTCGGCAGCTTTGCTTTTGGCTATCTGGCTGACAGGTGAGGTCGTAGATTATATGGAATCACTGAATGACCACAGGTCTCCTCCTGGAGCCTGGCCGAACTCCTTCCTTCTGTTCCTCAGCAACTGCTTGGCCCTCTGGTGCCTGTTTATTGTTTTATTTTTGTTTATTTATTCTTTATTTAACCAGGAAACTCCCACTGAGATTAAAAATCAAATTTTCAAGGGAGTCCTGGCCAAGAGGCAGAAAAAGTTACAGTTACAGATGTTTCAGTTACACATACATGTCATGTACTAGATTACAGAAGGCAGTTACAACACAGGGAAACCGTCTCAAGGGTTCTCAGTCTGGTTTTAAATGTAGTTATGGAGATAAACTGGGTTAATTTCCAGTCCTCCTGCAGCAGGTCCATGCAGAAGGAGCAGAGTGAACAAAAGCCCTTTAGCCCAGTTCGGTTCGAGCAAACGGAACACAGAGTAACAGCTGATGGTTTGCTGTGAGAAGTTACACTTCTCTGAGATTAAGTTACAGATGTAGGTGGGTAGTAATCCAAGCATGGCCTTATAAGTGAAGGTGTACCAATGTCCCAACCTCCTGGTGGACAAAGAAGGCCGTCCCACTGGAGAATACAGTTCACCATGATGGGTCAGTGGTCTACAGTTAGTAATGAACCTCAGCGAGGCATGATAACCACATCAGTCTTACCAAGACACTGTGCTGAGGCATTCATATACAAAAGGTCTCCATAATCTAGAACAGACAGAAATGTTGCTGTAACTAGTCGCGTTTTTCCTTCAAAAGAAAAACCGCATTTAGAAAAAATAAACCCAGTCTGCGTTTGAGTTTCTTCACAAGATTATCTATATGGGGCTTCAAGGAGATGGAGTCATGGAGTCCGACACCAAGGTGTTTGTATGTGTGGAGCACCTCTATGATGTTTCCCTCAAGAGTGGTCACTGAGGACGTCCTCAGGTCTTTTTAGAGTTAGAAAACAACATCAGCTTAGTCTCGTCAGCACTGAGGACCAAGTCTAACTGCAGAAGTGTGTGTTGGACCTCATTAACAGCTTTCTGTAAGGATTCAACAGCTTTAGTGGGAGGTGTTCCAAACAGTAAATGATTGTGTCATCTGCGTAAAAGTGCTAATTAGCATCCAACACATTTTGCCCAATGTCTAATATACATAATGAACAAGAGGGGTCCCAAGACTGAACCTTGTGGAACTCCCTTGTGGACGCTCAAAAATTCAGAGGACAACCCATCACATTGAACCCACTGAGTTCTGTCCTTCAAGTGGTCTGTGAACCATGAGATTGCATGTTCAGACAATCCCAAAAAAAAAAACAAAAAAAAAAAACGCTTTTGTTTCAAACCACATGGCCTACAGGGTCAAAGGCTTTTGACAGATCAATAAAAAGTGAAGCACAGTGCTGCTTTTTATCCAGGGCAACAAGGATGTCATTGATCACCTTTGTAGCTGCAGTGATGGCACTGTGCTGTTTTCTGAAACCTGATTGCAGACTTGAAAGAAGATCATTTGAATATAAAACGTCTTTAAATTGTTCACTTACTAGGGTCTCTAGAAGTTTTGCCAGGACACACAGATTAGATATTGGTCTGTAATTTGTTAACATAGCTGGGTCACCACCTTTTAGTAAAGGAGAAACAAGTGCAGACTTCCAAACTGATGATTTTTGTTTTTGATAGAAAGGTTCAAAAGAGGCTCTGCTATGAAATCAACAGCCAATTAAAAATAGGGTTCCATCATGTCTGGACCAGAGGGTTTCCTGGGATCCAGACTTCTAATAATTGCTCTACAGTAAACAGAACAAAGTTAAAAGAGACCTCAGTCCCTGTGGGCCTCCTCCCTACCCTAACCTCTGGAATCCACCAGCAGATCCAGGGGTTTACAACAAGATTAGCAGCAGCAGCAACCTTGTTGCCATAGCTAGCCATATCTCTCTGAATATCTTCAGATAAGATTGGGGCCTATTCAGACTCAGCCATTACCTGCAGAACCTTACTTCACGTTGGGTCTAGCAGGTCTATCTGGTGTCTTCTCCTGCCATCTGATTCAACTCACAATCAGATGGTGATTGTTTGACAGCGCTGTTCCTCTCTTCACCCGTATGTCTAAAACATGCGGCTGCAGATCAGGCGGTGTGTGTACAGTCAGTCATTGACCTGTGACCTAGACCTCCCTGGTACTATGTGTTCTGATGGGCATCCTTATGTTAACGTCCAAGTTCACTTGTTTTTCAGCACGTTTGCAGCGGTCTCTAGTGGAAATGAAAGCCTTGTGGGTTGATCTCGGTGGGGGGGCTCTGGCGCTCCTGTTTCAGATAGCAGAAGTTAGCTAGAGGAACGAGGAGCAGAAAACAAGATCTGGAGTCTTGCTCATTATTATTTCCTGAAATTCAGACATCTCACCTCTGATTGGTTAACAACAATGCAAGTCTTGATGTTGATGTTTTATCTCCACAAATAACTCAAGCCTGAAGGAGTTCTGCTGTGTTGTGGAGTTGCTAATGCTAACAGTTAGCTTCCTGCTGAGATGTGCTCTGGATGTTAAAGCCACAACAGCCTTCCCTGTCATGAACCAAGATGAGTGAGTGGATGAGTGCTAACTTTCAGTGGGACGTAGATCTGACCGGTTTTTCTAATCCCAGTATTTCCCGTTTATTTGCGATCAGCAGCTAATGCAGGACACTGGGCTAGAAGACCATTTTTACCTCCAGCTGCATATTAAACTCGGAGAGACCGATGAAACAGAACAAGTAAAATCTGGTTTTTCTGTGCACTTGATCTTTAAATCTTGGTGCTGGTTATGGCTTTACTGCGAGCTGCGCAGAAGTCCAATGAAAGAACACACCAGTGGGTTCAGACGTTCCCAGTTACAACGCCATGTGGCACTGGTTCCAGTGCTTCCAAAAAGGGTGGGTACTCTCACCTGTTGTTGATTATGTGGAAATAATGGTCAAAAGCTCAATCTGGACCCGAAAACACAGGGAAGGTACTGTTTTCTTCTCCTGGGGTAAACCCAAACACACATGCAGGTAGTCTGGGGCGAACAAGAACCAAAGGCTCTGTCCTGGTCTGCTAGCTGACCCACAAACCACCAGACCCTTCATGGTTCTGCTAGTGGTGACTCCAGCTGGACAAGGTCATACACCAGGGCTATTCAGTTCCAGGCCTTGAGGGCCAGTATCCAGCACGTTTTGGTTTTAACCCTGCTTCAACACACGTGATTTTAATCAGCAGGTGATTAACAGGCTTCTGCAGAGCCTGATGAGCTGCTGCAGGTGACTCAATCACTGAATCTAGTGTGTTGGAGCAGAGAAACCACTAAAACGTGCTGGATACCAGCCCTTGAGACCCAGAATTGAATAGCCCCGCTATGCATGGACCCCATCCCTACACCTGATGAAATTTAAATATTCAAAACAAAACTTTATCAGTTAACCTGAAAACAAAACTTTTTAGCCAAGGCTGCTCAGTTTCATACAGTTTACAGTAAACCTGTGAAATGTCTTATTTAGACCTGATTTCTATCCTTCTCTTTGTTGGCTCTCCCCATCTTTTATTAACTTGGACTTCCCTGGTACTTTATTCAGTCATTTTTTATGTATATTTACTCAGCCTGACCTTGTTTGGTGACTTCTGTGTTTTCTCTCTGCAGGTTTGGGAGGAAGATGAGTTTCCTCATGTCTAATGTGATCAATGTGGTATCAGGAATCGCGATGGCTGTGGTTCCAGACTACACCTCCATCCTGGTGCTCAGGGCCATCTTTGGCTTCAGTTCCAAAGGAGGCTGGATGGCTACATATGTGCTGCGTAATGAACTATGTTCCATGTATAAACGTCTAGATTAATGATTATGTAGCTTCTTGTCATCAGAAAAGCTGTACCTTCACTGTAAATGAATATTTAACTCCCACGGCAAAGTTCATCATCAGCCCAGCACTCCCAAATGTATGAAAGAGCTGAGGTAGTTGCTAGAGTTCCTGGTAACGCGGGCTAATCGTTAATATCCTGGTTCTCTTGTTGTTTCAGTCACAGAGATAGTTGGAGTAAAGTACAGACGAACAGTCGGCATCTTGTACCAAATGTTCTTCAGCGTTGGCCTCCTCTTCCTTCCTCTGCTTGCGTACTTCATCGCTGACTGGCGCTGGCTGCAGGTCGCTTTCACAGCACCTTTCATCCTTTTTATGTCCTTTTACTGGTAAAAAGCATTCCTTTACGACCTTTTTACCCTGCTGTGTATATTTAAAGAGCAAGTCACCCCCTAATCAACATTTGTGCTGCTAAACTATATTAATGAGAGTCTAGTGCTGCAGACACACGCAGTCATTAATTTGGCACTTAACTGATTCTTAGTTAAAATTTAAATATTCTGCCTAAAACTGTCAGTGTTGACCCCTCTTCAGGTAAAAAATCTGTACTACATTATAATTTCAATCTGCCATGGCTATTGGCCAAGAGGTACCCTGTGACGTTAGCTGGTACCATATGATGTCACAATGCCGCTGTGAGCCTGCATGTGTGTATTTGTTAGTGGCTCCGCCCTCTCCGTCTGCCAGGCAACGCCTCCTTGTGGTGCATTTTTCAGGAAATGGAGTGGGGTTAGACTCTGGTAGGGGGTGACCTGCTCTTTAAGCTTATGCTGCAGGCTACTTTAACTGTATGATAAACTTTTTTTTCCTGACTTTTCTCTTCATCGCAGCTTTTTTTATCAGTTTGACGCTGATTATTTATGTGGCATAAATGATCAAAAATTTTGATTTGGCTTAAAAAGACGACAAGCTGTGCTGGAAGAATTGAAACGGACTTAGCTCCTGTGCCACCGTCGCCCACCTCCTTGAGCTGTTTGTTTGTTCCAACACACCTGAGTGAAGAGCATAGGATCACATGTTCCAGACTAGGTGGAGTGTGACAACTACCCCCCCCCCCCCCCCCCCTCCCAATACAGGGATCACCAACTCCGGTCCTCGAGGGCTTCCATCCTGCACATGGTAAATTGCCTGTATTTGATATAGCACCTTCTAGAGTCCTGGAACCCCCCAAGGTGCTTTGACAATCAGTCAAAGCGCCTTGTCTGTGAATGGGTGAATGACAATCAGTCATTCACCCATTCCACACCCATTCACACACTGATGGTGATGAGCTACGATTTAGCCACAGCTGCCATGGGGCGCACTGACAGAGGTGAAGCTGCCGAGCACTGGCGCCACCGGTCCCTCTGACCACCACCAGCAGGTAAGGTGGGTTAAGTGTCTTGCCCAAGTACACAACGACAGCGACAGACTGAGCGGGGCTCGAACTTCCAACCTTCCGATAGCGGGGCGAGCACTTAGCTCCTGTGCCACCGTCGCCCACCTCCTTGGGCTGTTTCTTTGCACCTGAGTGAAATGAATGAGTAATTAACAGGCCTGTGCAGAGGTAAACGTGGTTAGCAGAGGATTAAATTACTCCATTCAGGTGTGATAGAGCAGGAAACACAGGAAAGTAGTAGGAAGGATAGCCCTCGAGGACTTGAGTTGGTGACACCTGGCCCCTTCATAAGGGGCCATGTTTTAGCCCAGTCAACAGGCTGGCTGATAGTGAAACAATGCTTCCAATTTCCCGCAAAGCTGAGGCAACATCAAGGAAATTTTGGTTGTTCGTAAATAGTCAGACTCTAACGGTAACTTTTCACAAAAGACGCTCCTGAAGACCTGGCTCTTCAGAGAGAATCTTCTAAACTAGCATCCTCCCAGCACCCGTTCCCCACTCTACTCCATGTTCACTTCCCTCTATGGTTGATTATGCTGCCTCACTGCCACCTAGGATTGATTAAATAGTTGTTCACCTCAAGGGAAACCTGCTAGCTTGATTATCACCTGTAAGTTGCGTTGGACAAAACGTGTCTGCTAAATACATAAACATAAAATATGACATGATGGCGGCATGAAGGGCGTGTGGAGGGGTCTCCATGATGTTGAGGGATTCCTTTTTGCTTGAACATTACTTGCGTTTTATTGCAATTGGAGCCACGCTCCTTAGTTTTTCAACAAGCCGCTCCTAAAGGTGTCTGTCCTTCACAGTCCCGTGATCCATCTGGTGAGCTGAGTTCCAGCTTTAATGGAGAAAAGCTCCCGCAGCTCTGCATCGCTCCAGTTTGCCATCTTAGCTGATCGTGTTTAAAGCCCTAACTTATACCTCTGTTTACTTTAGTTTTCAATATAGTTGTCGGCCGGTGCTTGGCGGTAATGTCACATGTAACCATGGCACCACCCCCTGTTGCACCAAGGTGAAGTCTGTAGTTGCCGTATTATTACTACCAATCATGGCATCATGAATGCTGCAGAATTCCTGCATCGCCTTGCCGCCATAATGCTTTCATAAGACACATTGTGGCTGCGTTATGGTGCTGATTTGCAGGCATGGTGGGCCTTATGAAAGCGGTTGTTGATACCTGCTTTCTCTGAGTGCCAGAACTGGGGAGCAGAACTGTTGTCTCAGCCCAATGAAGGATTCACCCTGAAATTCTACATCAGATCTAGAACCATTGTGGACTGGTCCAAGTAAGCTTCCAGAGAGGATATGCGTTTTTCTTCACTGTTCTCTGAGGGCGAGGATTGGATGTGTGATGTGCTACCGCGTACATTCGGCCAGTGGCCAAACAGATTTCTGTTCCTTAAGACCTTTCTTCTGTTTTGGATGCATTGTCACGAGTAAATTTTGAGGTTCTTATGTCTAATCCTGTTGGCTTTGGCCTCTGTAGGGATTGTACATGAGCAAGGGCCTCTTTGCTCTATGGTGTCCTTGTCCAAAGAGGCATAATTGCCTCCTGGGCTCTGTTTAGGGGTATTTCCCTTCCAGGACATGTGATCTGGGCATCATTGCACACCTTTGCAACCTCCTCTAGTTTGGATGTTGCCACACCTACACCAGCACATGTGGTTCTAGGTGCATCTGCCTCTCATGCACCATCTTCTACCAAAGAGAACAGAATGCTCTATCTGTAACCCTGGTTCTCTGATTGCACAGCAGTGAGCCAGCCACGCCTGGTATAATGAATTAGGATCTTCTGAGGTTTACGCAGAGGGCCCATTCCATAGTGAGATATCACTCATGTGAGTTAGAGATGTAATCTTAAGTTTTTCCTCTCAGGTTGATCCCAGAGTCTCCAAGGTGGCTCATCTCTCAGAAAAGATCCTCAAAAGCTCAAGAAATAATTGGAAATATGGCCAACGAGAACAAACGGAAACTTTCTACAAATGTTCAGGTAAGTTTAGTTGTAAAGTTACTTTTCACCCTTCAGAGAGAAAGATTTAGCTAAAAGTCTGAACGTAAACTGTGTCCAAGCCCCTCCTCTTCCTTTTTGCTTCACCTCTGACATACAGAAACCTTTTATTTTGAAATATACCAAGGATAACATTAGTTTTACTCGCCTTGGTTCCGCACCGCGACAAAGGTTCCTACTTAAGACAGAGTTCCACGACTTGTCGGAAACACATTGATGGTGGTATTTTTATGGCTTGCTTCCCAAGAAAACAGCAACAACAAATCTGTTACCGGTAATCTAGACTTTTCAAGGGTAAGCAGAAGAGATTCTGCTTATTTTTGAAGTATTAATTTATTGACTGTTTGAGTGGATTGTTTCTTGATGAAGAGTCTAACTGATGAAGAAGTTGGGACCACGTCTGCCTCCTTGATGGACTTGGTCAGAACTCCGAACATGAGAAAACACACCATCATCCTCATGTTTAACTGGTGAGAATCATAAAGCCTAACTGACCGGCGTAACGTAGGACGCATGAATTATTCCACCTTTGTGCACCTCAGGTTCACCAGCGCTGTGGTTTATCAGGGTCTCATCATGCGGGTGGGGATAGCAGGAGGAAATATCTACGTTGACTTCCTCATCTCCAGCCTGGTGGAGTTTCCCGCCGCTTTTCTTATTCTCCTCACCATCGAGCGGGTCGGCCGTCGCCTGCCTTTCGCAGCCGCCAACATCGTAGCCGGAGTTTCCTGCTTTGCCACTGCCTTCATTCCTGACAGTAAGTCATAAACCTAAGAGGAACCTACTGCGCGGTTTAGGTCACTTTTCAGGACAACTGAGAAAGGTGGGTGCCCCCTTTGTGAACAAAAGCGTTAGGTGATTTGTTTTTGACGCAAACACAACACAAATCAAACACTGGAGGACACAGTAGCAACGTAGAACATTTGGCTCAATCTGTGAGTTTTGTCCAAAGGGGTTGTTGGTGGTGAGGTGAAACACTCTGCAGAGCAACTAGTGACTCCACTCCCTAGCCTCAGTCCTATGACGTAACATTTTCTGTCCAGCTCGGTACGCTTGGGACCACATCAAAGCAGGCGCTAAAAAAGGGGCGTAGCCTGGCAAGCCATCCTACATATGTAAACATACACACATATACAGTATGGCCACAAGCCATTGAAACTACCCAGTAGGGGGTGGAGTCTACTGTTGTCTTGCAAACCGTCTCCGCATGCAATTGGACAGCACTAGGACCAATCAGACAACAAACCCAACATATCATTGTTACAGATGTCAGTTAATGAGGCAGTTCGCCATGCACCATCAAAGAAGAAGCAAATGCATCATTTTCTGAAATAAATGACTTAAAGATGTGGAACACTGAAAAACATTTTTTAAATCATATCGGTCACTCAGAGTGTTTCATGCAGGCTGAACATGAAAATAGTCTCCTGCACCTATCTGCTGCATTAGCTTCTGATAGAAAACAGATGGTGAAACTCTAGATTGGCAAAGCCTGACAGATTTACGTCACACTGTCATTAACATTCCTGGACTCACCCATCTTGACTAAGGCTGAACGATTAACTGCATATGCAAATAAATTGCAATGTGATAAAAGGAGATTTTCTAATCGCAAAGGCTGCGATTGGACTGGAAGCGAGTGGTTAGCACACTGCTAATATACAGGTGCTGGCCAGTAAATTAGAATATCATCAAAAGGTTGAAAATATTTCAGTAATTCCATTCAAAACGTGAAACTTGTACATTATATTCATGCAATGCACACAGACCAATGTATTTCCGATGTTTATTACGTTTAATTTTGATATTTATAGGTGACAACCAATGAAAACATCAAATCTGGTATCTCAGACAATTAGAATATTCTAAAGGCCAATGAAAAAATGTTTGTTTCTCTAATGTTGGCCAACTGAAAAGAATGAACATGAAAAGAATGTGCATGTATAGCACTCAATACTTAGTCGGGGCTCCTTTTGCCTCAATAACTGCAGTAATGCGGCGTGGCATGGACTCGATCAGTCTGTGGCACTGCTCAGGTGTTATGAGAGCCCAGGTTGCTCTGATAGTCGTCTTCAGCTCCTCTGCATTGTTGGGTCTAGCGTATTGCATCCTCCGCTTCACAATACCCCATAGATTTTCTATGGGGTTAAGGTCAGGCGAGTTTGCTGGCCAATCAAGGACAGGGATACCATGGTCCTTGAACCAGGTGCTGGTGGTTTTGGCACTGTGTGCAGGTGCCAAGTCCTGTTGAAAGGTGAAGTCTGCATCCCCATAAAGTTGGTCAGCAGCAGGAAGCATGAAGTGCTCTAAAACTTCCTGGTAGACGGCTGCATTGACCCTGGACCTCAGGAAACAGAGTGGGCCAACACCGGCAGATGACATGGCACCCCACACCATCACTGACGGTGGAAACTTTACACTGGACCTCATGCAACGTGGATTCTGTGCTTCTCCGCTCTTCCTCCAGACTCTGGGTCCTTGATTTCCAAAGGAAATGCAGAACTTGCTTTCATCAGAAAACATAACTTTGGACCACTCAGCATCAGTCCAGTCCTTTTTGTCCTTGGCCCAGGCGAGACGCTTCTTGCGCTGTTTCTTGTTCAAGAGTGGCTTGACACACGGAATGCGACACCTGAATCCCATGTCTTTCATGAGTCTCCTTGTGGTGGTTCTTGAAGCGCTGACTCCAGCTGCAGTCCACTCTTTGTGGATCTCCCCCACATTTTTGAATGGGTTTGTCGTCCAATTCTCTGCAGGGTGCGGTTATCCCTAGAGCTTGTACACTTTTTTCTACCACATTTTTTCCGTCCCTTCGCCTGTCTGTTAATGTGCTTGGACACAGAGCTCTGCGAACAGCCAGCTTCTTTAGCAATCACCTTTTGTGTCTTGCCCTCCTTGTGCAAGGTGTCAATGATTGTCTTTTGGACAGCTGTTAAGTCAGAAGTCTTCCCCATGATTGTGGTGCCTTCAAAACAAGACTGAGGGACCTTTTAAAGGCCTTTGCAGGTGTTTTGAGTAAATCAGCTGATTAGAGTGGCAGCAGGTGTCTTCTATATTCAGCCTTTTCAGAATATTCTAATTTTTTGAGATACCAAATTTGGAGTTTTCATTAGTTGTCACTTATGAATATCAAATTTAAATGTAATGAACATTGGAAATACATTGGTCTGTGTGCATTGCATGAATATAATGTACAAGTTTCACGTTTTGAATGGAATTACTGAAATATTTTCAACCTTTTGATGATATTCTAATTTACTGGCCAGCACCTGTACATGGAAAAACCCATAGGGATGCTAATGCTAATATCGCTGATTACATTCTTACAAATGATGAATTAGGAACGTGCAAAATTATTACATTTGGAGTCTAATAAAAAGTAAAAACTGTCATCAATCAAATAAGTACAGACAGATATTTTAGTAAAGCTAGAAAACTGTAAGAGACCTTAACTCCACGGAGTTTGGCCAGCAGCTATGAACGTCACTGAATTACGGAAGCTCTGCAAGGACGACGTCAAAAACTCTAAATACAAAAGGCTTCAATAAACGGGACACACTTCTTTCCTGCAAATAAATTTTCACAGTTGATGCTAATACCTATGCTTCTTCAAGGGATGCTCCTGGCTGCAAAGGATTTCGCATTCAAATACAAAGTTTTATCTTTACTTGTGAGTGTTTATGTAGACAAATAAACTTGTTGATATGATATGTAGATAAATATGTAAATACATAAACTTGTTTATATTCAGTACAAATTACGTAGATTTTTTTTTTTGCTTCCATTATTTGAACAATATGAGAAAAGCCCCTTGAGAAAATAACGGTGAATTAAATCGCAATTGCAATATTGAAGAAAAAATCGTAATTAGACAACTTTCTAGAATCGTTCAGCCCTAATCTTGACTCAAGACGGGAAAGCTGTTGTTGGTTTAGCATCCAGGAATCAGCAGAGAACATCTCTGTTAGTAGAAGCTAACCGCTAGCATTAGCAACTCCAGCACACAGCAGAACTCCTCCAGGCTTGTGTTGTTTGTCGAGATAAAACATCAATGTTGCAGAGCAAACTGAGTCAGCGGTAGAGTCGTGTTGCTGTTAGCCAATCAGAGAAGAGATGTCCAAATATCAGGAAATAAGACTCTACGGATGTCTAAAGCTTAGCTGTGATGTGCCTCATTTCTACTTCCTGAAAATGGTGCACCAGAGCTTTGTTTCCCCAGAGTATGACTTACGAGGCATTCATTCCTGCTAGAGGCCACTGCACATGCATTAATTAAACGTGTGACTCACACTTTTAAGCACCTTCATCTTCTCATGTCTAAGCCCAATTCTAAATTTTCCAAAGCCGTTTCAAACGAGTGTTCTTCCTGAGCCGATGCTATCTTGGTAGTTTTGTTCCGTTGCAGGTCTGGTGCTAAGCCTGACCAACAAACGTAGACTGCAATGCGTCAAAAGACACAAAACTGTTTGGACCAATGGTAGACCTGCTGAGGTGACATACCGACCGTTGCAGCAGCAACAAATTTTGCAACAGTTGGTCTAAATTTCTAGGTTGAAAGGGATGGCAGCCTGCTTATTGCTAGTGCAAAAACCTTGGAACAGGGCTGGATCACGTAGAGCCACGCTGAGTTGGTCCTTGTGGAAAAAGACTTGGACCTTAAGCAGACCCGACTTCACTTTTAGAAAATGTGAATCTGGCTGAATATTTTTGTTCATTCCTCAGGTATATTCTGGTTAAAAACCATGGTGGCCTGTATCGGTCGGCTCGGGATCACCATGAGCTTTGAGATGGTCGTGTTCGTGAATACTGAACTCTACCCAACATTTGTCAGGTGAAAACTCAGAGAAATACATGACTTGATGAACACCTTCTTGGTTGAAATGTTACTATTTTAGGAAAGTTTCAAACATCGACTGGTTTGCAGGAACCTAGGAGTGTCTGTTTGTTCAACTCTTTGTGATATCGGAGGAATTGTGTCTCCCTTCCTGGTCTACAGACTGGCGGTCATCTGGCTGGAACTGCCTCTCATTATCTTTGGTAAAGTCCTAACGCTGTTTGTGTCACTGCTGTTTTGAGCCTGAGCTAACCAAACTAGTTAACTTTATGAAGACCTCTGCATGCCCCCTCGACATCTAACCTCATCGGTCCCATTGTGCTCTCTATAATCAATGCTTCTCTTTTTTCTGGTCAGGTCCCTGCTTACTTTAAGAACGCTGTAATCCACCTGCTTCTTAAAAAACCGAGTCTTGACACCTCTCTCCTTAGCAGCTTCAGACCCATCTCTAAACTTCCGTTCATCTCCAAGATCTTGGAAAAGGTTGTGGCTAAACAACTCACAGCTGCTCTTGATGAACTTAACGTCTATGATAGCTTCCAGTCAGGTTTTCGTAGAGCTCATTCTACTGAAACAGCTCTTCTTAGGGTCTCTAATGACCTTCTGACTCACAGTGATGCAGGGGACTGTTCTGTTCTGGTCCTGCTGGACCTGACTGCAGCCTTTGACACTGTTGACCATCACCTGCTACTGGAGAGGCTGAGAGACTGGGTAGGCCTATCAGGATCTGCTCTGGAGTGGTTCTCCTGTTATCTGGCCATTTCCAAGTTTTGGTCCTCCACCACATCCCTCACTGGTGTCCCACAAGATTCTGTGCTGGGGCCTCTGCTCTTCCTCCTCTATCTGCTTCCTCTTCAGCACATCCTGAGCTCCTTTAAAGGAATCTCCTACCATCTTTACACGGATGACATCCAACTGTAGATCTATTTTAAGCCCCATGAGATGTCTAAGCTGCAGCTGTTACACACCTGCTTAGACTCTATCAAAACCTGGATGGCTGGGAGCTTTCTACAGCTGAATGAAGATAAGACTGAGATCCTCATCTGTGCCCCAGACAAGCTGGTTCCCAGAGTCAGAGACTCTCTTGGTCAGCTTGCTTCTCACACTAAACCTTCCGTCAGGAATCTTGGCATGACCTTTGACCCAGCTCTCACCCTGGATTCTTATGTCAGTTCTCTTGTTCGCTCTTCCTTCTTCCATCTCAGGAACATTGCTAAGCTGAGTCCCATTCTGTCCCACTCTGAACTTGAGACAGTTCTCCACACCTTCATCTCCTCACGCTTAGACTACTGTAACTCTCTTTTCACGTGTCTGAGCAGAACCTCCCTGAACCGTCTACAGGTGGTTCAGAACGCCTGTGCTCGGCTTCTGACCAAGTCCTCCAAACACACCCACATCACCCCGCTTCTCCTCCAGCTTCACTGGCTGACAGTCAACTTCAGGGTTCATTTCAAGATCCTAGTTCTGGTCTATAGGGCCTTACATGGACAAGCACCATCTTACATTGGTGATCTTCTTAGTCCCTACACCCCCAGCAGGTCCCTGAGGTCCAGTGACCAAAGCCTACTGGTTGTGCAGCACCAGGCTAAAGGTCCAAGGTGACAGATCATCTGCTGCTGTGGTCCCCAGACTCTGGAACTCTCTCCCCCTGAGCCTGAGATCAGTGGACTCCTTTAAAAGCAGCTGAAAACTCACCTGTTCAAGCTGGCTTTTGTATGACCTTCTTCACCACTCTCTATTCTTAGGTTATAAATTGTAAGTCGCTTTGGATAAAAGTGTCTGCCAAATAAATAAACATAAACATAACATAAACCCTCTCCTTGTTCTGCTCTAATCCCACCTTTCCCGGTATCCATTGATTTCCCTCTTTCCTTCTCATTTTCTCTCTCCCTTTCTTTTTATTTTTTAATCACATTTAAAAAAATGTTGCTTAATTTTAAACATATTTTTATCAGTTTAAAAAAATCTTTTTTATATTTAAAATGTTTTGTTTTTGTGAAGCACTTTGTATCTTGAGAGGCGCTACGTAAAAGATAATTTTCTTTCTTTCGTTTCTCTTCATGAATGACATGGTTGTTATTTTAGAACTAACTATTTTTAATAAGTCTCAATATAATTACCTGTCATGACTGAGAATTAAGGTTGTTTTACCTAAAAATGAATAAATATTGAACATGTTTGTTTAACTCAGGAGTCGTAGCTCTCATAGCAGGAGGTTTGGTTCTGCTCCTGCCTGAAACCAAAGGAGCTCCTCTCCCTGAGACCATCGAGGATGTGGAGTTCCCGGATCGGTGAGACATTCAAGGCATTAATATGATTTAACATTTGTAAAAGGGTGAAAAATGTTGTTTTGTAAAGTTTGTAGGAATTTTTAAGAATATTTTATTATGTTTGTTTTTTCCTCAGCTGTGCTTCTGTGAAACGCTTTTTTATTTTATTTATTTATTTTTTCAGAAAAAAGGGAAATCAAGAGGAATGTCAAAAAATGAAGAAACATTTGAAAACAAATGAAGACGTATAAACTCTTTGATGTACTCAACAGGTTTTGAAAACAAGGACATTGTTTTCTTTTAAATATATTTAGTTGGAATAATGATGTCTTTGTTTTTAGCATCTAATGGAAAAAAAAACCAAGTCATGCACTCTGCTTTGCTACAAGATGTTGGTTGGTGTGGCACTGGCGCGACCTAAACCCCGTGTGCAGAATGGTCACGCTGCAGAGGGATAAAGGAATTTAACTATCTGAGATGTGATGGAAACTTAAAAATATTCACTTTTTGTGTAGTCGCTGCATGTTGTATCACAATCACTGATTTTTATACACACTGTAAAACATTCTAATCAAGACGGAGTTTTTTTTTTATCAAACAAGCTGTAACTTTTGCTCCAAGACTGATGAAAAGAAGTATGGATTTATCAAGAGCTTAAAGGTGCATCATGTAAAAATTAGGCAAGGATGAGAATTGATTCAATTAATTTTTTTCTTCAAATTTCTACACACAACACCCCATTATGACATAAATGAAACAAGGTGTTATTTTCGTCGTCGTCTTCCTCTGCTTATCCAGGTGCGGGTCGCAGGGGCAGCATCCCAACTAGGGAGCTCCAGACCGTCCTCTCCCCGGCCTTCTCCACCAGCTCCTCCGGCAGGACCCCAAGGCGTTCCCGGACCAGATTGGAGATGTAACCTCTCCAACGTGTCCTGGGTCGACCCGGGGGCCTCCTACCGGCAGGACATGCCCGGGAAGGCGTCAAGGAGGCATCCTGACCAGATGCCCAAACCACCTCAACTGGCTCCTTTCGATCCGGAGGAGCAGCGGTTCTACTCTGAGTCCCTCTCGAATGTCCGAGCTCCTCGCCCTATCTCTAAGGCTGAGCCCGGCCACCCTAAGGAGGAAACTCATTTCGGCCGCTTGTATCCGTGATCTGTTATTTTATTTCTGCTAATGTATTATAATTCACGTCAAGAGGAGCCCTTAGAGACGGGGTGAGAAGCGTGGTCATTCGGGAGGGGCTCGCAGTAGACCTGCTGCTCCTCCATGTTGAGAGGAGTCAGTTGAGGTGGCTTGGGCATCTGGTCATGATGCCTCCTCGACGCCTCCCTGGTGAGGTTTTTTGGGCACGTCCAACTCGAAGGAAACCCAAGGGAAGACCCAGGACACGCTGCTGGGGCTATGTCTCTCGGTCGGCCAGGGAGCGCCTTGGGATTCCCTTAGAGGAGCTGGCCAAAGTAGCTGGAGAGAGGGAAGTCTGGGCGTCTCAGCTTAGGCTGCTGCCCAGCTGACCTGACTGGATAAGGGGCTGAAAATGGATGGACGGATGATGTTATAATAGAAACACATGGGTATTTGCTCAAGACGTTGTTGAGGCACCTTTGGCCTCAACTCTTTTTGAGTTTGGGACATCCTTTCTTTTTGCAGCACCTCTCAAGCTCCATCAGGTTGGAGGACAAGCATCGATGCCCAGCCATTTTCAGATCTCTCCAGAAATGTTCAGTCAGATTTAAGTCTGTGCTCTGGCCAGGCCACTCAGACCTCCACAGAGTTGTGCTGAATACACTTCTTTGTTGTCCTTGTTGAGTGCTTGGGGTCATCGTTTTTCTGAAAAATAAACTGTCGAACCAGTCCAGATCGCTCTGGAGCATGTTTTCATCCAGGAGATCTTGATACACATCTGCATTCATCTACCCACTCAGTGCCGACTAGTCACCCAGTTCCTGCTGCAGAGAAACGTCCCCACAGCATGATGCTGCCACCACTATGCTTCACAGTCGTTCTGGTGATGAGTGGTACAGTTTCCTTCAAACATGAGTGATGCCCACCATTCACACTAAAGAGTTCAGTCTTTCTCTTCAGAGACAGAGGATTATGTCATCAGAGGATTGTGTTTGGCCTGAGAGTCCTTTAGCAAACTCCTTTGTGAGTTAAATTAGCTTAACTCACACAGACGTTAGCTGCTGCTAACAGAGAAATGTGTTGATGGTCCATCACCAGACCCATAAAATATCTGAAATGATCTAAAATGACTGGCTGGGTCACAAAGGGTACATTTTAATAACTTCTGAGGGGAAACTACCGTCGATTATTAATTCTTCTTCTGGTTTGACTGGGCTGCTTTTCCCAGCCAAAGAACCACACCACCATCTGGTGGTTGTTTTTATAACCATTCCTCTACATTTGTGTAAAGAGGGTATAATATGTTAATTTTAAGCTTGATATATTACCTTTACTCACGACTAATAAGATGTGATATTCTATATAAATATAGAATATCTACCTGATCGATCTTTGAATGTTTAATCAGAAGAATTAGGATTCTTTGCATTTCAATGATCATAACACACTTTGTGTTAATTCATTCAAGTTTATAAAAAGTAATAAATTTATTTTCTAAACAAATTTAAAACGTGACAACTAGGAAACTTTGAGGTGATGAGTGTATGATGGGTGTAATGTGATGTGTGACTGTGATGTTATCAGAACCTTGTATCTAGAAGAAACTGCACGTTCTGAGTGTGAAAGAATTTGTGGTTGTTATAAGCTAAAGAGTTGATTTATCAAAACGGCATCAGATGCAATCTTGTCATGCCTATGTAACCAGATAGATCCGGAATGTCCCATGGTGCGATCCCGACAAGACCACAGACCCAGATAAATCTCAAATAACTACAGAACATCCGACTGCAGATTTAGATCAACTTCTAGCGAATGACAAACATCCAACTTTAAGATTCTTGGAAGAAAAGACAGAGAAATGGAAAGTAGCCTGACCACAGGCACTTTTGTCATGGTGCCTGAGATCTAATTTCATGACAGAGGCTAAATTTCCTGCCTTTAAAAAGCAGAATTTTGATCTGATGGAAGAACTCGGAGCGCTGTCGGATCAGCGAAACAACCTGAAGCTAAAACTTCTGTTGAAGCAGCAGCAAGTTAAACATCTGGAATCTGAGGTTCTCACAGAAGACAAGAAGCTGACATGAACCCACGATTGGCTGAGTGTAAAAGGCAGGATTCATTTCTCCATAAATAACTTTGTTAGAAAAAGCATCACAACAAATTTCCAGGATTTCTTTAAAACAAAAATTATTTTTTGGATACACATCATTATTCTACACATCACTGAGATATGTTTCAAGTCAAAACTAGGACAGAGAACATGTCGGATTAGGCTGGAATAGAATTCACTTTCACAAATTTTGGTTTTTAGAATGGATGCAACAATCTTTTTGTAGAAAATGTGATTGTTTATTTTCACACAGGAATATTTATTTGAATGTATTTAATTATTTTACTTAATCTTGTCAGGGCTTTGATGTAGCATTAGATGAGATTTGTTGACTTCAAGTGTCGGTAATAATTATTTCATTATGTGTGTTACGGCCCGTGAATTCACCTGAGTTCAGCACGTTGGACAGTGCCTGCAAGCTGCCGTCCCTGTCAGCGCTGTTCCTGCTTTTCCCTTCAGCACCATGGAGAGAGGCACGCTGCTGCACAGCTACAGCTGATCAGCATTTAGACAGATAAGCCAGGGTTCTCTAACATGTCACTCGTGAGCTACATGTAGCACCCCATTATCATGATTTTGGGGCGCTAACCCCAAAGTCAACCCAATAACACTATTTTGCATCACTTTAACACATGGCTCCTCTCTTTGGTACGGTACAAGATTGGGGCCACTAAAACAAAACAAATTTAAGGAAAGAGAATTCTGACTTTAATCTCAGAATTCTGAGAAAAAAGGTTGAACCCCAAGATAAAAGTCAGAATTCTTAGATTATGGTCAGATTTCTGCAAAAAAAAAAAAGGGGAGAATCCTGATATTAAAGTCAGAATTCTAAGAAAAAAAGTCAGAATTCTGAGATTAAGGTCAGATTTATGTGAAAAGGGGCAAATTTTGAGATTAAAGTCAAAATTCTGAGGGAAAAAATCTGAAGTAGGAGAAAAAAGGCCAAACCCCGAGATAAAAGTCAGAGTTCTTAGATTAAGGTCAGATTTCAGTGAAAAAAGGCAACTTGTGAGATTAAAGTCAGAATTCTAAGGAAGAAAATGTCAGAATTCTGAGATTAAGGCCAGATTTATGTGACAAGGGGCAAATTTTGAGATTAAAGTCAAAATTCTGAGGGAAAAAATCTGAAGTAGGAGAAAAGAGGCCAAACCCCGAGATAAAAGTCAGAGTTCTTAGATTAAGGTCAGATTTCTGCGAAAAAATGGAGAATCCTGAGATTAAAGTCAGAATTCTGAGATTAAAGTCAAATTCTGGATGAAAAAAAAAATCTGAATTCTGAGAAAAATAAGTCAGAATGTTGAGATTAAAGTCAATGGCCCTAATCATCTTCCGTACTCCTGCCATGTGTTAACATTTCCCATTTTAGAATATTTTCAGGAATTTTCTACTTTTACTTTTTCTTTTGTCTTGATTATTGTATGCATACAATAACAGCATTTGACACCAGGAAGAGCAGTAGCTGCTCACTATGTGAATTTTAATCAAGTAAACACCAGAAAGATTTAAACAAACAAAAAAAAAAACATCCCATTTGCTGAATCACCACCTTAATGTGATGGGTGGGTTGGTGTACCCATGATCCTGAACTCCAGGTGTCTCAGGTAGCTAATGGGCCTCAGGTGAGCAGTCATGTTCAAAGACTTATTTTATAGGAAGCCATAAAAATATAATTTTCTCACACATCAAACCCGCCTGGAGTCATGATGCTCCACCCAGCCTCAGGTCTCCATGTTGGAGCTCTTGCTGGTGGGCATCAGAGACAATCGTCCAGGTGAACAAGAAGGTCACCTGTCTGCAGAATAAACAAGCCTGGCTTGTTTCTCCACCAGACGGCTGCACAGAGTGTTCTTCCTTCTGGGAGCTTCTGGATGTTCTTTTTAAGTTTTAAATAATTAAATATGTGACAGGGTGAGCATCCCGTCACCATATCCTGATTGATCAGGCGCCCTGGCTACTTGGACACAGGGATGTCCCTTTGGCTGACTGGTTAGCGCGCTCACCTGGGAGTCTGGGGATGGAATCCTGCCAGGGCCCTCATTTCTTCACCTTGCTGCAAATAGAAACTGGACGTCTTTTTTATTGAAGACATTTCATTTCTTTTCTCGCCCAAAGCAGAAGATTCTTGGATAGAGCTCAAACGGTCAAGTCCAACACGCCTGAGCACTAACCCCAACCAGCCAGGATGGTTTACTGAGAGCTGAGCCATGCTTCTAGTCTGTGTTCATCAGTTCAAATGTAAAGTTAAGACATCTTCTGTCTAGCAGACAAAAGGCTTTGGCTTTTGAATCACTGAAGATGACCAAACCTCTCAAAAGTACGTGAGGGAAATTCTTTTTAGAACACACTAGTAAGGTGTCCTTTTACAACACATTTTAAAAACATGTTATTTAGGGTTAGATAGTCAAACTATTTGTCTACAAAATTTGATTCATGTTGTCTTTTCTCTAGATGATCATCCTTTGTGAATGAAGCACTTCAGAGTTGGATTTCACCGGCGGGACTTCAAACTCAGGCCCAATCCCAACACTCGCACTTCCACACTTCCTCCGTTTTACTGCGCGATCCCGACCAGGAGTGTGATGTCTCAATTCTCAAGTGCGGAAGTTGATCACGCTCCTTTTGCACCCTTGATTCGCACTTCATCCAAGTCAGCATCAATGTGGACGTGGGTGAATTGTATTACCCACAATCCATTGCTGCAGGTGAAAAGGCTCAAGTGACTGTTCTGAAAACATGTATTTTCTAATGAAAGTAGTTCATTTTAGGACAATTAGTTGATGCTCTGAAACTTTTAGATGAAGCAGCAATGAATGCAGATTTATTTCAAATAATTTTTGGGTTGTTTGTTTGAAAGTGAAAGTATCACAGCGACTAGAATCCCGACATGCGTTGCAATCGATGACGCAATGCTCTTTGTCTCAAATTGGCAATTACTTGCACACTATACCATGGACTCGAAGCCTTACTGTGTACTTTCTCCAAGTGCACTTTGCTGAAAACCGCAGGGCGAGTGTTGGGATTGGGCCACAGAGTCCAGGACCTTTGCTGGATCAGGCAGCTGGAGGTTTTGGGAGATGTTTCCCTGCTGAAAGTCAGGATGATCTGAGTTTCAACCTCATTTCCCCTCAAGTAGAAATTCAAAAACTGAATGAAGAAAAAGTTACCAGGTAGTCTGATATACTTGGAGTCAGTTGTGTCATCAAAAATGTCCACCTTATTTTCCTCCTCAATGGGGCAAAGTAACTGTTGCTCTTGTGCTGTTTTCTATGAGCCAACACTAAGAAAATATTGTTTGAATTGAACTATTTTATATTTATATGTATTTTACTGGGAGTTGAGTAGTCAGCAAACCACCACTGAAATGTTGTTTAAAATGGTGTATATATATATATATATAGAGAGAGAGAGAGAGAGAGAGAGAGAGAGAGAGAGAGAGAGAGAGAGAGAGAGAGAGAGAGAGAGAGAGAGAGAGAGAGAGAGAGAGAGAGAGAGAGAGAGAGAGAGAGAGAGAGAGAGAGAGAGAGAGAGATTTGAATGTTGAGACTTCAGGAACTAGAAGCTTGGTCTATAAAGTGTTTCTTTAGACTTTAAATCCAATGCTCTAAAATATGACTAGGCATCATGTGCTGGAGTAGTTCAGTGGTTAAAACATGGGGTAGTTCATGCAGCTGGATTGAGGATCAATCCCATGAAAATCAATTCTTTCTACCTACATATTTCTACTCATAGCTAACTATTTCCTTACTGTGTCTGTAGTTTGAATTACTAATTTCTGCAGTGTGAGTTACACATCTTGCAGACTCCTGGGGTTGAACCCTGCACCTCCTGCTCATCAGCCTGATGCTTTAACAGACCGAGCTATTCTAGCAGACTCTGACATGATGCATTCTGATGAAGAATTCTCATGTAGTCTAAGAGTTAAAGTGACTCCTGGGATTGATGCTTGATCCTTCGACACAGACCCCCCCAAGACTTTAACCGCTGAGCTACTCCAGAAGATGCTGCTTTAATGTATTTTAGAGCATTTGATTTGAAGAATACACATAAAGTCTGAGAAACAAACAGCTTTGCCTGGGAATGAACCTAAAACCTTTAGTACACAGTCCCAGCACTGAACACATCGAGCTATTCAAGTAACACATCAGTGGTAGCTCGCTGGCTAAACCTATCAACTCCTACAAACAGAAATAAGATTTATGTAAACTTCATTTAAAATCTTAATGTGAAGAGTTCAAACTTAAGAGTTTTACATTCAATGAAGTGCTCTAGTCCTTGTAAACATATTTCTGACTATTTTTCACTAATTTGATCTTTGATTTTTAGAACACACTGGCTCTCTTTCTGCACGAGCTTTTCATCCCAAACCCAACTTTCCAGGCTTCCATGACACTTTCAGATATAATAAACAAGGAATTCACAACAGATTTAAAAGCACAGAGTAGATGGGTTTATCAAATCAAACCAATTCAAACTTTATTAATCCCAGAGGGAAATTAGTTTCAGTACACACAATTCAGAGATCAGACATACATGGGTAAGACACATGACAAGAATTGGTGACTGTGGTAATTCGCAACCCTGAGTCGCGCTACCTTAATAGAGATCAGAGGTTACATGAGGGTTGGTTCAGGTGGAGGGGAATAAAAGGCACTTCAGAGCTACCCTCCACCAGGAGGGCAGCTTTGCTCTGCAAAAAACACCTCAGACAGATATGCAACAGACTTCAGACAACATAAGTGTCCACTAGGTGGGGTGGTGGGTTGGGACTATCCCCACTTCAGTTCCTGCAGCCACGACAAGCAGCGCATGTCACCTCAGTGTGGATAGGGGGAGGAGCATTAAGGGTTGCAGTGACCCTGGAACGTTTCAGCGGCCTTCCCGCAGTCCCACCCAGGCTGAGAAAGGAGACAGAGTTGAGTTGCCATAGCGATGGCACATTCCACTTATCTTCACCATTTTCTGGTTCACCACATACTTTCACTTTGTTCCCCTCTTACCTTATAGATGCCACGGGTCAAGAAAATATGCCCCAAAACCCCATTATATAATAATGTGTGACACGAAAAGGGTAAAAACCCCATCATACTACAGTGGCGGTCATGCAAAAGTAAAAACAAAACAACAACACTATAGTGTGCATCATGAAAATGTAAACAAACTTGCATTTGACTGATTTTCTGTGGGGCTTAGGCTCCTTACAGAACGTACAATTCCCTAATGCAAGACCAGCAAATAGCATTCTGGGTCGAGTTGGTTGCATTTGTGCACAACTTACATTCCTCTTGAGAATTCTGACTCCTAATGTTTAGTTGTAGTGTTTTAATATTTGACACAAGTCAGTATTAAGTCTGCAACATTAGCAGATCAGAAGCACAAAGGCTACTGAACATTTGGACTTGGTAAAAGAATAAATTGGCTTCATCAGATATAAAGAAGAACATTTTACTTTGAAGGAGCATCCAAGACATTGATTAAATGATGCTTTCAATTTCTTTATTGTTAATGTAATCCTTTTAAAAACAGGAACTAGGAGACCGTTTCCCCCCAAAACAGAATTTAAAGGCAAATAAAAGTAAACACTTGGTAGAAACCAGTAAGTGGGGCTCGGGGGACACGCCGTAAACATGCACCTGACCCAACTGTGAAGATTTTTGCAATAAATTATAGTTTCTATAAGTTAAAATAACATGAATGAATTTTCACTTTCAAAAATAAAGTTTGTTTCACTGCAAAACAGCATAAAGGGATATAATTTTCATTTAGTACACACTTATCTTTAACCATAGAGAATAATTTGTCATATTTGATACTATATACTATATATAATAAACATTTTCTACCACAAAAGCACTAAGAAAATGTACTACATTCGTAGTATTTTTTAAGCACAATTCTTTCTTTTTTCCAGAACTTTGCACCAAATTCATGGAGCGTCAATTTATCTCAACTTCTGTTTAGAGCCTGAGACTCTGGACTGCGATGATCCTCCACAAGTGAGAGCAGCAGCTAACACAGTTGAACAACACTGGAGCCAGCTGGGCACACGACACAAACCGGGAGAAGCGCTGTTGGGTTAAGTTTCCCACAAACACCCGGTTTATGGCCGGTTTCTGGTCTAGCTCCTCTCAACAAAAGAAACAGTCGACTTTTGGAGAAGTCAGGAAGTGTCAGACGGAGCGTGCTCAAAGCCTTCGCTCTCCCTCACCAGCGCCCTCTCCAGGATCACTCGGCCCTCCTTGTAGCGCTGACTCTCCTCTGTGGCGAACTCGTACATCCAGCCCAGCTTGCTGCTGCAGTTCTTGCAGCTGACGTCTCGCACCATGTGCCTCCCTGTCAGCATGACTCGGTCCTGGATCTCGCTGTGCTGCAGATTCACAACCTGAATGGAAAGCAGCTGCTCACTTATGTCTGTTACAGCTAACAATGTAGATTCACTACTACCTGAAAGGTGTGGTGGAAGATGTTTTTCTGGAGCAAGCCAATGGCAATTAAGTGTTTCGTTTATGAAAAGAAATCATTTCAATCCTGGAAAACCCTCCTTTAATCACCGTGAATGCCTCATTCTTAATGACTGGATCCCAATCCACCCATCACAATTTACAAATGTGCTTCATGTCACGTGTTATGGCAGAACAGATGCCAACAAGGGGTTGATAATGTGGGTGGCACTGCATGTTCCTGTATTCTAGAAGCCTGATGAAAGCAGGCTGGACCTTTAATTTGTGTATTTTTAACAAGTAGCTTGCTTAAATGACAAGAACAACATCTACTTCACATTTAAGTGCGTATATACACACACACATGCCCACAAACTGCTCATGTTACAAGTAAAACAACTGAAAAGATAAACTAAACTAACACATGAGCTTTAGTGGCACATTTCTGCTGTATGCCAGGACAGCAACACACACACACACCTTATTGAAGAGGAAGGCTCTGCCAGTGGCTCCTGTGAAGCGTGTGGAGATGAGTTCAGCTCGGTTGGTCAGAATAGTGTCACAGTTGGCACAAGAGAACAGGCGACTCCCACCGATGTGATCCAGGAAGATGCGACCCATTCTTGACAGTCGATAATGTCTGCCTCTGAAAGACACGAGTACACTGAATTTCATTACAAATGTTCGACTCTGCAAAAATATTCTTTATCGTTAAAAATGCAAATAAGTCAAAAACATAAATAAAGTCTAAATATTGTTTAAATTAGAAACAACCCCTTAGTTGCATTTATTTTATTGAAAACATAGCCTTTTATAATCATTTTGTGTCTTAAGATTTTCAAGGTTTTCTGTACGCCAAATATGCAGGGGCGCCTCCAGAAAATTTTCAGCATAATTCACAGATGGGGCCGAACAAATTTTTTGGGCGGCACACCAAACTGATCCTTGTGGTAACTCTGGGAGAGTTTAGCCTGTGGCAGTGTATTGCATTGGTCCTCTGTTCATTTTTATTTTAAAAAAAGCAGTACGTATCCACATCATTTTACTTAAATTTACAAACAAAAATTCAATTCAATTCAAGTTTATTTATATAGCGCCGAATCACGACAAGAGTCGTCTCAAGGCACTTCACATAATAAACATTCCAATTCAGTCAGTTCATTAAGCCAATCAGAAATAATGTTTCCTTTATAAGGAACCCAGCAAATTGCATCAAGTCACTGACTAGTGTCAGTGACTATACAGCAATCCTCATCCTCAAACATTTCAGAAAAGTACATTTCAGTTATTTAAAATGTTATTCGAAATTTAATTTACTTTTTTAGGTTAATTCACCTGCTGCTGTATGCGCAAAAAATCTATGGAGATAAAAACTTTTTTAAAATGGTGAGCAGCAAAAAACATGTATTTATTCTGATATTTTTTTTTTTACTTATTAATTGTATTATTTTTATTTTGTTTTACAATTATTTCTTGAATAAACAAGATCAATATTTGGTTTGACTGAACATTAATATGATTTATTAAAACGGACTTTTCCTTGGGGGGGGGGGGGGGGGGGCAGCACTTTTCTATGGGGCGCTCTTGCAAATACGATGGATAATAATGATTTAAAGATTTTGTTTATTTTCTAGATCAAAACTCTAAACAGCAACACGATGAAAAACGTTTATTGCAGTTATTATTTGTCAGTACTTGTAACCGTAACCTGCTGAAACTGAACAGTTTGAACTTACGATCTGGCTAGCACTTTGTGTATTTTTAATTGCATTTTCCCACTTTTTGGGGATCACCTGAAGGCATCAACAAGCTAAAAAGAATTACATGCAAGCTTAGTCAACAAACAACAACAAAAAGACCCCCAAATGTTAACATCGACACAATTTTACACTGGATACGTTCGTTAAGCCACCCAAACATTCACCAAGTAAACAGAACACCTTTAGGCCAAACAGCGCGGAAACGTCACGTAGCTTAGAAACAGCTTACCAGTTTAATTAAACGCACAAAGTGTAACCAGCTGACGCTTTGTTAGCAGTTTTTTCGAGTCGAGCCTTCGTCTTTATTCTTGAGCCAAAACGGAATGTTTTCTTTGCTGTTTTCATCAGACGCACCAAAGGGCGGAAGTTTGTGTAATTTTTCCCGAACAGGAAAGCAAGTTCCGTTTATGACTTCCACAATAAATGTAAATAAGAAAACCATATAATGTGGTTAAAAGGACAGACACAAAAATCGTCCTTTTAATATTATCATATTATGTTACTATTTTGAAATGTGTAATTATACTTTATTTGTTCGTTGTTTTGTGTCAAATCAAGCTTTTTTTAGACGTATGTTTTTATTTTGAAATACAAGCGCCATAGTGTGTGTTGTACTATTGCTAACTTGGTTCCTGTTGGCTCAAATTTTATCCAATGGGGAAGGACGCAGACTGGACGTAAAATTCTTTGCAGACCACTGATTGGTCAGGCAGATAGAAGTGATAGAAGTGATACAAACAGATATTAAAAAAATTAAACTATGGTTTGATGGGAACAAACTATCATTAAACAGTGATAAATCATGTTTTATGATATTTAGTAATACATATTCAAATGATGAAATTTTATTAAATATAGATGAGATTAATATTAAAAGAGTTAAAGAAGTCAAGTATCAGGGAGTCATCAATGATGAAAAAATGTCTTGGAAACCACATTAATTAATATTTAACATTAATTTATTTGGATTTCACAATTAATGTATAAACTACTAAAATAAATACAATTAAAACCAAATACAAACTATTTGATAAAAAGGCTACTGAAAAACAGCTCATTTAATATGATAAACATGTTGAATCAGATAAATAAATAAAAACAATTTATGCAATATATTATAATTATATGGTTTAAAGGGCAAAATTGATAATAAGTAAAACTTAACAAGCACATTTTAAGATAACAAATGAAGGTAGAAGAAACTATTGATGCTGAAGCAGTCCAACATAAATACAGACAGCATTTAACCCGGAACGTAATATTAGCTAAATGCACCGTCCACTTGTATTCTATATGACTAATTTAAAATATATAACATGACATAATTGTTCTGCAGTGAAATAAATGTAAAATTCAAGTTCATGAAAACACATTTTTTCCCATCATATCAACTTCCTTGATATGTTTTGCTCACAGTTAATTAAGACTGCTGCTTTTTTAAGTACAAACTGTGATTACAGCATCCATTTATCCTCTGAAAAATTAATACATTTTCTCTGTCTGACTAATGCGTCATTTTACCTAACTTAACACACACACACACACACACACACACACACACACACACACACACACGCGCGCGCGCGCGCGCGCGCGCACACACACACACACACACGCGCGCGCGCACACACACACACACACACACACGCACACACACACAGAAATAAAAATAAAGAAAATCTCGTTTGTAATGTTTGCCACCAGTAGCGGTTTTAGGCACGGGCAGACAGGGCAGTTGCCCGGGGCGGCATTTTTTCATGACACAAAAGGGGCGCACAAGCGCGGAGTAAAAAAAAAAAAAAAACAGGAAATCTGCGCCGCACCGAGGTTTTCTATTATCTGTCATATGACAGTGTCTGGATTGGAAACAGCAAGTTGGCGCCCCCTGCAGCTGCAGGCGCTGAACGTTCACGTGCTCCGTGTGTCTATGAAGAACAGGAAGGGGAGGGGTGCGGCGGGGGAATTCACCTCTGCGTCTTTCCCAAATAAATGAGCGGGTAGGGGCTGAATCAACTGTATTAACGTGGCTAAAGTCAATCACATCTTAACGTTCTTCCATATTTCATTCATAATATCATAAACACAGGCCTATCATTCTTTCAGGTTTCTCTGAATTGTGTGAAATGGCCGAATAAAAAAAGGAAAAACAAAATGATTTTGTGGTCACCCCCCCATCAAGGTCAAATTGTTTAGTCCTGACTAAAGGAAACTTATTGAGTCAAGAGCCAAACAGAAGAGATGAACATAAAAAAGCTAAAACCACCAGGTGCCCCATTCAGGGGGAAAAAAAGAAAAAAGAGGAGAAAGATAAAGGTATGTAGCTCTCATGATGCATGTTTTCAGTTATTTGAACCAGTTAACTGGGATTTTAACGGTTAAATGCGGTCAACTAATTGCTAACAGAGCTAATAGGGCTGAAATATTGAAACAAATATTCAAATGGTTTGAAAAAAGTCCTTGAATCGTTTTTTACTGATTCAAACTAGGATTTGTTAAATGCTCACTGCAGCCTGTGGCCTGCCTGAACAACAACAAACACATGTTGATCATGTTCACATAATAATAAATAAAACAATTCTACAAGCTGAAGAAAACACCCCAGTCACCACTAACTATCCTGTTTATTTATTGCAGATGGCTGCACTGATTATTTTTTACATGATTTGTTCTGTAAAAGTTGGCATTTTTGGTAATCTACAGTTTTTTATGTCAGTTTAAATTACAATTTCAGAGGCAATTCTAAAATATTATGGATCATGAGATCTATTGGAGCTCTACCCCAACTTTTGGACTGCTCTGCCAGTCACTGTGGCTCAAGCTGAGAGGAGCTTTTCAAAACTTGATCAAGTCATGCCTGAGGTCACCTATGTTTCAGGGGCGGCTCACTAACCTGGCTCTGATTAGTATCAATCACTCAGTAGGGGAGCAGATTTCATGTGATGACATTATTGATGATGTTGCATCAAGGTTAGGTTTTAATTTTAGTTTGTGTTTTCTATTCTAAGTGCAATGCTGTAGTGATTATCTTTAGTTTGTTATGTGTGAAATATTTTTGCTATTTAGAATATTTATTATCTATTATGTTCATATATTCTTAATATTTAGTTATTGTTTGTTTTTGTATAGTTGATTCTATATATTTTGATACAGTATATAATGTATAGTGATTTACATTCTGACAACTTCATAGTAATTAATGTAAATATGTGCAACTTAGAAAAATTAATGTTCAATAGTTGTTCTAATAAAACATGCCTGTTTGTAGAAAACATGCGTGTGTTCATGCAGGTGGGGTGGTGGTGGTGGTGGTGGTGGTGGGGGGGGGGGGGGCGCTCAAAGGGGGCCTCGCCCGGGGAGTAATTCGATGTAGAACCGCCACTGTTTGCCACACCTGTAATTGAGTTTTTAATTGAATGAAGATAAATGTCGCCCTCCAGTGGTCAAAAGCTGGAGCTACAATCTGGTTCTGTTAACTCATTTTAACATTTTAGCCTCCGCATCTCAGTTATCTCACACGGCAAAGGACAGCACGGCACTGACCACACTTGTAACATTAAGTTGGAGATATTTGGGTAAATATATTTGGTTTGTGTTAAAATGCTTCCAGCTGTAAATATCTGTTATTTTGTTAAATCCTCAGCTTATAATCACAGTAAACGACCTTCATATTTAAAATTCTACAACCTCCCTTCACAACACAGTCAGCCCTCCACACTGGTGATGATGAGCTACGATGTAGTCACAGCTGTTCTGGAGCGCTCTGACAGAGGCGAGGCCTGCCCAACACCGGCGCCACCAGTCCATCAGACCACCACCAGCAGGAAAGGCGGGGTAGGTGTCTTGCCCAAGGACACAACAGCAGCATTCTGTGGCAGGAGCTGGGATCAAACCTACAACCTTCTGGTCACTGGACAACCCGCTCTACCTCCTGAGCTGCTGCTGCATCAATACCCAGAGCACACCCAATACCAATACCCAGAGATCTTGATAAACTTCTTGGTAGCAAAGACGAAAAGTGGCTCTTAGGTCCGTTAGTACTTGTTGCTCCTGGTTAAATAGGGGAAGGTCGTCTTATCAGTCCAGATGATAAAACTGATCAGATAAACAGCATCATGCTTCATCAGAGGGTTCAGACTGAGTTTATGTCCTTGACAGAAGATAAAGAACCATAAATGCGGATCCGTAATCACAGCTGCAGTCACTCCGGGTTTCCACAAGAGACAGTTAGGTACGGTGATGTCATAACTCCATTCCTCTTACATCAAACCAGCACCGTTCTAATCAGAAGACAGCCGGGACAGGACAGTGCCACTGAAGGATTACCGAGTTTCTCCGTGTTAGCTGGAGAAATGTGTGAAATCTGAGCCTTTGTCCGCTGCACACTGATCTTCACATAATCACTATTTATATTTTCTTTGTAAAGACACTTCATCGTGGACACCAAGTATCCAGGAAGTCCACCACAGATAAACCTTTCTCCAACAAAGCCATGCACTTCCTGCTCTCGTGGATCTGTGTTGACTCTCCAACACTAATGGTTTTTATCTTCCAGTCAGGAATGACTAGACGCTTCTTTTTTATTGTGCTTTTGGCTGCATCCAACTGGTAACATCTGTTCCAGATGTTCTCAGGTGAAAAAATAGAAGGTTTATGGAACTTTTAACAGTGTTGACACTGGTCTGAGGTCAGTTTTGAACATTAGTTGTGTTCCTCTCAGCGTGTGGGGGAACATGAAGGTAGTGGGAATGTTTCCTTCACCACTTTGTCTGAAATATGACATCAAATCTTAGATCTTAGCAGAAAATCCTCAACAGAATGTCACTGTTAGGTCGGTTGCAGGGGCGTGTCCAGGGAGTGGCCTGGGGTAGCACATGCCACCCTTAGAATCTGATTGGCCACCCCTCTAAGTTCCAGTTTAAATTGACTTCATATTGTCGACAAAAGGCTTGGGTTGTAAACCCCCAAATAGTGTGTGGTTGCACGCACATTTCACCTTGTTTTCTAGCCCAGGCATGTAGTATTAATATTATTTAATATTTTTTCATATTCACATACATAGTATTTAGAGTCCCACTCAACTCCAGTTGGTAGCAGTAATGCAACAAGAAGTGATTTGCTAACCACCACAAAAGTAGATGATGAAGAGGAAAAAAAATGGTGATTGTGCAATGTGAAACTCAAAAATTCACAAGAAAGTAAATAAATAAATAAGCATAACCATTGGTGCCACCCATGAATAAACAAGTGCCGCACATGGGCCACCCCATTTTAAAAGTCCTGGACACGGCTCTGGTCGGCTGGGCTCCAGAAATAAAAGCATCAATGAAACTCGATGTGTGTAGAATCTGTTTCATAATCACAAGATGAAGCTGCACAGATGTTTAAATGAACAAACGGACAAGTCATTTCTCTTTCACGTGCGTCTCTTATCTCGCCACGCAGAAGAAAAACAAGTGAGCATTTATTACTTCCTGGTGCTTCTCCGGGTCCCATCGTTGGGATATTTACAGCATCAGTCATGCAGCTGCAGATTTGAAATGATACGTTTTTTTTATTGATCTATAACAAAAAAAAGATCAAAATGATAGTAAATGTCACAAAAACACCAGAGAGCCCAGAAACAGCTGCGTGGCGTTCAGACCTTCATCAGAGCTGCTGCTTCGGCGTGAAACCTTCACCGCTGTGTCCTTTGAACAAATCAGATGTTCCCTCCCCTTTATGAGGTTTTATGATATTTAAAGTGTCCAAGTGGAGCTGATAGAGAGACAGAGAGTGGGGAAAGTAAAATGACGCTTCAGCAGCTGGTTCTGATCGCCCTTCTGGGTCCTGCATGGGCAACAGGTATCTAAACCTGATGCTTCTGACTCGAACGGGAGTTATAATCTCTTCTAAGCGGTGTTTTGACTCTTGTCTGATTCTGCCCTCATCAGCTGGACTGCCCTGCACTCAGATGTTTCCCTCTCAGCAGCCTCCTGCAACAGGTAAACGAGTCAGACACAATTATACCATCAGAACAAGAATCACCTGAAAATGTTTCAACTCTGTTGTGAATTTCCATCATTTCTAAATGATTTTTGGCGATGATTCACCTTGTGAAGCTGACAGCGTTCGACCTTCAGACGTGGCTGCTCTGTTCTGCGTCGGACTGAACGAGGACAGGTGAGACTCAGATTTGTTTTATTAGAAGTTTGAAAAAATCTGAAAGTCTCTGTTCTTCTGCAGATCTGAGCTCTACACAGTCTTATCAAAACTCCAGGGTAAGTTTCTGCTCTAGTTTCCAGATCATTCATGATGATTAATCCATTTACTGACTCAGATCTGTATTATTAAAATATTAATCCTCATTTTTAATGACTCTACTCCACTGAAGGCTACTTAATGATCCCAAATCCTTTAAGAAATTATGTCTTCTCCTCTTCAGAGCTTCTGACTGTGTTCAACCCCAGACTGATCAGCCTGCTTAACGTTCCTCAGAGTCCTCAGCATGGGTGCAGATAATATTTTTACTTTGCTACATTAAACTCTGACTGCTTCATATATATATATATATATATATATATATATATATATATATATATATATATATATATATATATATATATGAAGCAGTATTTATAATACCTTCATCTCATGCCTTTTGGTCATTTCCCCTTAACTGCAGAACACTGATGGAGCAAACAAACCACATGTCCCTCTACCTAAAAACCAATCAGGTCAGTTGTTGCAGAATCCGACTTTAATGGTGACAGATCACTTTATTCACATTAGTTCACTATTAAAAACAACAATTTTCCTTGTAATGAAGTAAAAACCCTCTAAAGGACCTCTACTAGGTGTTTTTCTTGTAGAAAATGATTTCATGCACAGGAAAATACACTTTTGTGCAGATTTTGTGAGGCTATCACTATGGTGTTTTGAAACAAAATGCATGATTCTGCACGCATCATCATGGCGGAATGAGATTTTGTTTTGTTGCAGGCAGTAGTTATGTCTTATTCATGTAATCTCATAAAAATCTAAATCATTTGTGCCAGAAAATCAGAATCTAAATACTTTAGCGTTAGTAAGAATATAATGACATATATTTTTACAAAACAAAGTGCCATGAATACATTTTAAACATCTTTTCCAACAGGACATGGACATGAGTCTCGACTGGAAGCTGGTTCTTCTCTTCGTTCAGGTGGATCATATTTGTGCCTGCGAGCAGCAGCAGGTAAATACTAAAAACATGCTTTATCTGTGTTTCTATGAGCTGCCGTTTCAGACGGTAACGTTACAGAGTCCAGATTATTAATCCTTATCAGCGTCCGACTGTCACTCCTCAACTTTCTTTAAACTCTGTGAGATAAAAAAGTGTTGCAGATAGAACAGAACAGGGATAATATTCCACCTTTTATTTCCCTCATCAGTGTTGGTCAAGCTTCTATTCCAGTATAACCAGTTTACTGGGATAGTTTAGCTACCTGTGCAGGTAAAATACACACATCCCGTGTTTGTGCTGCAGATCCCGTCTCTTATGAGCCGTGTGGTTGCAGACGTAGATGCTGCTCTGCAGCTGCTGCACTCTCAGGTATTTCTCAGATCATGTAAAATCACTGATAATATTATTTCACTGCAGCTATAATGTTTATACCCTTTTCCTGTGGCTAACGGTGCTGCAGCTTAACCGAACCATCGTCAGCGTTGCAGTATGGGATGGAGAGCAGGATGTTATTCAGAGAAGGTACGGTGCACAGTTGCGTTTTGCTGAATTCTCTGTGCTTAAGTCACGTTAAAGGGATATTCCACCCATAAGTGGTAAAAAGCATTTTGTAACCAGCCCAGACGTTCTCCTAACCTGGCGGTGTTCCATTAGCTTTAGCTTTAGCTTAGCATAAACAATGTAAGTGAATGGTAACAGCTAGCATTCAGATTTGGGACTACATGGCCACTAAGCGCCACTGCAAGGCACAGCTACAAGGGATCAAAACATAACGCAGCGGCCAGAAAACCTGCCGTTTCCTGTCATTAGGGTGAAAGGTTGCAAACGTCGTACAGTAAACCTGATGACATTAAACGATGAGTGGCGGCTTAAAGCGGTGCTTTATCATTAAGTAGTCCCGAGTCTAAATCGGCTCCTGTTAGCTCTTCGTGTTACTTATTATTTTCATTTGCAGTCCATATGATTATTGAGGTCATCAAGAAAAGTGAGGCTCTTCATTGAGTCATTTTCAAGACTTTTTGCATGAAGTGCTAGCTGTTACCATTCACTTACACTGTTTATGCTAAGCTAAAGCTAACAGACTACTGCCAGATTAGGAGAATGACTGCAGCCTGGCCTGCCAGACTCACCCTTTGTTTATTATTATTATTATTATTCTACACAGAAGGACGAGTCTGGATACTCAGAGGCAGAGAGCACCATGGGGGCGGGGCTAGCCAGCTCAAAAATAACCAATCGGAAAAAAGGGAAAATGGTGACTGTATCGTGCAATGCTGTAGTTTTTAGCTGTTGAAAAAAAAGGCGTCTGGCGACAGCGCAAACATCTTTCTTTTGAAAAAAGGCTTTTAGCGCTTCTTCTTGTGGTTTTAAAAACACGCCCGTCGTCTAGAACAGAGGAAAGAGCCGCGGCGAACTCCGCTTCAGACGCCATCTTTGTTGTTTATGAGAAACAGAGCGTTGTGGTGTGTGACGCACGCTTCTCGGGCGGGGTGGGGGGGGGGGGGATATTTGAATGGGAGGCCCTTTGCTTCTCATAAGGAAGCGGTGACATGGCTGGCCAGGCTAGAATGACTGGACTGGTTACAAAATGCTTTCCCCACTTAAATCTGGGGAACATGGCTACAGACTAAATTTCACATAGGGGTGGAAGATCGCTTTATGACCCAAAGAATAAATAGTTTTGAGTGAAAAATAAAAAACAACAAACCAGTTTAATATTAGTTGTTTTTCCACATCTTAAACCATTTTAATGCCGTTACATAAATCAAGTTTCATTAAGGGAAATCTATTTTTGCCGACAGGAAGTGTCCATGTGGCGACACAAACAGTGAGGGAGAACTCATACTCCAGAGGGCCTTACTGACCCACGCTCTGCAGGTTTGTTGATATTTTACTCACACTGGAGTTAAGTATCAGGTTAATGCGTGAAAAAAAATCCTTTTTCAGGAGTCTTTGGACGAGCTCCTAGTCCAGAGACACTGGTATAGCGACCGAGCTGACTTCACCGTCTCACTGCAGGACGTTGCTTTCATCAGAGACCTGTCATTTTACACTGTGAGCTGCTGGCACAATCATGTGATCTTCATCCTGCACAACCGTTCTTCACGTGCAGCATTCTCTGTCTAAGTTATTCCACAAATGGTTTGATTTGTGTTTTTCCACCTTGCAGCAGGCAGGAAAGCCTCGTTCCGAGTCCACAATCTCAAAGTTCACCGACAAACTGATGGTGAAGCTGTGGACAGGCCTGGTGAGCCCTGAACCAGAAACCTTCTTCATCCATCTTTCACAAGTTTGCTGAAACAGCTCCTGCGTCTTTATTCTCCGACAGTTGCAGCCCTCATTAGAAGCACGTACAGATGAGAACGAAGACAGGATCAGGTTTCCGTGCCCAACAGAGGTGACGATCAACAAACAGTTAAACAAGCCTTTTAAAGTGATAATTCGATTGATCAGACAATCATTTTCACTTTTCTTTGTTGTGTCATAATAAAAAGGACCAACCGTTCTTGAGAACAGAGAGAAATTCCCCTTCGTTTCACCTCAGAGAGGCTTCTCCTCTTAGCCCGGCGGTGAGTGCCATCAGAGGAGAATCTGTTGCGAGTCTGTCATCCTGCTCTGATTCAGCTTTTTGTGTCCGATTCCCAGCTCACCGGCACAGAGCTGCCTTGTGAAGACCTCAGTTCCTCACCCTCTACTCCCACTTCAGGTGGGGAGCATTTAAAATGTTACAAAAATCCAAAGATCAACGCCTAAACGGCGTTTATTCATTCTGACGACGCTGAGATTTCCTGTTCCTCTTTCCTTCTAGTCCATGAACTCAGGCCGGGGGACATCAGAGTTATAGCTGCTGTGGGCGATTCTTTAACGGCGAGTCATTCTTTTAATTCCTTTCGAACAGCTGTGTTCATATCCTGATCGTCGGGGACCGCTATCCTGCACGTTTTAGTGGTTTTCCTGCTCCAACACATCCGATTCAATGGTTGGATTTTACGTTAATAAAACGTGGGAAACAACTAAAACATGCAGAATAGTCGGGACCAGGATTGAACACGTCCTGACTGAATCACAAAGACATTAGGTCACTGAAGTTTTGCTCGTCTCTCTTCGATAGGCGGGAAACGGAATTGCATCCGGCCCCAACGACATCCTGGACGTCCTGCGTCAGTACAGAGGCTTATCCTGGAGGTGAATGACGGCTCTCCACGTTTTCTGACATCTGACTGAATCACATCTGTTAAGTATTACATTAGGAATAAAAAACAAATCATATCTGTGTCATTTCAGTATTGGTGGAGACGAAAATCTCACCACTGTCACCACCCTTCCCAGTGAGTCGGTTGGGGTTATAAAACCAGCGCTTTGGTTGGAAACGTTCAAACATTTGAACATTCTTTGTGATTTCAGACATTTTGAAGCTTTTCAACCACAACCTGACGGGGTACTCGGTAGGAATCGGCATGCAGGACAGTCCCGAAGCGTTCCTCAACCAGGCTGTGGCTGGGGCAAAGAGCAAGTAGGTGTTCTTGTGTCACTAGAATCAACAAGAACTTGTTTTAGAAACATAGAAATAAGGCTCAGAAGTGACCAATCTGGTTGATGTTGTAGTGGCCGTAGAGGTCAAGAGGTCATCTGTAAGAATGGTATAGACCTGCTAGGAGCGTTCTTGACTTATTTAGTGCTTTTACTCTCAGGGATGTCCCGTCACAGGTCAGAGCCTTGGTGACGAGGATGAAAAACGACCCTGTGAGTCTTACTCTCCCGACTCTCTCGGCTAAAATGACTTTTGGCTGCCAGTTTGGAGTAAAACCAAGAAGTCTAACTAAACATAACTAATGTCATCTGTCCAGAGAATCAACTTTGAATCAGACTGGAAGATGATCACCGTTTTTATTGGTGGAAACGACGTCTGTGACCACTGCACCAATTCTGTGAGAACTGGTGCTCAAAAATCATTTCAATGGGATAAAATGGTGAAATTCATGTCAAGATGGCTTCTTTTCTTCACAGCTCCTTTTCTCTGAGCTAAATTATGTCCAGAATGTTCGTGAAAGCCTGGATTATCTTCACAAGGAGGTAACGTTGACTTAAAGATGAGGTGTTTTTGGTTGGCTGGCTGCATTAATGACGCTGACGTTGGTCAGGTCCCTCGAGCTCTGGTGAATCTCGTGGAGCCTCTTCTTGTAACGCCCCTGAGGGAAATGCATATGGACAAGACCCTGAAATGCCCAACCTGGCTGGTGGAGTGAGTACTGACTCGTTCAAAGTCGTGCACTGATCTGAACAACCTCTAATAACTTGTTTACTTGTCCAGTATTTTGTGCCCGTGTGTCACCTTGCCAAAGTCAAATTCTGAAGCTCTTCAGAATGTAGAAAACAAGAACAGAGGCTATCAGGTGAATTACACCACCAGAGCAGGAAGGCGACGCTTGAATGTGTTGTCACTGATGGCTGCTGTTGTCCTTTAGGAAGTGCTGCATGGGCTGGTGGAGTCCGGCCGCTACGACACACGCTCAGACTTCACCGTGGTCATTCAGCCTCTCCTCAGGGACATTGTTGTCCCCCGCTTGCCGGTCAGCACTTAGATCAGCTAATTAAAACATTTCTATTTTGGGAATATTCTAGGGCTGAAACGATTCCTCGAGTACCTCAAATAATTCGAGTTCAAAAAAGCCTCGAGTCAAATGCTCTGCCTCGAGGCTTCGTTTAATTCATGTTTAATTAATTCATGGCTTTGCAATCACCTGGGGTCATGTTTCACCCAGACCGAAATAAGTGACGCACATACACACTGCACTGAATGCACACGCGAGTATCGAATGCTTAACTTTCTCTTAAGCCATGGCGGACAACGTGGACCCCGGTGGAGTGCGATAAAGACAGAAAATGTCAAAGGTGTGGGACCATTTTTCACGTCGTAAGGCGGAAAACGTAGTCCAGCGTAAATACTGTAAAATGGATTTAGCCTACCACAACATCACATCCTCGATGCTGCAGCACCTGACCAGGAAACATCCACATGTAAATGTCACTTCTGCAAGCGGACTCGGAGGTCCGCTATATATTCTGTGGACACTGTGCGACTTTTTCGTTTGTAGCACTCAGTTTCAGCTCACACTGTGGGTCTGGTAGCAACATGTTGGACCTAAAATGTGCTAAAAATAGCAGTTTTTACACAACACGTCTGACTTTTTATTGTGCTGTTATTGACCCTTTGCACGTGACGTCACGCCACTCATGTGACCACCCCCTTCGCCATGATGGATGGCAAAAAGACCATTTACACCCATAGAAACTCCAGTGGAGGTAGTCAAAACAAGCCAGTTTGTAGCCTTGTATCGCTTTAATTTAGTTGATTTGACAGTAAAATGGTTTTAGCTTGCTGCGTGGCCGGCTGCACTAAGAGACAAGGACGTAAACTCAACTCGTTTTTTCTTTTTAAAAACTCTAATGGAGACTGAGGCTGAAGATGAACTGCAGCGATCAATCAAGCGGACTAGCAGCCCTCAGATTTGCAGCAAACGTTTTTACTGGGTAAGATTAACATTCATTTATTTCACGAGGAAGACAGGGACAGGGATAAATGTGATGTGTTTATACTAGTTATTGATAATCCTGATGGGTGGGTATTTCACCACGGAGGCTGCGCTCCGTCCACTGTAGTGTAAAACGAGATAATTATTAACAATATTAAAGCTCTGATGTATGATTACGTGTGTTAAAATTACATTTTTATTTATATGAGCGTCAGCATTCAGAGATCTTCTCATTCCGTTGTGAGAGCAGCAGCTGAACCCGGTAACACCACCAGCAACAGAAGCTGGTAGGGATCCGGACTTTTTAAAAATCAGCTTTGGTGTAAATAAAGTGAAACGCTGTTTACAACATAACGTTATAAATCCAGAGGGGTGAATTTAGGCAAAGTCAGCAACATGTTTACATCGGTGAACAGCTGCAGAGAGAACGTAAGCTAACGTTGGTAAGCTAGTTAACATACCGCTCTCCATGAGCCCCCGCTAGATGCGCTACTTCTTCTGATAACTGAACTGGGCATGAACTAGTTGAAGGAATGCTGGAGTTTTGTTTTTGTTTTGATCGCAAAAACAATTTCAGGCTCTACTTTTCCCTTTGTTTAGTAATCGTGTCGCTCACTGTTTACATGCTTTTGCCGTCCAGCATGGTGGACCCACGTGATTAGGTGACGTCGGTGCAAAGGGTCAATTGATGTCTGTTGTCCCTCGGGGTTGCTGCAGGAGGACACAGGTATTTATGAGAGTGGCAGAGGAAAACAAAAGAAAGTAAATAAATGTTTTGTGATCGGTATAATTTGACATAACCACGGCAAACATGCTTTCTCGACAATCCTAGTTATTGTGTGAGAAAAAAGTGTAGAAATTAAAACGGACGTGTTTTAATAGAGAGATAGCTGGCAAGCCATGTTTGCGCATGCGCCGTGAGCGGTTCTGGTGCTGTTTGGGCCGCAGTTGCTCGCTGCGCCACTTCAGCAGTTATCCTCCTAGTTGTTGTCTGGCTTGCCAGGCTAGCAGATTCTCGCACGAGGGGAAAATCAGCTCAAGTTGTAAACTTATTTTTTGCACAGGCGTTTGTTTACTGTGAAGTAAAGATGAAGTGCTGAAGTTTTCAAAACTAATTTTGAATAAAACTTGAAGAATAACTGGCAATTGCGTGCTCATTTTAAGAGGTCTTTCATATTTTATAACATGCTATTTGATATAATGGTTTACAAACACAAAAGGGTAATTTATTAGAGTACTCGATTAATTGATAAAAGATTCGACAGAGTGCTTGATGACAAAAATATTCGATAGCTGCAGCCCTAGAATATTCTTTGACTTTTGCAGCCGAAATTGGCCCAATCCTTTCGGATAGCCCTCTAGTCCACAGAATGAAACAAATACTAATAAAATATGTTTAATTCAAACTTCTTCAGAATGGTCGTCCTGATCGCTCCTTCTTCAGCGCCGACTGTTTCCATCTCAGCCAGCGAGCCCAAACCCTGATGGCTCGCGCCCTTTGGAACAACTTGGTAAACAGACGCTGAACTAGTTCTGACTCAAGCTGTGTTACGGTGTAACACAAAACACATTTGGGTACGATACGAACTACACATGTTCCCACATTTGTGACTGACTCAGTGGTTTTTGTTTCTCTTTGAAGTTGGAACCTTTGGGCCATAAAACCTCAAAACAGGAGTTTAATTCCTCTATCGAGCTGAAATGTCCAACAAAAGTACAACTTTTATTTTTCATTAACATAAAAACTTCTCTGAAGTTCTTTGAAATTTAGGAAGCACTGCTGACTTTATTAAGGATCCCTTTCTTTCTACAGAATTCACCTTTTATTCGGACCTACAATAACAGTAATTACATGTATTCTGGGCCATCTCCAACATCTGGGCCAATTTCAGTAAGTTTCTAACATTCATGAGAGAATTGATCATCAAATAAGGAACAAAATAAAAGTTAATGTTGTTTTAATAGCATGTAAAAAACTAGCAATGTTCAAAAACAACCCTACTTCTGTAAGAATGTCTTCAATGTGAAATTTCAAAAATGGACCATACAGGTCCTTTTCAAAAAATGTGCATATTGTGATGAAGTTCATTATTGTCTGTAATGGACTGATAAGCATTAGACTTTCATATATATCAGATTCATTACACACAACTGAAGTAGTTCAAGCCTTTTATTGTTTCTAATATTGATGATTTTGGCATACAGCTCATGAAAACCCAAAATTTCTATCTAAAAAAATTAGCATATCATGAAAAGGTTCTCTAAACGACCGTCACCTTATCGCGGTGGAGGAGTTTGAGTGCCCTAATGATCCTAGGAGCTATGTTGTCTGGGGCACTTTGTGCCCCTGGTAGGGTCTCCCATGACAAATTGGTCTTAGGTGAAGGGTGAGACAAAGAAAGGTTCACAGAATCTTACATGGATGTAAATTCAAAGAGTTGGAGTACCCGGCCCGGAGGGTTACCGGGGTCCCACCATGGAGCCAGGCCTGGGGTTGGGGCCCGTGAGCGAGCACCTGGTGGCCGGGCTTTCGCCCATGGGGCCCGGCCGGGCCCAGCCCGAACGGATACATGGGCTCATACAACTGTGGACCCACCACCCGCAGGAGGAACATGAAGGGTCTGGTGCAATGTGGATCGGGTGGCAGACCAAGGCGGGAGCCTTGGCGGTCCGATCCCTGGACAAGAAAACTGGTTTTTGGGACATGGAGCGTCACCTCGCTGGCGGGGAAGGAGCAGGAGCTTGTGGCAGAGGTTGAGCGGTACCGGCTGGATATAGTCGGACTCACCTCGACAAATAGCATTGGCTCTGGAACCCAAGTCCTTGAGAGGGGTTGGACACTCTCCTTTGCTGGAGTTGCTCCGGGTGAGAGGCGGAGGAATGGGGTTGGCTTTTTGTTAGCCCCAAGACTCTGCCTGTGTGTTGGGGTTTACCCCGGGGGATGAGAGGGTAGCTTGCCTGCGCCTTCGGGTCAGGGAACAGGTCCTGACTGTTGTTTGTGCTTATGGGCCAAATATCAGTTCAGAGTACCCACCCTTTTTGGAGTCCCTGGGACGAGTGCTAGATAGTGCTCCATCAGGGGACTCCATTGTCCTGCTGGGGGACTTCAATGCTCACATGGGTAATGACAGCATGATCTGGAGGGGTGTAATTGGGAGGAACGGCCCGCCTGATCTGAACTCAAGTGGTGTTTCATTATTGGACTTCTGTGCAAGCCGCAGTTTGGCCATAACGAACACCACGTTCAAACATAAGGATGCCCATCAGTACACTTGGTACCAGGGCAGCCTAGGTCGCAGGTCGATGATAGACTTTGTAGTCATATCATCTGACCTGCGGCCATATGTTTTGGACACCCGAGTGAAGAGAGGAGCGGAGCTGTCCACTGATCATCACCTGGTGGTGAGTTGGATCAGATGGCAGGGGAAGATGCCGCGCAGACATGGCAGACACAAACGCATAGTGAGGGTCTGCTGGGAACGCCTGGCAGAAGAACCTGTTAAGATGGTCTTCAACTCCCACCTCCGGCAGAGCTTTGACCGCGTCCCGAGAGCAGTGGGAGACATTGACTCCGAGTGGGCCTTGTTCCACTCTGCGATTGTTGAGGCAGCTGTTGCTAGCTGTGGTCGCAAGGTTTTCATGAGCTGTATGCCAAAATCATATATTAGAAACAATAAAAGGCTTGAACTACTTCAGTTGTGTGTAATGAATATATATGAAAGTCTAATGTTTATCAGTACATTACAGACAATAATGAACTTTATCACAATATGCTAATTTTTTGAGAAGGACCTGTACAATGGTCAAATGAATGAACGAGTAAATAAATACTTCAGAAACTATGCATAAAAACTATTGAGAATAGTATATTTTAGGGTTTTAAAAATTATCACTGGTGTCCCACAAGGTTTTGTTCTTGGTACTTTTTAGTTTTCACTTTCCATAACTCTTCTTCCTCAGACTGCATTCATTCAAATTTTCTTTTTATGCTAAACATATTATATTTTCGTGATTTTACAAACACGATTCCAATCATGTGCTGCCTCATTTACTTCTCAGAACTGGGGAAGTGATTTTTCTTGTAAGAACCTTGATCCATCCGACACTCAGCCCACCTCAGGTGAGACAACATGACCATCTCTGAATTATTTAGTATATCATTAGATAAGATGAAATTTACACTTTTATCTAAGATTTTCATAACATAACAGGTTTAAAGGGATGCTTTGCAGTTGAGCTTGCTTTTAGCACCCCTAGTGGCCGTTAAACAAAAGGTGAAACTTATCTCCTCGCTGTGTCTTTTTAACACAGCTGAAATGTCTCCCAGCCTTCATTGGTGTCTACAGGAGCGGTTCATCACTAAATCAAACAAATCAGCTGTGTTTATGATCTAAAATATGGTGAAAGCAGATTCCAGCACCAGGCATGTCAGCTCAACTTTACTAAGTCCAACAGGGACCAGACCAGCACTCTGAAGTTACAAATGCGATATTCTGGCCACAGGGGTGGTAGGGTCTGAGTGTATTTTCATTAACCCCGTCAGGGGTCATTTTAGCACATACTCAAGAAAATGATTTAAAAATATGAAAAAGCTGCATAGTATGCCTTTACCACCTAAAACTATTGAAAATATCACATTAGATAATAAAGCTGTTTGCAGTTTGTTGTAAAGTTAGTAAAGTTATTTATGTCTTTGATCTTCAGTTCACAAACTAAGGCCATCAGATATTCAGGTGGTGGCAGCACTTGGAGACTCTATAACGGTAAGTTTAGGCAAATAAATATCTTCTTTTGAAACGACGCACGCTTCAGATCTGCTTCTTTTTGGTCAGAAACACGTTTTGCATTCTAAACTGGATTTGTGGACTCTTTGGTCACCAGGCGGGAACTGGGGCAAAATCAAGAAACCTGCTTGAGCTTAATAGAGACTATAAGGGAGTCTCGTGGAGGTATAAACTCTCTGAATGAGCTTGTGGAGTCATGTTATCAACCACTTTCATTCCTGGAGTTTTGTTTTCTTGCAGCATTGGAGGTGATAAAACATTGGAGACTGTCACAACACTACCAAGTGAGTTAATCCAGATCTGTTTTAATTAAAATCAGCCATCTCTTACATTCACACATGAAATCTGCCTGTTTAGTATTAAATGAGAATGTAAGCGCATTCTGAAGGGCCACAAATGTTGGCTGAGTTTTTATTTGCTCTTCTCAGACATCTTGAGGAAGTTTAACCCCCTCCTAAAAGGCTTCTCCAAAGGTCAAGGTTCGATACAAAAGGCCTTCAACATGGCTGTCGCTGAAGCAAAGACCTCGTACGTTTTTAACTTCCTTGTTTATCTACCCGATGATGCCTTAAAGCTCTGCTGACATCTTTGTTCCGTCACAGAGAACTTCCTGCACAAGTTCAAGCTCTCATCAAGGCCATGAAAGGAAACAAGGTGAGACTTTTCTGAAAAATCTCTAAAACCCTCTGGGTTTTGTCGTCTTCATGCTCATCACCGCCTGGTCTGCTACACAGGATGTGGATTTTGGAAAGGACTGGAAACTTGTGACGATATTCATCGGTGCAAATGATCTTTGCACTTATTGTTTGGACCAAGTAAGTGTTTCCTGAAAGTGCACAAAACAACTTAATGATGGGGCTTTAACACCACTGCTGCACGTTTTCCATAGAATAACCTTTCACCCAAGAACTACAGTCACAACCTTATGCTCAGCTTGGACACACTTTATAAAGAGGTGAGTTATAGTTAAAGATTACATATTAATGTCATGTAAAGTCTTCATAACGTTAGTTACGTTGTATGTTCCCATCTGTGGATCTCCAGGTACCCAGGCTGCTGGTAAACGTAGTAGACGTTTTGCAGATAGATGTGTTAAAAACAGTCAAGAAGAACACTCTAGGATGTTCCCTCATGCAGAGGTTGGTCCTTATTTATTAGCTCTGTTTCTGCACAATTTTAATATATTGAAAACATTATTTTATAGAGTAAGAAACATTAAACAGGTGTACACAGGTGTAACATTTACCTAATGACCTCCATGGATGGCTGAAAAACACAACCCAACACAATAATAAGCCTCACATCTTGCCAGCCTGCATCTATACGAGTGTTTTTCCTGACTTCTGGATTGCTTTGCATTAAAACATTTGCTAATTGATAAATGTAAATAGAATACTGATTTCCTTTTGGGCGCATCAACAAAGTGAGCCCAAATCATGACACCACCACCACATGTCACAGACTGATAATTTATCGTTTTTTGGTTGCAATTAATTAATCTTATTTTCTAAAGGAATCTTAGAAATATTCTGTTTCAAAAGCATTAGTTAGAAATGTTAGTGTCACATGATGCTACGTTTACAGGATCAGCTGTCCGTGTGTTATCAACCCAACAGAGAACTCTCCTGAGTTTGAAGAGGTCAGAAGAATTAATCACGAATACCAGGTACCACCAAAAGTTTATTTTTTTTAATATGTAATAATAAATTTAAGCCAAAAGGTTCTTTATTTCTATAAGAATCTGGTATCTGTTCCAGGCTGAGGTGGAGTATCTGATTTCTGGAGATCGCTATGATGGAAAAGAGGACTTTGCTGTCGTTCTTCAACCCTTTTTACACAACTTTTTCATCCCTCATATTGGAGTGTGTAACTGTAGCATTCATATTTTTCAGGGAAACACTTGATAAGACTCTAAAAATGTGGGAAACCCTTTTAACAGGTTGGTGAGGCTGACACGAGTTTCTTTTCTATCAACTGTTTCCACTTGAGCGAGCGAGCTCACGCAGAAATGGCCGTTTCTCTGTGGAACAACATGGTGAGCCCTAAGCCAATCAGACTCCTGTTGTTTTTTAGCAACATGATTTATATTCAGTCTCTGTGCCGACAGCTGGAGCCTGTTGGCAGAAAGCAGGCTTACAACAACTTCACATACGACCGCTCTAAGGTTCGCTGCCCCTCTGAGGTAATCCTAAATCCTGATACTTCAACATCAAATAAAAAATCTGATTATTTGTATTCTTAATTTTCACCAATCATTTAAAAAAAAATTTCATGCCCTAATTTTGTTTATTTAATAATTTATTACCTTCCATAAAAGCAGAAATGTTTCGTTTGTTTTTGCATTGATTTAGCAGATTTTATGAAGGCATCAGGCCAAATCAGTTTTCTTGTCACTGCCAGATTTTTAGTCATGTTTTTTTTTTCTAAGCAGAGTTGTGAAATTAACATTTAACATATGATGCAAAACTCCGTTTTAAATCCTTTTGTGCTGCCATGCGGGTCTCTCCTGCCTCTACAAACACTCTAAACATGAAAATAACCCTTCCTGTTTTCTAAAAAGCTTTCGGTTTTAGAAAATATGTACTTAAAACAAGCCATTTCAAAAAGTCCCTGTTTGTGATGTCACAAACGGGGAATAATTCACCCCCTCTCCAGGCTGAAGGAGCAGCGGCTCTACTCTGAGCCCTTCCCTGGATATCTGAGCTACTCAACCGCAGACAAATGTAGAAACCTCATGGACTGACGCTGCCTATTGGAGCTGGCGCAGCAGCGGGCCGCCATTTTGATAGGTTCCCATTCGCCTGCGTCACATTTATTTCTACTGAGGAAGTTGCTTTCCCTACTAAAAAACAAATTTTATGATGCTTTTTAACAAAATCTGCGTGTATGGCATGATAAAATATAAATATATTTAAATAAAATAAATTAAAATATAAAATCCCAACAGTAGGCTAAAAACGTCAACAGAAATCTCTCGTGATCTGTTTTCAATAGTGCACCAGTTGTTGCAACTGTAGGCTGCACAATAAATGGGCATGGTTGCTGACATCCAATATGGCGGCGATGCTGTTAGGATCCCCGATAGGGCATCTACTTATTCATGTCTTTGGGTGTTTCTCAATGTCAAGGCGCCTAGCCTTGCGAGGCGATGTCTTGCGAGGCAAGGCGCCTTGCTTACGAGGACACTGTCCTTCCTTGGTCAAAGAAAATGGTTAAATAGAACAGACTTGCATCACATGACCGCGGCTTCCACGGCAGTCATGTAACATCACGTGACACGGGAGATAACATTATATTTTATACAGATTAGTTTCAATATAAATATATAACGAGCCTTTTACTCTTTTAATTGTGTATATGTTTATTAAATTAAATATATAAGTGAGTTACTACCCGCTAGCCACCGAAGCTGCAACTACTAAGCTACTAACCAACCATAGATAACTTCTTTGGATCTAATTTTTTTTTTTAAATTAGCTGACTTACTTTTGAACTTGAAAATTGTCCCCGAAGTAGCTGCCGGCTTCTGATCCGCCGTCCTTTTGAAAATAGCGCAGTGTATTGTGGGTAATTTTTGACCAAGGCTAGGCTACAAGACACCTCCCGTGTATCCTTGCTCAGCTAGCTAAACGGCTAACAAACGGAGAACACACGCCTTGGTAGAACATGAACATTGGACCAGATTGGAACATGTCTTGGCAGTTCCCGATGACGTATCTCCTAGGCAACCGGGGCGGGGCCAAGACATCAAGGCAAGTTTCCTTGGCATTGAGAAACACCCACTGTTTCAACTAATGGCAGCCAATCAGGGAATAGGTGGGCGTGGCCAGCTCCAGCATGTTTCCTTAAAGGGACAGAGTCCTAAAATGAGTAATTCTGGAAGGAACTGAAACTGTCAAGAATAAAACTGCTGAGACGGACTTTATGCAAATAACTTCATAAGAATGGTTTTGGTATTATACTTTCTACTATATATATCTTTAAAAATTATATCTCCTTTAAAAAAATAAATGTAACGTAGAATCAACCAGATTTTTAAAAATTAACTTTTTATTTGAAATAGTTCACCAATTTTTTCCATTTCTGATCATTCCTTTTTTTTTTTTGTAGGCCAATCCCTTCATCTTCACGAAGACGAACAGTCTACCAGCTCCACCTACCACTGCACCAACCACACCAGTGTGGGTGCCAGTGCTTGTGGGAATTACCAGTTTCCTAGCTGGGATCGTCATCTCCCAGCTCGTTTTGTCCTACTGTCGTCGTAAAAGGAACAGAAAAGGCAACGACAGGGTAGAAATGAAAACAACTGTGTTTTGAATGTGTATGTTGTTGTTAGGTCCAGCTCCCTAACCAGAGGGGTTATTTTATAGGTGATTAGCTCTCTGCAGCCTGTGAGAAACAGCCATGCTCCACTGTAGTCATAGAAACGCTGCCTAGTGCTGCCCGTTTGTAGGGTTTGCGCAGAAAATGTGAGATATTCATGTAACTGATCTGCATGAATGCAGATGCTCTCTGTCTTTATTTGATTTATGGGAAAATAAATCAGCTATAATATTATTTCTGATGCATTAAGAACAATTTGGAATTCAACAACCATTCACGGTTGAATGAAATGCAAAAGTTACATTTAGTCGTAGATTAGCATTAGATCTGTTTAATGTCAGTGGTAGTTTTCTGACCAAACATGCTCGGATCTTACCGGTTTATTGGTTCAGTTTGACCTTTTGGGTGACGTTTATTATGGTTTTAATACTTCCTCGTGCTTGCAGCAAAAATAAATGTTTTTTAAAAATTACAATCTACAAATTATATTTAGGTTATTGTAATATAATTTAAATGCCTTTTATTTGTAGTGATTGTTCATTTGTGCTATCGACAAAAAATTATTAAAAAAATATCTTCAAGTGAGGTTTCGTGAAAAGGTCAATACATCAATAAATTAGCTTCTTTTTCTAGAAAGATCTTTGAACAACCTCAGTTTGGCGAAAGAGATTCGTTTTGATAATTACATTCAGTCCTCCCACCAGCTTCTTATGAATCGTATCCTCTAACTCAGCAAGAAACCAGCTTTTATTTTATTTATTTATTTTTCTACAGGAAATAAGATAAAATTCAGAATGCGCATGGTTTCTTACTTTAGTAGAAACAAAGTCTGTCTTTGGTAACAATGTAAAAAAAGAGCCAGTGTAAAAAAACGTATGCAGGAGAAAAGTTAAAAATTGGTGTTTTATTATTAGGAAAGTCAGTGATGAATGTTTCCAGCATGCACAACACACCTGAAAGTCCTTTGATTTCTGCAGGGGGTCATTGCATGTGTAAACATTTTTATCATTGGCACTCTGCAGCTGGACTGGAACGGCTCCTACTGCATGAAATGCAGTAAATAATTTCTGATTCACACATTTAGACTTTTACTGTGTTTTATTTACATCAAATCCTTAATTAGCCTTCTTATTGTTTTTGTGTTCAAACTGGAAAAGATTAAATGTCATATTTGTATGAATAAAGTAGATGAACGTAGCGTCGTGTCAGAACGAGGCACTGGAAGAAATGCAGTTACATGAACGACCAGGTGTTGATTTACAAAATAAAACATGGACTCTGAACTGTTTTATGCACCAAAGCAGGACCTCAGTCTGTCTTGAGGGCTTGCAGCACTGACCGTGGCACTCTGCTGACGTAGTAGTCATGGTTACTCAGTGCAGCAAGAACCCCAGCAGAGTTCATGTGTTGTACGTCAGCGTCGTAGCGGTATGCATTTCCATGCATGTCTGTCAGTTTACCTGCATTTAGGAAAACAGCGTTAAAACACTGTTCATAAATGATGTGGCTGATTTCTACAGGCTCATCGTTCACCTCCAACAGCATGCAGGATGGCCTCCGGAGCACACGTGTCCCACTTCTTGCACCCAGGACTCGCAAACACATAAGCAGAAGCCCTCCCCTCAACAAGCTGGATTATCTGCAGACAGTTGAGACGTGTTATCCTGGTTTACACAGATAGACCTTTAACTTAGTAATTTCTCACATGCACTCGACCCCACCTCACCTTGTTTCCAGCACCACCCACTCTTATGACTTCGTGAGGCTCCATGGCATTCACGCAGTCTGTTACCACCTTGTTGCTATGGGAACGGGTGGTTGTGACAATTCTCTTATCACCTGGAACTTCCTGCAACTGGAAGCCAAAGGCGCCCAATCCCAGCACTCCCCACATGGTTCTTCCTAAAACCGCTCCTGCTCCAAGCTGATGAGAAGGAAACGTGCAAATGAGTCAATGCAGCATCTTTAAAAGAAAACCTGCAGATAACTTTGTTTTTTTTACTTGATAATTGTAGAACGGCTGGTTGATGACACCTGCGATAGCTCTGCCTCCATAAGCAATACCAATGAGCACTGTGACATTGTCCAGGAGCCCTGAAGCCAGAAAGCATGAAGGTGTTACGAAAAATCAGTAACCGATTTAACTCCTTCTCTTGTGATTATCAAACATCTCATGCAGTGAGGAATTATTCTACACTGGCAGCTTTAAGCCTTGCTTTCCCATACAGAGAGCTGTGCCGGGAGTCTGAGAGTTGTCCGACCCTTTATGCGGTGCAGCTTGGAGATGGAGACATCTAGAGGCTGGAGGCCGCAAAGACAGTAGGAAAACGAGGAAGACAGCAGGAGAGCAGCGATGCAGAAAAAGAAGAAGCAAAAACTATAAAAGTGAGGGAGGAGAACTAGAAAACACGCAGCAAATATGTGCATGTCAGCAGCAACAAACTGACCTGCTGGGATGCTAGTTTGGCTACACAGTGTTTTAGAGAATCGCTTTGTTTCACAGACAAAACCCACCTTCTGTATACTCCTTTGTGCCATCGAGAGGATCAACCCAAACGACGAGCTGAGAGTCAGACAAACACGTTAAAGATACAATGTGTAGTTTTTACCATTCTTTTCTGGAAATATCCATCAAAGTGTTGTGGAAAATGAATGAAATGATACCCAGTTGTTGAAAAATATTGGCGCTTCTTAACATATAACCATAAAAATCTGTTCTAAAACACACGGGAGCGGCAGGGGCGCCTCCAGAAAATTTTGATGGGGTGGCCAGACGGGGCCAAAAAATGTTTTGGAGTTGCACACCAAATTGATCATCGTGGTAACTCTGGGAGACTTTAGCCTGTGGCGATGAAGTGCATTGCTCCTTTTTTGGTTTTTATTCTTAAAAAAAGAAAAAAAAAGAAACCCAGTAAGAATGAAAAAAATGTTACCTAAATTTTACAAACACGAACATTTCAGAAAATGTATTTCAGTTATTTAAAATGTTTGTTCAAATTTTATTTAAACATGTATTTTTAAGGTAATTCACCTGTGTTGCTGTGTTCACAAAAAATATGGAGTTAAAAATTTTTTAAATGGTGAGCAGCAGAAAAAGATGCATTTTTTTTATTCTGATTGTTTCTTTACTGATTAATTGTATTACTTCTATTTGGTTTTACAATAATGTCTTGAATAAACAAGATCAATTTATGGTTTGACTGAACATCGATATGATTTATTAATACTGGCTTTTCCGGGGGAGGGGGGGGGGGCAGCAATTTTCTGGCCACCCCTTGGGGGCGCCCTTGGGGAGCGGGTCTAAGTTTCTGGGCGATGCCATATTAGATGCCATGTTTTCTTCTACAGGAGCCCGAGAGGACAAAATGCATTTACTGATTTTTAACAAGTGGTTACAAAACTTTTATTATTCTTAGAAGTTGTTTTACACATTTACCTCCACTTGTTGTCAGTGATGAAAGGGAGTCTGATGTGTTTGTTATTTTTGCTAAAGTTTGCACTCCCCAGGACTTTTTGACCCTAATGGGCATCTATTGATAAGGTCTTACTCTGCTTGCTTGCAACGATTTAGGTATCTACTGCCCCCTATTGCCAGGAAAAATACACACTGTCACTTTAAGGGGAGGGTTACAGTCTCACAAGCACTAAAACCACTTTTACAGACTCAGGCCCGGTTCACACACACAGACATATCCATGCTGCTTTTTCACCCCATTTTCCTCTTCTGACAAAGAAGATCCAGATTACCGTAATGCTCTGACAGTAATCTCAGATTATCCTGCTGTGTGTGGTGTGTTAAGAGCGGCTTGGTCTAAAATGACTTATTTCCTTTAAAAAGACAAACGTGGTTTTGAAGATGTTTCTCATACCTGCAGACAGTTTCGACTGAAGGCTGCAGTCTTCCTCAGAGTGTCATCCGACTATCTGCCTTCGTGTCATTTATCAGCTGGTCTGTGAGCGTCATCAAACCACGCCCCCAGACCAGGTGGATGCCCTCTCGTCCCGGTTGATGGTGTCGCTGCCTCGATTCCGGATCTCGATGGACCCCCCGATCCACCATTTCAAGTTGGTATTTTCTGTGATGATTCGGCTTGGTCTGCTCGGAAAGATGCTGGGTCCCCCAATCCCAAATCTGGGACTTTAAACAGGTTGGATTGTTTTGGCCTGATTTCGAGAACAAAAGGCTGTGCTGCCTGATGAATGATGTAGCCAATAAGGAAGCCGAGTGATGGAAGGACACTGAACGCTCCTCATGTTTGTTTACTCTGACCCGGGCTTTTCACCTGATGTGTAAGCGACGCATAACGGATAATGGACGTACTTTTCCTGAAGCTCAGCAGAACGTCCCTTCCCAAGCATTTCAGACATGAAACAGCAGCAAAAGTATTCCATGTATCTGGTCCTGTGAGGTCACAAGATCACCAGAGAATTGCAAGATCATGCATTGTTTAGCCAGTTGACGGATAAAAGATTCCTCTGCAAGGAGACAGACAGCATCATGTAAACTCGGTTTGTTTTACCTTGGCCACGGAGGTTTCACAGATGATAAAATTTATATTTCTGATAGCTAAGCAACTGGAAATCTGAACGGGACTTTTATTTTGAAAGTTGCTGGATGTTTTACACTGCTTCCATGTTTGACTTCCTGTCTGGCACAACTCGATTGCGAGATTTCCCGTCTAACCTGGGAGTGTTCCGTCTGTGGTTGTTTGGGACATAGTGGCACACCGTGGGACCCAAACTGATTTTTATCTCCTCATGTGGGGTTTTGAAAAGTTGTTCGACCGTTTTAAATCCTGCTGTGTGAACCAGGCCTCGGTCAGCCACTAATACCTGAATGTAATTGTAGTTACCTCTTCTTCCTTTAGACTTCTAAATTCTTCTGGACAGTTCTTCTGAAGGACTTCATCAAAGTGGCCAAGCTCAATGAGATCCTCCTTAACTTCTTCAGCTGGAAGATCCTTCATGAGTAAAAAAAAACTAATATGTTAAGTTTTTTGTGTGAGAACCATAATTAAAAACCGAAAATGTCAAAATAAAGTTGAAATGCCCCCACCTCCTCTCCGATAATAGTGATTTTGGGAAATCGTCTCGACAGTGAAGCACAAATGCTCTGCTGTGCGAGTCTGTCCGCTAGAGTCTGCAGATCGTTAGCTCCTGTCTGTTCCAATACACAGATTTATTTTTACATAGAATAAAAAAGTATTTTTTGGTTTGAACAATTAAACTGGTGATGTTACTACCATCCACAACAATCCGTGTGTTATTTTTTCTGAAACGAGTCATTAGGATGCTGTTAATATGAAGCCACTGCACCTTTTCCACAATGCCAAGTTCTCCACTATGCAGGACCTTCCTAACGATGGCGCCAGCCTTTTCAGCCACCGAATACGCAGACGCCACCAATCGCATGACCACAGCAGGATTTCCTGACATCTTTTGTGACTGATCTCTGGGAGGTCAAGAGGAAGCCTAAAAAGACAAATGAGTCATTTAAAAAGACAAATGAGTCATTTTAACAGAGATAGATAGATAGATAGATAGATAGATAGATAGATAGATAGATAGATAGATAGATAGATAGATAGATAGATAGATAGATAGATAGATAGATAGATAGATAGATAGATAGATAGATAGATAGATAGATAGATAGATAGATAGATAGATAGATGATAGATAGATAGATAGATAGATAGAAAAGAGAGATTCTATCTATCTATCTATATACTATACTTTGTACCCTTAATACACAGATACACAAAGAAATAATATATGAACAATGTTTTTAACAAACATATTAACTTTTAAACTTTAATCTGGTTTCTCTTGGTATTTGTACCAAATTCTTTTTTGACAAGAACCAGTAAGATAATAAGTTATTTCTGCCAACAAAACCTGTGTACAAACGTCCTAAACAGCGTTTTTGTCTGCTTTACAGTGCAGACACTGCTTAGATCTAATGGACATGCTTGAAAACAAAAAAAAAGTACAACATGTATTTTTTAGATCCCAAACAATAAATGCAGTCCTAAATAGATCAATGTCTGTAAATCTCAAAACTTATGAATTCTAGTTGCTGGACTCATTTTTCTTCCTCTGTGGTACTTTTACCTTGTAAATAATTAATAAATTGCTTAACTTTGATCACACAGACAGCTCTATTGCCACACCTCATCACTTTTACCTACCTCCACTACAGCAAGGGGCTTTAAGATTTAAGCTGAAGCACAGCAGAGAGGGACCGATCTGCTGGTTCAGTGAGCTAAAAACCACCATTCTGCTTTAACAAGGTGGTAAAGGTGATTTAAACCCCTGAGTGGGCAGCTTCGTTTGGTTTTAGGTCCATTTGAGCAAGAAACCAAATCAGTAGGATCATTGCACACTAAACACATTAAATACTGGCATATGCTCTACTAGCATAGCTTTAATTAACTAGAAATGATACTAGCAAATACTTTCGACTTCACTTACGCCCTTCTTTTTTACGGTCCGGTTGACTCAGCTCGTTTAACTGGTGAAATGATGAAAACAGCA